TCGTCCGCCAGCTCGCCCAAGCAATACTGCTGCTTAGCATACCACGACGTGAACATCGCAGTCGCTGTATGCTTCGATGATGTGCCAGATGGCGGATCTGCTACAGGGGCCACTGACATTTTCATCTCGCAGTTCATAAAGTACTTAGGAGGTCCACAAGCTGTTTGATACTCTTATCCAGCGCCGTCGGGCAACCAATGTTACTTCTTTGGTGCAGCGGTTATCGCCTTCCCTGGTGCGCAGGTTCAAGTCTCTCATAATATCATTTTTGCAGATTTTGGGGTTTAACAACACGGTGACGTTGAGAATTTACAAAACATTTTATCACAGACAATCCCAACACTCCACCAGTACTAGTCCGGCATGGCTCGAGTGCTATGTACTCTGATCAAGGCCAAAAACCATACGCATTGTGAATCGCGCTGTCGACGCATGAGCGCCGAGCATTGTCCTGATTCGGATGACCGCGCGACGCCCGAGGCAATTCTCACGAGGCGGGGGTATGTCCCTTGGACAGAGCCACTGTCTCCTTTAGGCAGGTGCATCAGATGAGGATCTCTGATGCGACCGTTACTTTGGGCGCCTCACGGGCGTCTATTCAAAGGGGGGGTCGCCCTCACAAACTGCCCCAGATGTGTCGGAGCGGTGGTGGGGTGCGTCCACACGGATGGGTACAAGACCAGAGAGTGCCAGCTGCAGATCACAATATTTATGTATCAGGCCTGGACTACAAGGGCAGTAATTGATGTATCAGTATGCCAGCTACAGGTGCCTGAGGCATCCCCGAGGCTGTATTCCCTGGCTACATCCGTGAAAAATGGGCATGTCAGCAACAACGGGGAATGGGAAACAATACCTGAGTAATGGGAAAAATGGGCAGCAGCAGCCTGGGCGCCTTCCACCTGTACAATACTTGCCCAAGGTGTCCCCGAGGTGGGATTTCCCCGCAAAATGGGCATCCACAGGTGGGAGCACACATAGCTACGGGCAATAAACAAGCAACATGAGTAACGGGAAATACAATACAAGTCAGTACTGGGAGACCAGGATATGTCATTAACAGGAAACTATAAAGTACGTAGTCAGTACCAGGAAAATACTTACAAGACTACATAAACACCAGGACAACACACATCAATAATCACAAGAGTAACACACAGCATTGAACCAACCAAACGCCGCCAGCCCATGGCGAAGCCGCGGGCTGGCATTGCATTAGCATGTAACCTTAGAAGTAACATGGTGCACAGAACAAAAGGACCGCTGCCAGACCTGTGGCGAAGCCCAGGTCTGGCATGCAATAGCATTGTAATATTATGGGCCAGGGCGACATGAAGCAGCGAATGAAGAACTGCCCCAGCAACCCATAGCGAAGCTCGTGAATGGAAGACAATGTTCATTAGACCATGTGGATCATTCTCTTCCTCAGTGGCGAGATGCAATAGGGAGCCATTGCCATCCTGGACATTGACTAAACTTCAGGCTTGAGACAAGCAAAGTTCAGCGCCACAGGCGCATCGCACCAGTCACGTGGGCGTAACTCACTTGCCTCTTGCTGGCTGCGATGCGCATCAAGAGTGTTTCCCAGGGTGTTTCGCGCATGTGGGAATTCTCAAGTGCATTGGTATGTTTTTTCTATGTGTGAGACAAGTATATCACACTGAAATCTGCTCTGGGAACATCATATATGCTATATGTCACAGGCTCAAACTGGCATGATACAATTGACCAAGCAGACAGCATTGGCTACTGACCACGTACTTGAAGGCAGCCAGAATGCACTTAAAAGTATCATTGCATGGGCAATTGATGGGGTCATTATGGAACAGTCTCCAATTTGGCCCACTACATGATTGCGTCAAGGCGCACATTGTGATCCTCTTTGCCAACATCACATTCTGCAGCTCCACAGAGATGATGCCCACAATGTGCAGAACAAAGGCAACAGTGAGGAGCAAATTGGTTTTCAGGCTCACGATGTCCCAGAATCTGGGTGTATGCCATGAGACAAACAGGAAGAGCTTCAATGAAGAGCTGGTACACGCAATCAGCCTGAGGGGAAGGGATGGAGGTATGTAGAGCTCAGCAGACTAACCTTGTGTGAATCTACAGTGATGTTTTGAGTGCATTCAGAGCATTGCATATGCACATTCTGGCTCAGACTCTCCGTGGAAGGAGAATGTGTTACTACTAGTAGTAGGGGCTTACAGGATGTGATCTTTGACAATACCTGTCATTTGCATATTCTCAAAGAGGCACACAAGCTGGACAGAAGTGGGCACAAGGCTCTCCACTGCAAGAAGCAGGGCCAGTTTCCCAACATGCCAATACCAATGTTGCTAGACAAAGAGCTGCATGCCGAGGCTGCTGCATCAACAAATGACTGGCACTGCTTTGAGTGATCAAGCTGGTTGGTGAGACAAGACTCACAAAACTCAGCAGACTGAGAGGAGAGATCAATGCTCAACTCAACGTACCCCAGCTTTTAATGACAATGAAGTCCCACAGGTCTGGCTGCCAATGAAGACGAATAACATCAAGAAAGCAGTGGCCCCACAGGAGCTCAAATAGACTTATTTTGTGTGCACATGTACTGGTCTGTCTGAGTCAATAGTGTCACTGCTCGCTCAATGCTTGAGATACTGGATCAGAGACTCAACTTAATCTTGACTGGAGGCAGTACTATACTAGCACCACTGTCCACTGATCCACCAGCAGAACCTGAGCCTGATTTGGAAGCAGATGAATTTCATGTTGCCGAGATGTTTTGTGCCTGTAGAGGCCAATGTGCAGACAAGACACAATTGAGAGTCTGACCACAATATTGGTGGTGCGTTGCTGACTAAGTGGACCAGGAGCAGTACTGGTGTTGCCCCTCTCCATTTTGTGCCCCGTGTAACTTCTAAGCTTACATGCTAATGCAATGCCAGCTGGGTGGTTCCACCACTGGCTGGCAGCATTTGGTTCTTTCAATGCTGTATGTTACTCTTGTGAGGCATGTTTTCCTAGTGCTTATGCAGTCTTCCCATTACTGACATGTGTTTTCCTGGTACTGACTACATAATTGGTGGTTTCCTGTTATTGATGCTTCCTGGTCTCCCAGTACTTAATTGTGTTGTGATTCCTGTTACTCATGTCATCTCCTTTAGCTATGGTGTATGCTCCTGCTGTGTGATGCCCATAATCACCCATTAGAAATCCCACCTCAGGGGCGCCTCAGGCAAGTATTACTCAGGTGCAGGGGAGCAGATGGTGCCCCAGCTGTTGCTACCCATTTGTCCTGTTACACAGGTGCTGTTTCCCATGACTGTTCCCTTCCTGGGATTCTGGTTGTAGCTGACATGCCCATTTCACATGAATGTAGCCAGGAAATGCTGGCTCAGGGACACCCTGGGCTAGCATCACATAAGCGCCCACAGGCAGAAGGCACCAAGAGCTTAGGGGAGGAGGGCACACCACATGAGGCCACACAGCAAAAATGGCTTGCCATGTGAGCAAGCTACACCACAGATCCAGGCTCCTAAAACCAGCTGTCCACAGTGTTCTTGTTCCTACATGTTGCTGGGGGAATATATGCTTTATATTGAAACAGCATTTCATACTGAACCATGGTGGCAACAAGGGACCAAGGGTTCCTCAACAGCACTCAATAAGACTACTGAACAACATGTGCAGGGCCCCATGGAGTCACTGTGTACTTCACTAACGTGCCAGGCTGCCCACTTCCCCCACACAGCATCCCCCACACAGCATCAACAATAATCTCCCCAGTGGCCATGCAGGAGTTCTCTCTGCAGATACTCCAGTAAATAAGACCTACCATACGGGTACATCATTTTGATGAGTCAATAAGAGCCCTCTAGGGCATGCCTTGGTGACCAGTTGGGCCAGACATCCTACAGGGTTCTCTTTGTCTTAGTCAGCTAGGGGGTTCCATATATAGGAAGTAGAAAAAAATCCATTTTCTGATGCAGCATGAAATCCTGTTTTGATATAAAGCTAGAAATCTCCCAGTGACATGTAAGAATGAGAACACTGTGGATGGCTGGTTTTAGGAGCCTGCCACAGATCCACCCTCAATCACATTCCTTTTAGATGGAAAGTGGCAATGTGAGCATAGCAAGGGGTGTTCTCATCTGCCCTCATATTTGCAAGGTGACATGAGGGGGAGGTTTCTTGAGGAAGAGGCTAGAGGTTGGGCCCAGCATTAGCCAGGGACAGACATGGAGAGAGAGCCACTGGGTGGGCAGGCCTTCTCTAAAACAATTACCTTCCCTCAGAAGTGCATCTCACCCCTCTTGGCAAACTCAGTGCTGCAGCAATGGGGAGTGGTGGACAAGAGAAAATCACCCAATGGTGCTAAACACCAGAGTGAAGTGTTTGGGCTGTGCTCAGGCAGACACCAGGACTGCCCTTGCAAGCTCACCAGTCCTGCACTTCAGGTGTTGTCTGAAAACAAAATTTGGTTCCTTCATGATACACTGCACGGCATTTTTGTCAACATCAGTCATAACAGGGCTTGAGCTTCTAGTTGAGTTGGGGTGAAACTAAAGGGAAACTGAAGTGAAGGTTAATCCAAAGAGAAACATGAACTGCCAACAATGAACTTGACAGACTGAGTGGACCAGCAATCCTAGTAGCTGATTAAGTCCCAAACTTTATGTGCACTTCACTTCAGATTTACAGCTCAACCCCTGTTATGACTGATGTTGACAAAAATTTGATACAGTACGTCAGCCTTTCTCAAAGTGCTCTAGGTCATGGCTATCTCTTATCTCTTCATCATACCTAATAAAAGTTACTGGCTGGGGGCAGCCAGTAACTCCCCTAACCTTGCCAAGAGTGCCCAAATGTCTCCAGGAGCTCCCTTGTATTACAAGGCAAAGAATACACACAAGCACTCACTTAAAAATGCGCGAGGGGGTCTTGGATGTGGCCAGGAAGAGCGTGGGAAACAACCCAAAAAAGGAAATTTTACTGGCTGCCCCGGCCGGTAATTATTATATAGTTAGGGACGTCATGAGGACCTTGCCGCTGCCAGTGTATGCGTACGCAAGGCATCGCTCCAGAAGGGCCACCAGCTCAATTTGCGTGGGCGGGATGATGTTCCGCTCGCGCAAGAATTGGCTAAAGTCCTCGAAGAGCTCCACCAGCAGGGACGATATCGGGAAGGTGGTCCAATGATACACAGCGGGAAATACCTGTCACTCACAGGTCAGACAGCAGCACCGTCAGACAACAGAAACGGAGACGTACTTTTGGCTCAAAGACCACAAGGTGCTCTCGCAGGGGCAGCTGGATGTCCGGGCTGAGCGTTCGTGCGATGAGCTGGATGATGATGTTCCGATACAACACCCTGGTGAACATTGAGGTCAGCCCAGTAAATCACAAAGTGCCGCATAACACGAACGTACTCTCCGGTTCGCATATCAGGTGGAAGGTTGTCGAAGTTGACCACGAACATGTTCTCCAGTCGTAGGTCCCGTGCGACGCTCTCATCCATCAGCAATGTCTTCAGGCGTTCGTGCGGAAGCTGCCCAGTGAGACGGCTGAGCAAGTTGGCGAGGACAGCCTGGGCAGGTTTTGAGCGGGCCCATGCACCGGTGAAGGCCTGGGTCATCATTCCCGTGCAGACCTCGTGGGAGCGAGCGGTGGGCCGCATCCTGTGTGAGAACGCGTTGTACATCTGTGACGACCATGCCTCGATGATCGGGCCCAGTCCACCGTGGGCGAGCACATACTCCAGCTCCGCTTCTTCTTGTTCAGACAGAGGTGGGACCCTTGGCCGTTTGCGAGACGACCCAGCATCCCCCGCAGCAGCCGCTGCCTCGTCCTCAAGCACGGCAAGGAACCGACGCATGACCTTTCGAGTCGTGAGAGACTCCTTGGAAAATCCTGCCGGTGGGGGCGGGAGTCCCCTGCGAAGCTCTCGTTCGATGTCGAGGATGGTACTGTTGTACTGCTGGAACATGCGCGTGGACTGCACGTTCCCGTATCTGCCGAGCAAAGCCTGTGGGTAGGAGTGCACAGCGAATGCCTTGCCACTTCCACGTTCCGCCTCCATCGCGTCCAGCTCTTTTGCCAGCCGTGTTTCCTCGTCGTCGACATCATCATCGCTGCCTTCAACACCTTGGTCCTCGTTGAACTGGGCCCGGAACTCTTTGTCTTCGCTGTTGTCCACATCAGATCCATTGCCGTCTCCGCCATTGCCTGCAGCCTGCTGCCGTCGACGTCGGGCAGCTTGCCGAGCATTCGCCACAGTGTCGTACATGTCGTGGATGCTCATCAAGTCGCAGAGCACACCACAGCTGAGCTTCGGGTCGTAGTCTTCGTTGGGCACCCGTCGAGCGATCCGCCGACCCTCGTAGGTGTAGATTGGATTCTCCTTGCCGTCCTGGTCCAGAAGTGGATATGTGTACAGGTCCACGGGGTCATCGCTGTCGTAGCGGTCGTGAGTGTCATAGACATCACCGTGTTGGTCGAGAATGTCGTCCGGGTCAATGGGTGTCCAGTCATTGACCACCCGAGCTCTGTTGTCCAGGTGTCAGAGGCCACACAGCGGGATTATGTGAGATGCCACTCACCCAATGTGTGTCGCAATGGCTAAACTCGCCGTTCGAATCCGAGACCAGTCACGTTCACCACCCCATCTATCCCGCTCATTGGCAAGAGAGTTCTGCACGCCAATCTCCTCGTTCTGCCCATACCGAACTGACATGATGAGGGGTGTGTGATCCGTGAAGAACCTATCTTCCTTCCACGCAGCTGGCATCTCCCGGACAAATCGCTTCCACACTCGCGGCATGCACTCGTCCAACGCCCTTGCCTGAGCGAGGGTCACGTTCATTGCGGGGCCCGAACTGTGCAAAGAATGTGCGTGTCAGTCAAGTCAAGTGCATCACCACCCATATCTTACCCGCACTCGCGCAGTCTGCGCCAATGCGGGTAAATACGAACAACAAAGGCCTGGAGAGATGACCCGTTTCGACAAGCATCTCTTCCCGCACTCGCGCTCGCTGCGCCAATGCGGGTAACCGGCCGGGCTACTACTATATGGGAACAGACCGACTCACAAGATGTTGCAGATATCGTCAAAGGACCACTTCTTCAGGTCCGTCCCTTTCCCATATCGGAGATGGTCGGCCAGAGAGATGTCCCGGTAGTGGATCTCAGCGAGCCAGTGCACGACAAAGAGCGTGTAAATCTTGAACCTCGTCGGGGTGAGACGCGAATCCCCTTTCTTCACGTTGTAGCCAGACGAAGGCGGAGCACGTCCAGGATCGTACATGTCCGCAAAGAACACGTTCGGCGCAAAGACCATCCAGAGGTTCTCCAGACCGTACTTGCCAAAGTACGCGCACCGTCCATCCGTATCAAAACCGGCCTTGCCCTTCGCTTTCATCTGGCTGTTCTGCTGCTGGATCTGCAGCACCAAGACATAGTTGTGCATCGAACGTGCCTTTGGCAATGCGACCGGAAGACCCTGCGTGCGAGGTACGTACATCACAAAGTCAAGGTAGTGCGGGCCACCTCGCCAGTGCAGGCGCGGATCGTCCGGCTCGATGATCATGTTGTCGTCCACCTCCACCTTCGTCCTCGTCTTCAGCAGCGACACCGCCTCCTTGATCGTCCGACGGTTGACCCCCTCGCTCATGCGCTTGAGTTCGGACAGCTTGATCCGCCGCTGCTTCATATTCGTCCACACCCGCTCTGTCTCATTTCGGTCCACCGCCGCGGTGTGCGCCTCAAACGTGTGACGACCCACATCATCCTGGCTCATCGGTTCGTCAGTGGTGAGGCTCATCGGCACGTTGTCCAGATTGAAAGGCTCGTCCAAGCCAGTGAGCGCACGGTCAGCTCTTCGTGGTCTCTGCATCAATTTGAAACGGTGAGTCACAGCAGTTGACGATGACGACGGACGGTAACTCACATGGCAGCATCTATGACCCTCTGGTGAGCTTCTGTCAGTTGGTCTTCGTCCCCCGGGTCCTCGTCACCGCTGCCACGCCCTTAGCATACTCGCACAACAGTCAGATTTGTAGGAGTACGCACAACTCGTAAAAGTCCCTGTTCCCATTTGCAGGAAGGGCCAGCGGTGCGTCGCGCGGGTCCAACGGAGCAGACCGGTCTTCCTGTGGTGCGTCATCGCTCCGGGGCATCGTTGCTGGCAGGCGGGCAACAGGGACAGCAGCGGGCGACAAGGGGAGGGCAACACACACGCAGACTCAAGGAAGGAAGGACGGGGGAGAGAGAGAGAGAGAGAGACAAACGGACAGTGAGAAGGATGGGCACGGTCTAGGGTGAGCGGAGACAAATGCCATCAAATTCGAGACAGGGTCGCGTGGCAACAGCGGCGGGATGAGCCTGGAATAACATTTCCGGCTGTGAGCTTGTGCAACGACTCTTCGGGCGGAGGGACACCAAATTAGGCGACGCACTGTGGCTGTGAGATGCAACCGCACCTTCTTGATCGGCGCGTGTTGCGCTGAAACACTCCAAGCCGATCGAGCTGCTACAAATGGTCATGCCGCCGCAGCACCCTCGGGCAGTTCACAAGTCCCCGAAACCGCAGCCCGCGGATGGCGGAATCCGACGTGTTTTGGGCTGAAGTCAGAGAATGAGGGACTGAGCATTGTCTCTGCACTTGACAAGTTAAGTTCAGCAACGGCGAACCACGTCCGATGCACCACATTTGTTTGACCGCGTTGCGTTCGAGCGAACAGAACGGTCAATTGACACACATACCCAGTTTGTTCCGTTTGGACCGTTCATCCTCCCTTGGCCGGTGTGTGCTCTTGTACGTTGATTACCACTGTAGATATACATGATGTTGTCACTGTGACTTAGTCATTCATTTTGTGCGTGTTCCCAACCGCTCTTGTTGCTGTTGCTCTGGTTAGTCACCGTTTATCATACCTCCGCAGAGTTGCTCTTTTGCAAGTTCAATCGCATCGCCTGTGCTGTTGGTGAATGATTACAGCTGTTTCCAAAACGATGGGCCCCGCATCAAGAAACCGCACTCAGGCGGAGTGTGTCGGTCTCCCTATTCCCATCAAGATTGGACCATAACCGGCACGTCGAGGGCGAGCCAGACTACGGCGGGTGGCTGAGGTCGACTGGCAGAAGGTGCGGATCACCTTGAAGGCAAGATCCGACGCTCTCCGCCCGTGTACGCATTTTTGATGAGGGGCCTATCGTTTTGGAAACAGCTGTAATAACGGTGGTGCTTCAGACGGGATTACTTATCTGTTGCGAGATGTGTTTGCATCGTGTAATGGCCACGTTACACAAGCCCGCTTAGGGACACGATACAATGTGTCACGGACTATCTAGGACTTGACCGATGAGATAGCTAGGGACGACGGACATGTTGTTAGGGACTTACCAGAAATGTCCTGGCCTATCCCGTACTCGCGCTCTCTGGGATGTATTCCCTTGTCTTGCCAATGGCAGTGTCTGGGGCTCGCGCCCTTCTTTGTTCATGAATTCGTGTGCGCTCGCTTGCTCTTGGTCATCCTCGTGCCTCGACCTCTCAACTGGACATAACAGTGATCAACCCGATCCGCGCGTTGCACATGGCACTCACTGTTGTAAACTGGCGTGACATGAGCAAAGTCAACTTGGCCATGCATGCATGTTGTCATGCCAACACGAACAGGGATTCTCCACTTTGAGGCACACACACGACTCGGCGAGATCAGTGTCATGAAATGTCATCACAGAGTCACAGCAGAGTATTGTACATGAAGGGCCACAGCGAGCGGGGAACGACGTGAGAGGCATAGATGGCGGCACTGTACACGAGAAGAGATGCTACTGAAACCAAGTCAGCAAAAGGATCACGTGCAGCCACGTGACACAAGGACGTACCGAGGATATTGATGAGTACACAGTACAAGTGCTGCGTGGTTGCTGCATGCGCGTGAGTAGGTGCGAAAAACGAATGAAAGCGGACTCACAACACGAGTCGCCAAGCAATGACGGTCAGCACGAACAACGAGACGGGAGAACGAACGACACAGTACACCAGCACAGACACAACAGGACACGACGTACAGAAGACGGAGCGAACGTACCAAGGACACGCGCGTGCGACGGTCAGAGCGACTGACCAGGGAGGCCACCCTGAATGATAGCGTCGTCGCTCGTATCGGGCGGTTGACTGCCACGCCCTTGCTGACCGCGAGGCCGTGGTTGACCACGAGCACGACGATTTCCAGGTCCACCGCGACCGCGAGGCTGGGGTACCGGCGGAAGAGACGGTCCACGGGTACCGCCGGAAGTGCTCGCGTGCGGCTGAGGTTCCGAGGTGACTGACCGGGAGGCTGCCGTTTTGCCAGCACCAGCTCCGGTCAATCGAGTCGAGCGACGGGGGCCAGCAAGTTGTTGCTGAGAACGATACGTCGTGAGATTGACCGGTTCTACAAGAGATCAGATCACGTACCTCTTCGACGGGTCGCATCGGCTCATCACCGTCCATGTCGAGCGTTTGCTGAACGGGCTCGCTCTCGTCCTGAGCCGGTGCACCGGAGGTCACACCGCTTGGGTCCGTGCTCGGGTTCGCAGTGGCCGGTGGTCCGCGGCAACGCGTTAGCAAGGCCGTTGCAAAGCTGTCGTTCAACAGCGAGGACGCTGCGGGGCGTCGGACGGCTGGATCCTCGAGCCATTTAGTGAGCAGAGTGGCGAGAGACTCTGTACCACGCATGTGAGTGAGATGCTTCAACATTGCCTGGAACGACGCACCGGTATGCTCGGCGAGGTAGTCCGCGACTCCTTGAGGGCGATGTTGTCCGCGATCATGTCTCGAGCAACAGGAGGTAGTACACGCGCACAGTGAGCATGCCCATCTGCGTCGCGTGATACCAAATGTCCTTCTCGATGTCTTCGGCATTGAACGTGGGCGCGATCGGAAAAGACGACAGGAGATCGGAACCTGTGAACCAGGTCGCAAACTCGGACTCGCTGGACGTCTGCTCCGCGATCGCCTTGAACTCGTCGAGCGTGATGCGGATGTCCCAGCGAGGACACTCGGCTTGGGCCTTGGCGGGCTTTCTGCTCTCGAGAATGACCGGTTCCAGCACAGGAGACGGATGATCTGTGGCAAAAGGCCCATAGCGATGACTGGAAGGTAACAGATCAGTGGTATGTTCGGTACAAAGATACCGATCCAACCCGCACTCGCGCCGGCTGCGCGAGTGCGGGTAATGTCAGTAATATCGATGCATCTACCCGCACTCGCGCCGTCGGCGCCAACGCGGGTAGCGACGTGTCAAATACGCTGCACGTTACCCGCATCCGCGCTGTCGACGCGAGTGCGGGTAGATTGCTGTAAAATACACGCACGTTACCCGCACTCGCGCCGACAGCGCCAATGCGGGTAGTGACGTGTCAAATGTATGGCACGTTACCCGCACTCGCGCTGGCGACGCGAGTGCGGGTAGATGCATCACAAATACGTGTACCGTTACCCGCACTCGCGCTCGCTGCGCGGATGCGGGTAATAGCAATACAACTTGACGAACGTTACCCGCACTCGCGCTGGCGACGCGAGTGCGGGTAGTAGCAATGAAAATAACGTACCGTCCTTGACGTGGTCGGCCGTCACGTCCGTCGGGAGTACGAGCTTCGGCGGGTCCTCCTGACGGTTCTTCTTCCGGTTAGGCGAGGCCGTCGTCTCCGAACGCGTGCTTTCGTCACTCCGGCGAGGACGCTTGGAGGTCTTCGCGGCGGCAGTCGCGTCGTCCATGGTCACATCCGGGTCGGCCGGTACAGGCGTGTTCGGTGCAGCGACACCGACGGGAGGCGTAGCAGGGCCGGCTTCCTGAGAAGGCAGCGGTGCCGGGGCCCCGGCCATAGCATCGTCCTCGGACTGGCCAGTCGTCTCGGCCGTCGTGTCGGCTGGCGCGCCGCCCGCCACGCGTGTCTGGTCGAACTGCGTGCGGAGGTGCTCGACATCCGCGTCCGCAGCATCTGGCTCAGGCTCCGCCTCGTTGCCGGTATCCATCGCATCGTCCGTCCGGCTGGCAGGACGCACGACCTTGGAGACGAGTTCAGCATCGCCGGCCGAGCTGGGCTCGTCCTCGCTGAACCGTCGCTCCAACCAAGCAATCTGGCTTGGAGACGGAAGCGAACGACCCGTCTTCTTCGAGACGCCCTCAGCCCAAGGGTCTGCGCGAGCGACACTTGGGATCCTCTCGGCCGTACCCCTCGCCTTCTCGATGAAGAACGAGTGCGGACTGTCGACGAACATCCAGTTCGGCAAGCCCGACAGCTCCTCGTCTGGAGAGTCGACGAAACCGTCGAGCTTGCGAGGCCACGCGCCCAAGACATCCTCAAGCGTGATCCGTTCGAACGTGTACAGCTCGTCGTTCGGCTCGTACACCGCGTCAGCATCTCCGGCCTCCACACGGTACATCATTTGTGCAGCCTTGTACATCATCGTCTGCAAACACAGGTCAGTCTCATAACCGCTGATGGACGATTCTGACGTACGTTTGCAAGGTGCACGGCTGACGACATGATGTGCGCATCGAGCGTCCTGTGCTGCAGGATGTACCGCTCGTTCTCCGTCACCGTCAGCCCGTACATCTGCGGCACCGTCATGACCTGCTGCACGATCGACAGAATGTCCGCGCGCATGTTCTGCAGAGGTACGAATTCATTCTTGACGTGCTTCCGGAACGCTGCCGTCGCGACAGCAGTCGGATTCGGAGTTTTGCCGTCCGGATTGCCCTCGGTTTCGTCCTCTTTCGTCCTCGCCACCTGTGTCGACGATCCGCTCGCGACGGGCAGGTCATCAAACGCGTCAACGTCGATGGGCACGGATTTTGATGCGTGCGCGGGCTGCTTGCCCTTCTTGTTGACCGTGATCGCCGACGTACTCGCGGCTGGCTGCTTCGTCGCGGCTCCAGGGAAGAACATGCTGATCCCCAGCATGGATCGCTGTTCCATGTAGTCGAGCGCCTCCGTCTTGTACCTCGCCTCCTCCGCCTTGATCGCCGCCTTACCTTTCCCCTTTCGCTTCTTCCCTTTCTTGCCCGCCTGCGCTGCCGACTCCTGCTCGCCCCCTTCAAGCGGTGTCCCGTCCGCACTCACCGGTCCCTTCCCAGATCCGAAGCCCGTCAGTCGCCGTATCGCTGGGTGCGTGAGCAACCCGCGAAATCGCCCAATGTCCGACAACCGGCCCTTCGCATACCATTCCGGCCAGTTTTCCGGGTTCGCCGGCTGCTTCACGACGAGCGACCAGCGAGGCCAGAAGATGGCGTCGTGCGTTGGTATGGTCTGGAACTGTTTCATCAGCGTCGTGAGGTCCTTTAGGTACGTGACGATCGGCGGAAGCAAGAACGATTCGCGGGCCATGATGGTCTTGTGAGCCCACGCAGCGATGCACGCAAGCGCGACCGGAACATAGTTCCGCGTCCAACCTTTCTCCTTTGGCAGCGGAACGCCCGTCCGAGCAAACGCTAACGCGCCCGGTATGTCCCATGTCAAGTCAGGTAACGGATCGGCGGGCGCGACGGGCCTGCCTGCGCTACCGGAGCTTGGCCGCAGGCTTCGGCTTGTTCTTCGCCGCCGTGCGTCCAGGCTTCGGGGCAAGCACGACAGGCGGAGTTTCCGCAGTGACCGATGCCCGTGGACCACCGAGCACGTTGCGGTGGCCACAGAGATGGACCACCCACGTCAGGAAGCTGGGCTCCTTCGGGAACGCCTGCTTCAGCGAAGGAAAGAGCTGGCGGATCATGTCCTCCGCCTCTTTCTCCATGTCCGCCGGCTTACGTTCCTTGTTAGCAGAACCGCGCGCACTACCTGGGGCGATGTCCGTGACACCGGCCGCAATCGGCTTGTCCATCCCGGTACGTATGTGCTTGTACTCGGTGTCGAACTCGATCTGCTGAGCGGTCAGCCTCCCGTAACAGTAGGCCAGCAACGGCATGAACCGCGTCCGTTTTGCCCACGACAACATCACGATCTGACATCATCCGGTGAGCACGGTCTCCGATCTGTATGTTGTACCACTGACCTTCGCGGCCAGGCTCTCGCTCACCGGCCCAATGTGCTTCTTCAGACCGCCCATCAGCTCAAGCGCAGTCAACGCGCCCACCAAGGCACCGGCCGACTTGTAGCGCAGGTCGTTGCCGACCGCACAAGCAAACAGCGACATCGGCTCGAGCACGAACGCGAGCTGACACCGGTGAGTAACAATCACCAGAGCACGGAGCGATGTACTTACCCAGATCCATCCCAACTCGTGCGTCGCACGGTCAACCAACAGGCACGAAATCAAGCCGTGCGTGATCAGCGGTGCGGCCGTGACAACCGCGGCGCCCTGCGCCTCCACACTCCACGGATGGTACACGAACCGGATCCGCGCGAGGACCGCTGCACGATGCGCAATCTCCGCATCCGTGTCGCATGGCAGGAGGTCAGCCATGGCAGCATGCAACGCATCACCGTACGCACGCATCTGCTTGCAAGCGTCAGTCGTCCGCAGGTACAGCAGGCGCGGATCGTCCTCGACGATGTGCTTCTGGTGCAAGATCTCCAGAGCCTCGAAGACTTCCGGAGTGTACATAGAGTAGTCGGGCACCGCACGCAGGAACGCTGACCGAAGCCGGTTCATCGTACCGTACTCCTTGATGGTGTCCAGCGCGGCACTCTCCTGGCCGTCCGCACCGTATATCTTCTCGCCCTCCTTCGCATGGTGCGCGTGTACGAACTCGTCCCAGTCCGTACATGCTTGCGTAACCTTGTCGTCCGACAGCGGGAAATCCTGCTTCGAGCCGATCAGGCCCATCGTCCGGTGCAAGTCGAGGACGGGGTAGATGACCGCCTGTATGACGTAGATAGTTAGCCAGAATCAAAATGGATTAACCTGATACTCACTCCAAATGTCGTCGTCGCTTCCTGCTCGAGTTCTCGCCACCGCATGATGCCGGTATTCTCAAAGTGGGACCCGAGCGACGTCAGTGCGATGCAGAATCGTGCGAGCGGAAGACAGTGCACGATGCGCGAGAACATCGTGTTCGCGTGGTGCCCGCCCTTGACCTGTCGTTCCGCCTGCTGAGCCTCCTTGTGGGTCTCCTGCTTATCGCGCAGGACTTGGACGAGTTGCGACGGTTTGATCTCACACAGCGACTTCATCTCCATCGTAAACTTCTCTTGATCCCCCTCCACCTTCTTCCGTGCGTCGCGGTTTCGCGCGAGCGTGTTGATCGCCGCAGGTGAGAGTTTATCTAAGGATGGTATGAGTGATCGTGCGAGATTTGTGAGAACGATACGAACGCACCGCTATCGAAGACCTCCGCCAACCACCACGCCCGCTCGTGCATGTACGCATGCGCATTCTCCACGTCCTGTTCACGTTGCTTGAGTTCGGCCCTCCACGCCTCCGACGTCTTGAACGAGGCCTTCCAATCGTCCACGCGCTTCTCCGTGCGCACGATCGCATTCTCACCGTCCTGGTGCCAGTCGGCAGACGCGTGCAGGCGATGCTGCCCGGCGATCACGTCAAGCACGACCTTCGATTTCTCGTCCTCAATCGCCTGGGCTGCAAGCTGCAGCTTCGGCGTCTTCGAGCCCTTGTGACCTGATACGATGAACGACTGGGGCTGACCGATCCACCGGGTACGGCGAGCAGAAGCGCGTTCTCTTGAGTACGTTGCGAGGCTCGTGCTTCAGGTCTTTCACGATACCCTCGCGGTGGTGAGCATCGAGCGGGCGCGGGTTCCAACGTTGGTACAAATAATCGACCTGCATTGCTCTCATAAGCCAGGGCGATGCCGGCACGAGCGTGAAGCCGAGGCATGCTTCCGCCGCCTCTGCGAGAAGCTCAGCCTCCCGATCCTGTTCAGCGCCCTGACCGGCCGTCATGGGCATTGGGATCCCCCGATCACGTCCAAGTCCGGTTGAATCTACATTGACAACTGTCAGTGTCGATCGGCCACTGATTTGATAATGGTACGTACCTCTTCATACTGCAGCGACTGATCCGAAGGGCCAGGCGACCGAGACGAGCCACGGTCAGACATGGCACAGCACAGATGACAAGCAGAGTGAGATGAAGAGCGTAGAGATGTGCGCGAACGCACGATCGATCTGTGGGCGTATGTTTAACAAGGTAAGTGTGCCCCGAACGCATGGCTACGGATACGTCCGAAGCACATGATCGTGTGACATTACCCGCACTCGCGCAGCCAGCGCGAGTGCGGGTAAAGATACCGATTAAGATCAATGGATCTGGTCTCTCGATGCTACCGGTCTATCGTTATTTACCCGCACTCGCGCCGGCGACACGAGTGCGGGTAACGGTACATCAAATTGTACTACAACTACCCGCACTCGCGTCGCCGGCGCGAGTGCGGGTACTGTTCATGTAATTCTATCGTTATTTACCCGCACTCGCGCTGGCGACGCGAGTGCGGGTAACGTGTCACATAATTAGTGTGTCGTTACCCACATTGGCGCCGTCGGCGCGAGTGCGGGTAAATGACTGATTTGTAAGCTTCTTTACCCGCACTCGTGCCGGCAGCGCGAAAGGGGGTAAAATACCCCTACAAAATGGGTATTCGGTAGTAAGTGTATGAGTGACGCATGAATCATTGACGTAGCTATATTATTACTGTACTGTGTTAGTGTGTTGTGTAGAGTAATGATCCGTCTATTCACCCGCATCTGCGCTGTAGCGCGAGTGCGGGTAACTGTCTTGGACAGTGGTCGTTTACCCGCAATGGCGCATGTAGCGTGAGTGCGGGTAGGGAAATGGGAAATTGATGGGTGTTCCTCATGTGCAGAGGTCCAGTTTTTTGTGAAAACCTCGCCCTGACCCCGCCCTGACCCCGAACATTGGTCGAAAATCCCCTATAATAGCGATGCGAGCGACAGAGGGATCGATAACAGGCAGCGCGAGTCAAAGTGACACGCGCGTTGCGTGCGTCCGGCTGCATCCGTGACAACACGTGCGAGCCAGTCGTGACCGCACGTGCACAACGCGACGCGCGATCACGTTCGCCGGACGACTTGCTCACGTGTATCCGCATTCGCGCCACAGCGCGAGTGCGGGTAACAGCCCTACACCAATGTAGACCGTAATTTTACCCGCACTCGCGCCGTGGCGCGAGTGCGGGTAAGCGTACAGTTCACGTACAGTCTCGCGCGGATGAGTTGGACCCCATAGTACTAATCCAGTATTAAACACGATCTTGCTTAATCGGGCAGCGGTCTACCGCGCGGATCAGCTGATCGGCCTCGCGAGGCCTGCACTTCCCGCACATCTAATCATCACTCACCACAGAGCATGGAACCAAATGTGCCAGACGAGACGTCCGGTATGTAATGCACTCCTGTGTTGCGCGATCATGGATCTTATAATAGACGTAGGGCGCGGTACGGTCAACGCGTCTAGAGGCCCCAGCGCGACGGATGACTTCGTTGCAATTGTGAGAGGAACGCCTTGATACTTGCCGATGTATTTTGCTGACCGTCGCACATGCCAGTTGACCGGTGACCTCCGGTGCGCATGCTGCAAGAAAGACAACCTCCAGCAGTGCAAGATACGCGCAAGGAGTGTAAGGTGTCAGTATTGCCAAGACACGCGCAAGCGGAAGTGTACCTAAGTGTGAGTTGGTCAACAATCACGCGTTCACACCGGCCGACATCACATCGTTTCACTCGTAGAACTACATTCGCCTGGGCCTCATCACCGTGGCCGAAGATGGTACCGCGACGTACGCGCCAAATGAAGAAACCGAGAACATGGAGGTTCCGGCAGGCATGCGCAAGAAGTGGCTCAGCGTCCCCAAGAAAGCTCCACAGACCGGGAGGCGCGGATCCACGCACAAGGGGAAAGCCGTTGCGTCGCGGGCCCAACGCAGCTCGCGTGACGAGAGTGAGAGGTCTGACACGTCGCTGCATGCGGGGCCCAGCCGCAAGCGCCGTCGGCGCACCTCTGATGCTACGTCTTTCGTACCGGTACGTCGATTTACACTCGCTACTTCCTCTCACTCACCTTCCGATTCAGTCCGATGCTTCGCGCTCGCCCGCGAGCGTTCGGCCCACCAGTAGGAATGAAAGTGTCGACGAGTTGGACGAGGATGCGGACGGGGGCACAGGTGCGGTAGGAGTCACCGCCACGGACGAGGAGAGATCGACGGTGAAGACGATAGTGCCGAGGATGACACGGAGGATAGCGAAGCGGAGAAAGAGGCAAATGATCGCGAGGTTAGGGCCGAGCCGGAGCTCACTCGCAAATGGCTCAGCAAGCCGCGAAGGAGCACGGGGATGGACCGGTACGAGCTCGCGGCTGAAGAAGCCAGTCTCGCGACAGACCGCAGCAAGCTCGCCTTGGAGATTGCGAAGGCCGGCGGGGACAATGCGCATTACGCCGCCAACAAGGTAGAGGCGGCAGAGCGCAGGGTCGCTATTCTCGAGCGCAAGGTCGCAAAGCTCGAGAGCGACCTTGAGGACAGCAACCAGCGCACCGCGACGCTCGAGTCCCGCCTCGCGAAGCTCTCGAAGGACGTCAGGAAGATGCGGAAGTGACTTGTATTGAAAACGGTGCAACTACCCGCACTCGCGCCACGGCGCGAACGCGGGTAACACCATCGCATCCCTTCACATTGTCGTTACCCGCGTTCGCGCCGTGGCGCGAACGCGGGTAGATCGATTCACTCGTGACACTGCGCGTAACTACTGTAAATGTATTTGTTGACTGTGGGAGGTCGTAGTATCGCTCGCTAAAATGAATGAATTGACGTGATCGTACCTGCCGTTTGGAACCATCAAAATCCGTCGAGCTGCCGCAGATTTGTACCTGCATTCGCGCTACGGCGCGAGTGCGGGTAGCATGTGTGTTAATTAATTATTTGCACGTCTCAGATCGTCGATCGAGTGCATAGTTCGGTGGTCAGATTGAACAGACATATGTCGAGCATGCTCCAGAAGTGGTAGTACATGTGGTTTACATACATGCACGATGCGATACACTATCCCGACCTTCCTACTCAATCATCTTCATCACCCCCATACCGAGCACGTTTCTTCTTCGTCGCCTGAAGGGCACCCCGCAATCTCGCGACCTCGTTGATGAGCCGCGCGATCACCCCCTGATGGACGTTCAATCGTTCGGCCATAGGGAGATCCGATGATCGCTTGACATCGCGGATGATCGCACTGGTGTCGAGCTCGTTGAGTTTGCCTGTACCAGCATGAGTGTTCCGTTTCTCAATCAAAGAATGAACACTTACGTCTCGCGACACGATGGGCTCCAAAGTTCGAAGGCCCAGCACCCGCGTCAACACTGCTTGATGTTCCTGGCGACACAGGATCCACGTCCATCATCTGCCCACTGAGACGGTCGATGGGCTTGCAGAAGAAGCGGGCGAGTGCGACTGTGCAGATGCGATACGCCCGGCCGGCAGCGGGGATGATGAGTCGGATACAACGTTGGGCGGCGATGCGGGCGTCGAGCGAGTGACAGAACGCGAGGGCGAATGCGATGGAGAAGGCGCGGGCGAACGCGATGACGAGCGTGCACGTGGTAGAGAGTCGGGTGCGGAATTATTCTGCAGCACAGGTGCCAGGGACGCGCGCGGCGAGTCAACCGCCTCAGAGGCTCGTTGGTCCTGTAGCGAGTGAGCGCGTCAAGAGAAAGACAGAAATACAACATGACTTACCGTGAGCGAGCAGTTGACCTTCCTCCTCATACAGCGGTGACAGCACGTCTTCGCGAAGGGCACCCTACACTCATCTCGCCCGTCATTCACACACCGCTTGCACCGCGCGGCCTCGACCAGCTTACAAGTCAGTAAGCTGCGATTGAGATAAAAAAGGAACCCACGTACCACGGTGTTTCGCACTCACAGAGGTCATCTTGCGTGCACCTACCTTACGCGCACACAATCTCCGTGTCGGCTGTCTTCATGCGCAGGTACGCACATCACCCCAGGGCGCGGTGGGCTTGCTGGATGTAAAAGAGAGGGAGACAGGAGGCAGGAGAGGCGGGAGATGTGGTTGTGGGCAGGAGATCGTGTGAGCGCCCGTCGGTGGCTGAGCAGGTGGCTGACGTGATCTCGCCTCCCCTGTCACTGCACATCACTGACGCACAACATGGAATGGACGCCGCATGCGGAGGGTGTAATGGATGATGTGGTACACCACAGATGCATGCCCTCTGTGCACCAGGGCACACGAACAAGTCGGTGCCTCTGAGATCGGGCGGGCGCTCGGACTTGCCAAACAAGGCAATGGATGTGTGGACTCATCCGCAATCGCGCCATGGCGCGATTGCGGGTAAGGGTGACTGGCAGAAGGCAGTCGCAGACTCAAATGGAGACTGCATGTTACCCGCGTTCGCGTCATGGCGCGAACGCGGGTAAGAGTACCTCGCATCCGCAGTCGCGCCATGGCGCGAACGCGGGTTATGCACGCTGAGATTCATGCTGCGAGGGTGAGACGTTTAATGCTCAGAACGTGAAAATGCCTTCCTCACCCATCCTCACCCCATCCTCACCCTAAGGATTGGTCAAAAAGCCCCTATAATGCTCTACAGTCCGGTCCAGTACGGTACAAGAAGACGTGGTTGTCCTTGGCATAGAATGCACAGTGACAATGCTCCTGTGCTGGCACTCTATGGAGCAATATGGGAATATGTGACTATCTTTGGCATAGAATGCTCAATACAGCCCTCAGCTATGTGCATTTGCTTGACAATAAACAAGTCAGCAATTTTCCAAATAAAAAAGAAAGATGCTGAAAAGCAACATTTGCATGCAAGAGACAAGTTTGGATGAGCTGCACATGGTGATAAGAGGCCATCACAGTAAAGGAGGAATAGAGCCAACAGAAACTCACACACAACAGCAAATAATATTGCACAGATCGGGAGACAATATAAATAAATATATGTGCAAAGAGATGAAACCATACAGTAAAGAACAAATAGACAGGCTTGGTCAGAGACTGATGTGGATGAATACACAAGGTGAGAAGTTCTCATAAAATGGACAGCAATAAAAATGCTTATGTATTGCTTCTTGAATGTGGAGCGGACAAAATTCAACTATCAGTACACTCCACGATCAGCACAATATGCGTCATCTAATGCAACTGAGTGACAGACAAAAGAAGCCTCCACAAAAAAGAAACTCTATTCTATTATCAAAAACATCCAAACTCAAATCATTGTCAATACTGACTCTGGAGCACTCCTAAGTATGGCTCAATGGACACCTATATGCTAGGCCACCATTGTGACCTGCCCATTTGAGCTGTGAGCATTTTTTTAAAAGAACAAGTCAGCAATTTCTTTGTAAAAGATTACTGTGCATGCTGAAGTGATACTTGCACATGAGAGACAGGGTGCACAAGCAGCACTTGTGATCAGAGTCTGTGGCAAGAAACAATAGAGCCAACACACTCTCACGCACAATGGGAAGTATATAACACCAGACAAGCCATCAGGGGCAGTTTCACAATTTAATTGCCAGCTAGTCAATCCACAACACTCAAATCCAATTAAATCACTCCTAACCTAGCATGGACACAGCATCCAAAATTTCCGCAATGCATTCCCTACACGTTCACAATAACATGCCAATTTTGTAGGCACAGTGCCTATTTCTACCATAGTGATAAATGGCTGGTTCTAGTTCCCATGTGAGTATTGTCAAAGCAAATGTATTTGCTATGTGACATCCTGAGAATTGTTAAGCCCCAAAAATTCAATGATCATAGCAATGCACAAGCAATGAGCAACAATTCCCAGCGCTTTGTCATGAATTGCTCATGAAACATTCAAACAATATACACAATGAGCAAATTGGCATGTGTATTCATCCAGTGCATGTCTCAGAGAATATGGTAGTAGTATTGAGCTGAGTGGGTTCACATGGTATACACCTGATATGTAGATTGTTATAAAAGTGGAATAACAGGATATATATACTAGGAGTTACATAAACAGCTGTCTATCTATGGGGAGTTCAGATAAAGTGGAAAATAGTTCAAGTGAATGGAGCCATCTGTTCTCTCTCTCCTCCATCATTTGAGCATACACAGAGGGATTATTGCTCTGGAGCTGTTCTTCAGTTTGAAATCCATAACTGACCCATCTGAATAAGCCCCCAGCAGCATACTGTGTGAAGGAAAATCTTGTTTCATCCTCTTGAACAGGCACATTGCCATGTTCTACAAGGGCTGAGGGCAATAATATTGCAGAGCCTGTATAGAAATGGTAATCAGTGCTAGTTTGAAATAAGACAAATGACTAACCTGAAGGGAATTGTATAGCTTTCTTGAGTGGCCATAGAATGAGATGACCACCCTTGGTGTGATCAAATGCCCAAAAGCCACAACAGCACACCATCCACCAGGTAGGTTGGCTGAATCTAAATGCAGTTAGTACAGACTTGAGGGCCTAAATTGAGGTTGAATGCTGGGAAAATGCTCCTCTTGAATGGAGGAGAGAGTTGATGCTTGTTGTACAGAGCTTGCAAGATCTCTGTGTAGTATTTGCACATTTTGGGGGCATAGAAGGTAAAACAACCTATGATTCATGAGATAAAACAGACACAGAGACAAATGAAAATACATACTTTGAACAAAGTTGACTACTCTGTTGACATGGTTGTTACCAGCAAAATGCTCCATGGCTCTCCGGATGCCTGGAGGAAGGGCCAAGGGCTGAGGAGACTATGCAAAAGTCAGTAAACAGCATTAGAAATTTATTACAGTAACTCACCCTTTGCCCTCCGCCATATGAAACTCCCATCGCAACTGTTGGGTAAGTGCCGCGGCGGTGAGACCATGTACGCTTGTACAAGCCTGTGTCGACGGCAACCTTCTTCGCAGCCTCTGTCAAACCCTCGATTGCGTCACTCCACGTCGGATCCCCTACCGGTCGACCAGCAAGCGCAATGACGATACGGCCCTCCTGGTCAGTAATGACTTGAGGGTCACTGCAAAGGATAGGTGATTAATAGCCACGATTTCGAATGAGTGAGTACGTACATGCCGTTCCACGATACAAACTCAAAATTGAGCTTGCGAACCTCTTCCAAGGTGAGTGTCTTCCCGCCCGAACTGTGTCTCGCGCCAATCCATGCGCCCTTTGAATGCTTCAAGAGCCTTGCGTTGGTCGTAGTCGGCACGGAGGGAGGGATCGGGTGGTGTTTCGCTACAGATGACCTGATTTTGTGAGCGAACGACGCCTGCTCATCCCTCGCCTCACGGGCGAGAAGACGCTTCGTAGCACGCCTTTTCGCCTTACCGGCTTTTGCATGAGCCTTGCGGCCTGAAGAGCGGTACGGAGCCGGCGAGACGGAGGTTTGCTGAGATGGCAATGATAGGGGCTCCGAGACCGCTGCCATCCGAGCCTCAGCGAGTTCGACGTGCTCGTGATGGCCACGGAGCAGCACGGAATGAGACGGGGGCGGGGAGGACGGCGGAGAGCTGAGAGGCGAGAGAGACACGTCCGACACGTACGGTGGGTCGGAAGTTTCTTCCTGGTCGCTATAGCCCAAGATCCCTACGTCGACCTCGGCGACAGTGCGCGACGCACGAAACATCCCGTCCTCTGCTTCAATCGCCCGGCCCAAAGACGCCTGCAGCGGGAACACAGTGGGGATGATCGACCATGGCGAGAATTCGCGCCCGGAACGCGTCTTGACCGAGATAAATGAGAACAGATGTAGTAAAACGAGGACACACTTACTGTACGAGTAGATAGCGACATGACAGGGTGACCACCTGTCAAAGGATGGTCAGTAAAAGAGGCGAGCCAGCGAGGCGTCGGGCGCGTCCCTAAGCACGCGCCATAGGGCCTCGGTTAGACCCAGCGGTCGCGCGACAGGAAGGCACAAGACACCAAAACAACGCGACATACCTACAGATACAGAGAATGAAAGTACGGCCAAGAGTTGCGACGTACCAGTGCCCGCCAGTCGCGCTCGCCACGAAGTCGCGTCCGGCACAAGAACATGTGATCGCGGGACAACGCCTGGCAAGCGAGTGCCCAAGTCCGCGACCTGGGCGTAAAGCGTGCAGTAACTATCGACCAACCTGACTCTGCGACACGGGGTGAGTCGTCTGCCGTGCCGTCGTGTGACTAACTACATGATCTGCATTTCAGATGCCTTCAGTACAACCTACCGACGAGAACGCGGACTTGCGCGCGGTCGAAGACGGGCGCAGCGACTCAGAAAGTACGCGCGTGGGGACGGACACGGCGTCGGAGGATGGCGAAGGACGGGCGGGGTCAGAGGGCGAGGACGAGGGCGAGGGCGAGGGCCGCGAGGCGAGCGTAGGCGTTGAAGGTGCGCGAGCGAGGACGCCAGCTGGGTGCGACAGACGGGCCGGGGAACTGGCGCAAGACGAGGGCGAGGGGGAGCGAGAGCACGACGACGAGGTCGGAGACAAGGCGAAGGTCGGGCGCAACGATGATGCGCAGACCAGGTACGTGGTCATCAGGTAGTGGCGTAGGGGAGTGTTGACGAGGAGCTCGACGGCGTCGCAGGCCGGACGCGCCGTCAGGCTCGGCGCAGAATCCAATCGAGGTGGACGACGGGTCGACGGACGACGAGCTCGAGTTCACTGGGTTCCGCCTGGAGCGAGTACCTCGCAATGCGGCGAGCGAGGCGCAGTGGGAGACCGAGGGCGTCGTTATCACGGGGTATAGGTTCAGTCGGAGGGCGGCGCGAGGACGACGAGTTCAACGTCGAGTGCAGCGTGCGGAGACCGGAGAGGAGGAACAGGAGGAGGGCCACAGCGCGAAGCGCATGCGGAAGTAGCAGGACATAACGGTTTCTCGCATTCTAATCACTACGTACAATGGCGTATCTACAAGAACAATACCACCGCTTACGCGCAATAAGAGAACTGGACCATGTCTTTGCAGTGGTGGAACAGGGCGGTCAGCACACGGTGAACAAGCGTGGATGACGCTTATTCGTCCTGGGCACCGAAGCAGTAACGTGGGCGTGAGCGGGAACCGCAATCGGCGGTATGATTTGGCAGGCTACGATATACAACACCGCCACCAGTGAACGGCGGGGACTAACGCGTGACATGCAAGAACGTTTGCGGAACAAAGGGGGGAGACAGGACACTGCGAAAGAACAAAGAGACATGCTACGGGCAACACAATGACAGCGACAGCGAAGCCAACACGGCTGAGGCTCAAAAGCGAGCGTTCAGGATGATGCGAACGAGTACGAGGAACTGGTGATAGACAATTTGAAGGCAGGCAGAACGTGAAACCATATGGACCGCAATTTAAAAGTAGATACGGTCACCGTCGGGGTTCACGGCTTCCTTGAGAACGCGGGAGCGAACGAGGATGCTCATAGCCCTGCTGATGGGGGGTGAGCGCATGTACATAGACGTTACGAGAGATGTCTTACCAGAGGACAGACAGAGTGTCCTCCCACTCACATATGAGGACAGGCCGAGCAACATCCCGTAGGAGCCGCGCGAGCGTGACAGGATCACCGGGAGCCCTGAAGTGACGGTCGAGGAACGCTTTGTAAAGTATATCGGCACAGATGTCGCGGTGGGGTGCAATGCTGTCCAGCGATGGGACCGTAGTGACATCGTCGGACACCGCGTGATCGCCGATTTCGATAAGGGCGTTGAGGGTGTCCATACTTGGAACGTGAAGTTGGTGTATCAATGCATGGCGAGCCTATGGACGAAGATGGATGAGTACGACGGGAGTGGAAGAAACAAAACATACCGTGCAAGCTGAGAGAACATGAGCATCGTAGGCCCGATTGGACTGCATGTTGTGGATGAACATTTGCGGCGCACCGCTCTGGGCATCGAAACACGAGCCCTCAAGCCAGGCGTACCGTATGACGAAAAGCTTGTAAGGCTGGTCGTCGTGTAATCCGTAACGTGGGGGTGGCGTAACGAGCTTGAGGGAGCCTCGCACGCGGATGATATCATCCCGCCTGTGTGGAGAATGAGTCAATTATAGCGTGAAGAAGCGGATGTGCTCACTGAGCAGGAGGAGCAAGGACCTCATAAGAGTCCATGTCCCAAGTGGCAGTGATTTGCCTACCGTACCTGTCTTCAATGACAGCCTCAAGGGCGTCAGGCGTAAGACGCCATTCAAGAACGCGGACGATCGTTTCAATCTGAGGGAGGGTGTAAGTTGGCGGTCAAAGAACGCAGACGAGTTGTAAGACTCACCTCAGGCAGCTGAGCCCCATAAAGCCACCACGTCGCGGTGCCGTCCTCGTCAATTAACTGGTAAGCGTAGCGTAGGTGGCTAATGGTCAGCTTGATGAAGGCCTTATCGGGGGCGAGAAGCTAGACGGGGAGTTAGCGGACCGTACGCATCGGCGCATGTGCGGGAAGTTCACCAAACCCCAGGCGGAGACGAAACCCGGCGGGATGGAGAGAACATCGAGCGGCGGTAAGCGAACATCATCGTCTGGCGAGATGAGTGTCTGAACGCCTGATAGAACAGGCGCACCTACCGAGCTCGTTCTCCAAGGCTTCCAAACCATGGAGTCTGACGATTCTGCGTGCAATTTCGATGGCGTGACGGGGGATGTCGAACTGACCCCAGTCAACTGAGAACGACGTGAGGAGAGGTGGTACATAGACGAGACAGAGTGACTTACACGTGTCGTCTGGGGATAGGAAAGTTCGAGGTGAGGAGGCATTGCGACGAAATAACGACCGATGTGTTCGATACAAAGCATTCAGGTACGAAGTGAGAGAGGGAGATAGCAGACTGACCATGAGCGTGCTTCGGTAGAGCGGCCCAGAGGCGGTCGAAGGCTGGCAAGACCATGGCGAGTGCGGATAGAGAGGCGTCCGTTCACGAAAAGGGGGGAGTAGCTGGAATGGGGAGCCCAGAAGAACGGACGGGAGGGTATAAAAGGTAACCAAATCGGGAGAACCGAGCGTACGGATACGCGTGTGTGGAACGGAGGACAGTCCGTAGAAGGAAGGCGGCCGATGTATGACGCAGAGGTTGACAAGGCGAAGAACAGAGTTTGACCGGGCAATTTTTGCCGTCAAACCACGGAGGACAGGCTGTCACGCCCTCGAAGGGTGCGCTACCGAAACATTGGCTACCTCTGAGTTGGCGGAGTGACCATTTGGGCGGGTTGCGTTAAGATCGCAGTCCGACATACGAGCCGATTGTGCAACCCGCCCCGTACGTGTGGCAGTCTTGCCTGTGGATGAGTTGCGAGCGAGAGAACTTTGCTGAACGGCCAACCTGGAAATCAGGCCGTGGCGACATGGGCTGCGTTGGGTTGCTGCTCATTTGGGTACAGGGAGCGGTAGTTGGTGGGCAGGCGTGGCTGGTGCGGCCCTTCGACGCTGACGTCGGACACGCGAAGAGCAGACAGTAGGATGCCCAGGATGGTCTTCGACGCAACGCAGAATGACACGAACGGACCGTTTGAGGGATGGAGGAGACAGCAGCCGGGCGCTGATCATTCGCAGGAAGAGCGAACCCTAAGCCAGGAGTTCGGGCTCAGAAGCGTCACCGAGCGCCTTCTGTCTTAGAAAAGAAGCCAAAGAAGAGTTTGCAGGGAAATGTCACTTCTTGACAGAGAAGACGTTTACAATCGGGCCGTGCTACGGTGACGTCAGCAGGCTACTGAAAGCGATGCCGGAGGGCGACGGGCGTAAAAGGGCTGCCCCGAAAAGGAAATAAGTATTCGCGAGGCGGAATGAGACGGGAATGCGCCGAACTGGAATAGTATCCCTCGTTTGAGCGAAACTTGGATGGCGTTGGATAAGGGGCAGTGAGGTTGACCAGGTCGCGGAACCTGTGGAAAGTCTCTTGGGTATTGCAAGTGCGGCTACGTACCTCGGGACAAGGTCGCTCAACGCCGGAAGGGAGGTGTCATCGCCTTGCGTGGTACGGAAGAGACCAGTGTCATGGACGATGAGGGCGTGTATGAATCCGCCGGCGTATGCCCAGCGCTTGAGACGGACGACGAGAACGCACTTGGGCAGCGGTCGCAGCAGCGATGCAAAGGGCGGGGATGGCCGACCACGGCGAGAATTCGTACCCAAAACAGTGATTGAGCAAACGGAGTGAGCGCAGGACTAGTTAAGATGGAAAAGCACCTACTGTACGCAAGCAGATGGCGAACCGAACTACCTGTCAACGGGCAGTCAGAAAAGCAGCCATAGAAACAAGCGACAAGTCGTGCGCGACCCTGACGCACCCGCCATAGGGCCTCGGTTAGACCCAGCGGCGTCGCACGGAAGGGACGCACAAGACGAGACGATGATGGAACGTACCTTCACAGAACACGAAATGCGCAGAGGCCTGTGACGTGCCACGCAGACTCCCGAAGCGGACGAGCGGGCACCAAGCCGCGCAGCACTCACTGTATATACTAGACAGTCTGAGCGACCTAAGGTAAGTGGTCAGTGTCGCATTCCTTTGACCAACCATAGAGGGTGGTACTTACAGATGTCTAGAAGAAACCAGCCAGAGCTTGCGCGAACAGATGAAGACTTGGGCGAGCCCGTGAACGGACGGAGCTCCGAGAACACCCCTGTACGGACGGACAGGGCGTCGGAGGATGGCGAGAACAGTGCGGGTCAGAGGGGGAGGGTAACGCCCGCAAGACGGAGTTGAAACGCGCGGGGCGGGGTGTAAGCCGGGATGAGACACAGGCCGGGCACGCGACAGAACGAGGGCCCAAAGCCGCAGGAGGGCACGACGGCGAAGTCGGGGACTAGGGGTTGGAAGGCACAAGCACGAGGCGACGAATAGACGCGTGCCAAACTGGAGTAGCGGACGACGAGCGTTGGACATCGCAGAGGGAACACGCGGTCAGGCCCTGCGGAGAAGCAGGTCGACGTGGACGGCCTATCGACGGATGACAGGCGCGAGTTCTCGGGCTTCCGCCTGTTGAAAGTGCTTCGCACCGCAGTGAAGGATCAGTTATGAGAGACTGAGAGACTCGTGATGACTGCCTAGTGGGTCTGCACGATAGTGGTGCGAGGGCGAGTGCAACGCCCGATGCAGCGTGCCGAGACCGATGGGGCAGGAGGGCCCCAGCGCGAGGCGCATGCGCCGGCAGTAGGGGATAACATTTGGAACTACCTACTGGGCGCCGAGGTGTTCGAGTGCATCTTGAAGTTCTAATTTATTTACAACGACGCGTAGCCACCGTGCGCTAGGCCCGTTCAATTTCGGCGCGATTGGTGTTCACTGGTCGACGAAGAAGGCCTGAGTGCTTCCTTAACTTGGAGCACAGGGCGACGCTGGCCACGTCAATGACGACTACCGTACAGACTATAAAACATAATTTGATCGGTGATGAAAGCTATTTGAATTTGAAGGGGACGCTATACGCAAGAAATTGGAAGCTCCGGATGACCCGTCACCGTTTGTAGAAGACAGTATGCTTGACGAAGGAAGGGACAGATTAACGACGCTGATTGAGCTGAGAAGAGACAGCTCAAGTTACGAAACATAGCTATACAAATAAACCGCACCTTAAAAGTACATCCTGACGCCGTGTTTGTTGATAGCTTCGCGGACAACGCCATCGTGAATGAGGCGGGTCAAAGCCTGGCTGAGAGGGTGTGAGGGAGAGGATGAACAGATAAGGCACATGGCAACATACCATACAGCGTGCGTTCGCTGTGAAAATTGATGAAGGAGGAGGGGCTTTGCAATGTCGCGAAGGATTGTACGCAAGGACAGTGGCGTTCCCTGGGAGTGTTTGCGACGCCAGTTGAACGCAGAACGAATTAGATCTGAGGCGATCTCTTGCGGCGTAAGCATATCCAGCGAGGGTACGGTGACGACATCATCATATGTTCCGTGCTCATTGGTGCGAATGAGGGCCTTCAGTGATTCCATGTCGCCGACGATATGCTCATTGATGGCTTCGTAGCGGGCCTGAAGGCGAACGTTAGTGAAGAGGAAAGAGACTATCCGGGGAAGATGTACGAACCTTCACAGCAGACATGCAATGGGCCTCAAACTCACGCTTAGCGCACATACCGTGAACGAACATTTTCGGCGTCCCGCTCAGGACATCGTCGCAAGATCCCTCCAGCCACGCATAGCGAATGACGAAGGTCACCTGCGTGGGCGTGGCCGTCGAAGAACCAGGACGACACTTAGCGATTTGGAGGCGACCACGGAGTCGTACTATGTCGTTGTGGCTGCTCAGGTCAGGGATGGTTCGAACTGGACAGGCAGGAGAAGAACGTACTGGTAGGTGGGCATGAGCGTTGGGTATGTCGACGACGCCCAAGTAGCTCGCATGTTCGAATGGTATCGATCTTGTACCACGGCATTGAGGCGCTCTGGAGTGGGTGTCCAGAACACAATGCGAACGATCGTTTCTATCTAAAACGGGCGCGTTAACAACGCAGTCAAAACGGCATAGTTGTGGAAGCAAACTTCAGGGAGTGCGGCACCATACAGCCACCAGACAGGGCGGCGACAGTGCGTACCAAACGAATACGCTTCCTTTATGCGTGTAACACTCAGCTTGATGACGGCGTCTTGAGAGCAATCCAGCTGCAGGAACACATTGGCGTCGCCGTAGAGGAGTGTAAGACGAGACTTACAAGAGAACGGGCTGAACAAAAGTCCGAATCCATCGCGAAGCCGACATCTGAGATTGGATGAGATGCGAAAATATGTAAGGGGTAGGTAAAAAAACTCACTGCGATGCGACGTATCACGCGGAGAGCTCGGCGACTTCAGGATGGGCCGTGGGCTAGTGGTCGGAGAGGTCGAAGTTGAGCGCGGCGAGCGAGTGGAAGAGGGAGGAGCGTCCAAGTCAGCGAGGATGACAGAGGACGGGTAGACCGGCGAACGAGCCGAAGGAGAGGAATCTTTCTGTACAAAGGTGCGCGGATTGATGGCTATGCCGATAGCCAGCGTGGGGTCTGGTGGGTGATCGTCACCAACTAGAACACGTCAGCGCGGGTGTGTAGAGCATGGGTGTTAAAAATATACCTAGGAGATACTCCAAGGCTTCAATGCCCGATGCTTTAACGATGCGGCGGAGGTTGGCAAGGGTGTCGGGCAACAGGCCGAACTGGGCCCAATCGTCTTCGAGGGCATGATCAGGGGCAGGACTGTGTTTCAGCAACCAAACTTACAGGTATCGTCTTCAGGCCAAAGGTGTGATACAGGAGGACATTGGCATGTCGTGAGCAGGTGCGAAGGGAAGACGAGCGCAACAAGAAGTCAGACAGGAATCACGAGAAGAGATGGTACGTACCATGTGCGTAGTCGATGAGGGCGTCCCAGAGCCGCTCAATTGCTGATACCATGGCGTAGTAGAGGAGCGAAAAGGTGAGAAGGTTGAGGGTGGTTGGGAGAAGAGGACAGGACGCAGCAGCTAAAGTACGGGGCCGCGTTGTATGACATGACGAGACTGGCGGGGCGAGACGGCGTGGGGAGACCGAACATCGAAGGGCGACCATAGAAGGAAAGCGAGCGACGTATGACAGGGGACTGGTGCTTGGAAGGGTTGTGCGGAATGGGGTGCTTCATGTGGTATTCATAGCGGCGGACAACATGTCGGAATCGACTCGTCGGTGTTACCGAGGGACCGGTACCCGGCCGTACCAAATAAGACCGGTACGGTGGCGAGGAGAATGCGTGAGATTGTACAGGACGGCGTGCGTTCGGGGTAGGTATGGAGTGAACGGAGGCATGTGTACTTATACATATGGAAGACTCTATTGAAGTCTAATGCGATGAAAGTAGGACGTGGGGCGAGCGTAGAGCGTGAAGAAAGCGTAGAACGACGGCACACGGAACGACAGTACGCAGAACAACAAGACGCGGAACGACAGCGCGCGGAACAACAGCTTATGTGCAATGCGAGAAGTACAGTGTATGCTAGCATTACGTATCAAAAATAGAACGCAAATTCACGACCGACAATGATTTCGCGAATGTCTCCTCGACCGACAAGGGTATCGAAGGCGTCGCTGAAGACGCCGTTAGTTCGGTGGTTGTACTGCAAGGCGAACGCGTACTTGAGACTATCGACAAGATTCGGAAGTTTAGTGTCCAGAAGGGGCACAGCGAGGTCGCGCAACACGCGTTCCATTGGTATGGCGCGGCGCGCCCGAGTGTTGCAGGAGTACCAGCTCTGAATGAGGCGAGCGCAAGCCTCGACCGGCGGGTGTTGCTGAAAGTAGGTCACTCGAACGCGATCGAACAATCCTTGTTGATTGTAACATTGGTTCGCTGAGCGGATGAGCCAGTTGAATATAAGGTCGCTGCGTATCTTTGCGAAGCCAGCACGAGGTGAGCGCCGCTGTCCAGAAACACAGAGACGTATTACACACCTTCAGCGTGGCAAGGCGGCTCGCAGAACGCTGTTTGTCGGCTTCGCGAAGATGGTCTTGGAGCGTGGTGAGGTGACGAGCGAGGGGTGCGGTCACCGGGGTCAGAACGACAACGGTGAATGGTCGGATATGCGTCTTCTGGTCCCATGATATCTTCAGCGAGCCATTGATGGACACGATGTCGCCAGGCCTGGGATGGGGTTAGCTTTACACGCATACAATGGAAGCAAGGCTGACCGAACGCGAGGATACATGTCGTCCGGCAGGTTAGGATCCACATTGAGCAACTGTATGGTGTTGTTGGATAGGTCCTCGACATCGGCTAATAGACCGTCCGAATCTAGGTCCCAGAAGAGTACTCGAGCGACGACAACGAACTGGGGTATGGTGAGGACAAGAGAAGGCCCCAGACCGACTGAGAACTCACGTCAGTGACTTCCCGACCGTAATACGACCAACGCACGGCTGTCTCGTGATTGACGAAGACATGATGAGCGTCGCGTAGATGTTGCAGTGAATACTTGGGAAATAGAGCCTTGCATGCCGTTGGATCGTGCGCAGACGTTAAGGGAACTTGGACTCACGTCTGAGGGAGGCGGTGCAAAACGAACAGAACGCGAAGCAGCGCGGGCATGCACGGAAGCCGTCTAGAGAGGATTGGGATGCGCAAACAGGGAGATGTATGCATACGGCACCTGAGGCGGAGGACGGGATGGCGTCGCTGCGCGGGTGTGCGAGGCAGATTGATCCTGTCGAGGCATGCCTGCAAGGATTGCGACCGACGTTGAGTAGAGGCATACAGAGCAAGCCGCATGCGAAGGCCGGACGATAGTGCGAGGTGGAGTGCGAGAGTTGTTGAAGACTCACTGCGTGTTGGGAGGGGGTCTGTTGACGGCGAACGCGTGCAACGGAAGAGGTGTACGGAAGGGAAAGTTGACGCGGATACTGGGTGAACGGACGCGCTCGACGACGGGGTTTGTCGAGGGCCGGAAAGCAGCGCGAATACGAGGAACCGAATCGACATGTCCGGAAACGGGACAGTGTGCGCATCGAGACGCGGCGGGTGGCTCAAAAGATTCCAAATACAGTACAAGGTTTGACACATCGAAGAGCGCGAGACGAATAGGGTCTAGTTCTACGGAGCTGTCATGTTTTGACAGGAACACTCGGGACGAGGAAGCGCGGCGATCTAAGCCTGCTGTGACGTCGGTGTGCAGCTCAGAGAGTGGTCCAGGGAAGTGACCGGCCATGGCAAGCGACCAAGGAGAAGGAGAGGGTTCCAGGGCTTGAATGCGATACCACCGCCGCGTTCAAATTGACATACGAGCCGGCGATTGAGAAGGAGTGCGAACGCATTGCTACAGGCAGTGAGCCACATACGTCCACATGCGCTAAGAAAACCGGAAGACTCACTTGACAGACGTGGGGCTGTACATGTCAACGTGAGCTAGGGCACACCAAACGTCCCGGAGGATGTCAAGGAGCCGGACGAAAGCTTGACAGCGGCGGGTCAGCCGGTAAACCATGCTGATCTTGATGGCGACAAGGCTTGCGTCGTCGACCAGGAGGCCGGCGATTGCCCATTTGATGTCCCGGTCCAGGGACCACGTGAACTCGGAGATAGGGTGCAGGGGGCCCGGAACGAAGCCCTGGATGGCTACGAGACGTTGCTGTAGAAATAGAAGATGTGTCAGAATAGGGTTTGACGAGACAAGAAGGCGCCACACTGACATGGTCAACGTCGAGGGACGACCAGCTGTCATAATGAGCGAGAAGATCGCTGTACGCCTGTAGGTCTGCTTCGATTTGAGGTCTAGAGGACTTCCGCTGAAGGATTTTGAAATCGAGGATGACCAAATGGAGCCACTCCCGAGCGCCGTCGTCCGCTGGTTCGTAGTTGAAGCCCTCGGGGGAATACTCGATTCGAGCGGTGAAGAGGACGAGGTCGCCATAACTAGAGGTCGTGTTTAGAGACCGTCGGACCGGGCAAGGTGAGACTTACCTTGGCTGAGGAGCTGTGAAGGAAGGGAGGGGCACGTCTTCGCCCCACAAGGCACGGAACGTTCGAGTGTCGTCGACGATCACGGCGTGTATAGAGCCGTCCCGGTAGGTCCATTCCGTGATGCGTGCGACACAAACAAACTGCTGTGAGTGTCAGTGAAGCCAACATGGAGTGAATGTCAGCATACCTGGTCTATCTTGCAACCGTCAAGCCACCAAATGGGGGCACCGTCGTACTCGCCGGCGATCTGAGCACGGCAAACGGATTCCAACGAGAGCGGTCGAAGGTTGGAGACCATGATGTCCTGTGAAGGAACGCGACGTGAGCGAAAGCAGCCGAGGAGACGACCCGACATACCCTTGAGACACCGGGTGTCATAGCGAAAGGGGAGCTGTCCCAATCGGTGGGAGTCTGGGTTTTGCCGTGAGCAGCCGTGTCACCGTTCATCGAGGTACTGTTAACGACGTCATGCGCCTTCTGAGACGGGACGATCGCAGAACCTCCCAAGAGTTCTGCGAAAGCCTGATAAGTGTCTAGAGATGTTCCAGAAGAATGAAAATCACCCTGCAAAGGAGACGCTGTGTCATGCTCTTGCCATTTGACGACGAGCGACGTGTCAACGTCGGGCGGGTCACTGGGAAGTGGGGCGGCGTCGCCGGGAGCGGGTGTCGCCCTGTCGTGAACGTTGCTCAGGACGTACGCAGGCGACGGGGTCCGGCGTGCGGCGACAGGAGGCGGGTCGAGTGCTTCAGCCGCTTGGAGGAGGGCTGGATCGTCGCCTTACGAATCTTGAGTCGAATAACGCGTAATGGCAAAGGTAGACATACTGTAGTACTGGAAGTAATCTGTTGTCAGAAAGCACGCCCTCAGCAAGTCGCGAATGAGTGGCAAGGTCATTGAGACTCACCGTCAGAGGGTGGGTCAGAGGCAGGCATGTTTGGACGAGTACGATGATGGAAGGAAGCAAGTTTTGTGGATGTATGCGCGGATCGCTTCAACGAGGAAAGCTGGACAATGTGAAGGGATGTGATAATGACCGCAGGACACCATAAATGGATGTCTGACGTTACAGCCAACGCACAAAAGTCGTCAACTACCAACGTACCTTCAACGGCTCGAGGTCCTGTCAGACGTAGGTCTTCGGTCAGCCCTGAACAACGATGAGACGCTATAGAACTTACCGAACTGGTACAGAGATGCCTGGACAAACGACTATGCCTGGTGCCGAGCGGTGGACCGGTGCTGACGGAGCAGCCAACGCTCAAGTAACGAGACGGATTCAAGGGTTGACTGAGAGGCTGCAACAGGGAGATAGGATGGACTTCAAGGTGAGCTGCGCAGCGTACACGAAGGACCAGAGACTTACAGAGGGAAGGTGTGGGACCTGAGGTTGCAGAAATCGCTGCTGGACGTACAACGCGAAAAGACTGCCTTGACCAGTGGAACGTACGAGGCTTCGGCGTGGAGAAACGCGAGCGATGCAGCGAGACAGTACGTGCTGAAAAGCCTAGCAGCCGTGCTAAGCAGCAAGGAACGGCTGGAAATGACGTTGGCGAGAGAGTATTCCGCGACGCAAGCAGAATGTCAGGATTTTCTAGCGAGTTGCGTGAGTGGAGAGTTGGAGACGGATACCATGACAAGGGAGGTGGTGGAGCGATACAAGAGAGATTCGAGAGAATGGGATGAGATAGCCGCAGTGATGGCGAGGTCACACATAAGCCAGAGGAAGAACGGTTGGGCTGTGTCCGCGGCCGAAGAAAGCAACCCGGCGCGTGGGTGGGTGTACTTCGCTTGCGCGAACGGAATACTGGGGAGGGAGCTGCGGGCGTGTGGCAGGCGGTGGCGAGAGAAGGCTGGCTGCAAGGACTTGGACAACTCGGGCGTTGGATGTGTAGGCATGGCGACCTCGGGGTGGACATGGCAAGCGTCATGCTCTCGCGTATGGACAGCCCGTTGCCTGTGGAATGGGTGCAGGGAGTTGTGTACGAAGCCATTCAACTCGAAAAGCGTGCGCTGGAAGGTACGGGTCTGACATGTTCCTGGGGACGTAGCACTGACGACGAAGACAGAGGACCTGGGACGCGATCACCTAGGCATATCCGTTGAACGCGTTCACGGATACGTCGACTACCTAGGCAACACTGTACTCCGCGCACTGGGCGTAGGCTCCGCGAGCGTTGAGCGGCTGAACAACCCGTTCTATCCATACGGTGGTGTCGCGTCGCATGCCGAGAGCCGGCTCTTCGCGTCGAAGGATAGCCCGCACTCGTTTTCATTCATGCTGTTGCAGTGGTCGATCGGGGTGTGGGAAGGGTTGGGATTGAATGTCCATAGAGCTGGGTACGCTCGAGACGGTGAAGACGACCCAGGTTCGCGAAAGCTCCATTGATGGATTCGACTAATGTGTACAGTAGAAGCGATGAGGTACATGATTAACACTGAGGCTGACTACGTAGATTGGACGACAGACCCGATATCCAAAGTCACTAGATGGTACTGTATTAGCAATTTAGACGAAGAGACCGAAACCTCAGGCGGACGGGAGGCGGTGGGGAACGACAGCCGCACGCCCGGTGACGTCGTAAAACGTCTGGCAATAAAAGGAAACTACGTCGTGCTCAATCTCGACGACGAGTTGAGGATGATCTTCGGGACGGAGGTGCCGCTGCATAGAGTGGGAGTTTGGCCAATGCAACACAACACGTCGAAGGCACTCCACAAACACGGCGAGGTTTTGGCGATGCAGCGACGCAAGGCCCACGTTACTTTGAGGATAATGCGTTGGAACGAGCTGGCGATCGGCGAAGCAAGCGGAGAGGAGCGCAAGACGGTCATTGCGAAGAACAGGCGGTTTGGACGCCATCCCGGAGAGCTTGAAGTCGACCGCGGATAACTCCAGTCGAAATGATAGCTCGTAGAGCTCCCAAACCACTTGACGCACGAAGCTGGGTGCCGGGTTGCGTATGGGAGTGGCGACGGAGAATTCGTGCCATCTGACGGAGGACGGCGTGCGGAAGTCGGAAGTGGGGAAGAACTGACCAAACGCGCTCATGGCTTCCATACGGGCCTTTGCGGAGGCACTCAATTTCGATGTGGCATCATGCTGCGACGCAGCAGAACGGCGCTGTTCATCAGTCATGACGAGCAGTGCGTTCCATACCTGTTTGTTGAAAGGCACCACAGCTGCAGTGTACACGACCTTCTTCATGTGAGCGAGCCAAGCCGGACGGATCGTGAGCCAAGTCTCGAGGAAACGGGTGAGGCTACTGGCGGTGGCGAACGAAGCTGGGTTTGGGCAATAGTAGCCCCCGGGAATACGATCCCTCTGCAAACGTGTAGGATCGTTCTGGACGCGTGTAAGAGTGTTCGCCCACTGGGATATGGGAGGCGGTATCAACGGATGCTCTGGATCGACAAAGTGGTCGCGCCCTGCCTTCGCCTTCGGAGGAGTGTGTTTGGCATCTGAGGAGCATTAGTGAGTCAAAACGAAAGGAAGAAGCGAAGGTCTTACCTGTTGGGGGCGGCGCGGTGTGAGACGACTTGCCTTTCTTCGGAGGTGTAAGGGAAGTCGCCGTCTCCGGATCAGGGCTCAGTGGCCGCCGCCTCGAACCAGAACCGGACGCAGCTTGTGGGAGGAGCGGCGGAGCATCCGGTATGCCGGGAGTGTATTGGAACCTCCCAAACAGGTGGGTAGCCGTGAGGTGCACACGACCGGGAGGACCAGAATAATAGGTGGGGTATGAGGGATCGTACTCCTGCAAGGTGACTTGCCGTTCCTCCGGTTGCACGAGGTCGACAACGTCTGTGATCTTCAACTCCGGGAGGAGGTGCCGATAGGGACGAATGAACCACACCGGGATGCCAGCACGGAATAGTCGTTGAACGATGACGGGGTCATCGGAAATCGCCCCCATGAGACGAGTGTCGGCCGAATGACGCCTCGCGTCCACCATACGATGCGTGAATGTCCTCGCAAACTCCATGTACGCGGTGGCCTCGGAGTAGTATCGCTGGTACTCTCGATTCTCCCAGACGAATTGTTGCAAGGTCATGGGAACGCTCTTCATACGCTCGACCGCGTCGAACGCCGAAAGCACGTAGTTCTTCAAAGGTGCGTGTATATTAGGGGGGATGCCGCCAGTGAAGTCCGACGTCGCCGCATCCTCCCGGATGAACACCTCCATCTGGTTCTTCAGGTCCTCGAGATCACGGGCTAGGATCGGAGATCGATCGTAGTGAACGACGACGAGGCGTTCGTCATTCTCACCGACCGTGCTTGTGAAACGATAGTGGTCGGACATGACGTTGTCCATAACAGACGCAGGCATCTCAGAGGACCCGGGGTAGAATGGGTCAGGGAGTATACAGAGGTGTGTGAATTTCGAGTCGAAAAGTTGTGGCCAACGATGAGGATCCGCGGATCCGTACCAACCATCTCGACGTCCACGGACCTCGACCTTGTCGGTCGAAATTGCGGGGATCCACTCCGCATTCGGGGTTGAGATCCAGCGCGTGTCGTCCAGGCGAGCGGCACAGATCGCGTCGGTGAAGTACCAAATGTCTACAATGGTTGAGCCATTGCGTGTAAATTACTTCGCGAACGCAACTTACTATCTAAACGCCCAGTTTGAGACCGTACGACAGGGGTGGTGGACTGCATGGAGAGGATGTATATGTATACGAGTGGAGAAACGCGCAAGGGCGCCGAAAGTGGCTGCGAGGACTCGTGCAAACGAACATAAACCATGTGACCGACAACTGAAAAGGTAACATATGACTAATTGGCGTGAGGTAATGTAAAGGAACGCGACAGGAATGGAACAATATTGCAGGAGCGAGCAGTGAGCGTTGTAGGAAACGAAGAGATCCTACGAAAAATGAGCGGGGAAATGCACTCACGGCAAGCATGACTTACAATTCGTGATCAGACCACGGGCAGTGCAAATCCAGTGGAAGAGGCGGATTTGGTTGCCCAACTTGTCCTCGGTCTGTGCCAACCACGACATGAAAGTTTCTACTGTTTGAGGCAGTTCATGTCCGTGGTCCTTGCTGTAGAGCCTACGACAATTGCGGTCGGCAAAGACGACGTAGAGGGCAGGCTTGATGATGTCGAAGAACTCGCAATCGGTGGGGGACCCCGGCCCATGCCACCCGAAGTGTGTAGCCTTATTGCGCTGCGCCAGAAACTAAGGAGGCCATAGAAGTGAAGTCGGATGGAACACTGACCTGAGGACGAAAACATTTAAAACAATTGCCGTTGGGTAGTCGCACCTGCTCCTTGAACTTCTGCCATACGGTATCAGTTGCCGAGCAAAGGCGGTCGGGGCACGAGGTGCTGGCGTGGTCGTACGGGAGAGCCCGAACCGCGCATTTGGAGCACTTGTTGAAGAGGAAATGGGACAACACATCGTCAACGTTGCGGGCAATTGACTTCAGTACGTCCTGCTCGGCTGTCGCTCGCATTGAATCCAACGTGACTCTCGTACCAACGGAGTTCGACGAATCGTCGAGTCCACTGGTTTCAACGCCAGGGAGTTGTCGCCGGGTGAGGGAAGGTTCGAGAGGACGGCGTGAAGTGGAAGGGGCATTATATGAGGCAGACGAGTACCGGATAGTGGGAGCTGAGGGACGCATCGAAGGGCGACCGGAGACCTGAGACGGCAAGGACGTTGACGGTAGGGACGGCGTCCTTGTTGTCGCTGATCCACGCGATGCGCTGGAGGACGAGCCGGGCGTAGCTAACGAATTGAATGACCGTGCGGTCAGCATTGGCGGTGATTGACGGGTGGAATGGCGCGCGTTAGGCCGAGCACGGTCGACGAAAGACTGGGTAGGAGAAATAACAGGCGAAGGAGCAGGCGTTTGGTCAAAGTGGACACGCCGCCGCTTGGTGGTGGTAGGTGTCGGCAAGTGGGTAAAATCCCCAAAGGGTTGCCACACAGTGTGAGACATCATTCGGTCCTCGAAACCAGGAGACGGTGATCGCTCAAACTCGTGCACATCGCCACCGTAATCGTCGCGAGACCGGCGGAGTGGGACTAAGCTCGACGTGAGGCGCGACTTCGAGATGTACTCAGGGACTAGAACCATTTGCATGTCGTCGCGTCTGCGAAAATTGTGAGAGGAATTTGTAGAAGACAGGGAGGCCACATACGATTTGGCATGAGGAGTGCGCGGGGCAGGGTCTCTGGGAGGAGCAGGCACGGTGAGTCTTGTCGAGGGATGGTATCGAGACGGTACGTACAGTTCATCGTGAGGTGTTATGCCAATATCACCACGGAGCGACTGTTCCTCTTGAACGGCGCGACGTTGTACGACGCCACGACTGTAGGGAATTGAGTGAAGGGTTGACGAAGGCGAGAAACGAACGCACGGTGAGGGAGATGGGGAAATCTGGTCATCGAGCTGGTTGGTAGGCGAATGGAAAGTGGGCAGGACGGAAGGAGCCTCCGGTGCAAGGAAATTGTACCTGCGGAAAGATGATATAAGTCACGAGAGCACGAATACTAGGAGATTAGAAGACGTACGCGTCAGGAAGATCCTCGTGAGTAATCTCGAAAGTCGGAGACTGTGGCAGAGGGACATCTGGGAAGTCGACGTTGGAAAAGTCGTGAGGGGCAACGATAGGATCAGGGAACATGGCGAGGGGAGGTGGGTTGGGATTATCCATCTCGCGAGCGCAGACGTCGCACAAGTTAGGATTAATGAGTACGCTACATTGGGTCGGCGCGCCGTCGAGGAATTCAGCGAGACGGATTCGACGGCAGATGTCATCTTCGTTACACCAGGTTTTGATGACCCCAGCGCCGATCGTGTCAGGATCAGCAACGCGGACTTGCTCGGATTGCAGGAAGTATACAGCGGAAGTGCCAAATCGACGATCCCTGCACATGCGCCCAGATTCTTGGTAATAGCTTGAGGGGTCGCGCGGAAGACCCCAGTGGAATACGAAACGGATGGAGGAGAGATCGAGGCCTTCACCGAGGACGCTAGTGGAGACAAGAACTTGAAGGTCGCCTCGGACAAACTGGCGCAGGAGCATGGTCTTGGTGTCGGGCTCGAGCTTGGAGTGAAAGGCGTCGACGCCCAGTTGTCGCGCCACTATCTCTACCTCGGCGACAGTCTTGCAAAATATGAGACCACGTTCATGTGGCTCCAGACGCAGAATGCTGTCCTTGACCTCGGGAATGAAAGCGTCGTTCATGGCCGCCTTGGTGCGAAACGATTTCAATTGAATGCTGATTTCTGGACGAACTGAGGGGAGACGGAACACGACGATATCACTAACGTTCAGCTTATGGAAGAGCGGGGTTTCCAGGTGGGGGGCGAGAGTGGCAGTTAGCAGGATGAATGGGACACCGACCTCACGAAGGTGACGCATGTCGTCAAAACACTCGCGGAAGGACGCTTGAGTGATCATGAGATGTGCTTCGTCGAAGACGAGACGGAGCAGACGCTGATTTTGATGCAGCTGGTTGATGAAGTCGACGAAAGGTTTGGTGTTCAAGTGCTCAGGCGATACCAACACGAGTGGAACAAAACAGGACTCCAGGGTGTCACTTGGCTGCCATCGGCGGGTTCGGATGCCATGCTCCCCGGCGCGCCGAGTAAAGTCTGCGTGGAGAGATAGAAGAGGGACGATGACGACGGTGGTCCGCTCGGACTCGTACATCTTCGCTGGAAGGAAGAAGAGCAACGACTTGCCATGGCCGGTAGGGAGACAGACGAGCATGTTGACCTTGCGACTGAGATAAGCCACGAGCGCCTGACCTTGCAGTGGTGAGCTGAACGACGCAGTGTTATCCTTGAGAAAGTCGCGCAGCGCTTTGAGAACCCCAGAGGTAACCGCGTACTGACTTGTTGATGCTGGAGTGACAGTTACAGCGCTCGGCCGATGATCCAGAGTCAATACAGCAGCGATGCGATGCATGGACCGCTCGAGCGTGGGCAGGACGCCAGACGTTATGGGGCCAGGAAGGTGCCGTCCGAGGTATGGAAGGAGTCGGGCGGCGATTTGGTCTGCAAAGGCCTCGGGATCGATGGCTGGAGCAGCCGAAGCGGTTGGCGCATCAGCGGCGGGAACGATTGTGTAGCTACCCTTGCCGTTGGGGTCATACTTCTTGCCCATACCGATCTCGAAATGGAAATAGGTACTGGCACAAATTTGGGCTATGACGCGCTGGGGATCCTCGCCGGGGAGCATGCCGTTGCTGATTCCATAATGCGAATCGTAAACACGCCTCCTGTGACCACGCTGGAGCTCGTACGGGTGCGTTGTGTCGTCTGAATAATCAACGGGACGAGCATACCGGCTGAGCGCAGACACAAGCTGTCTGTGGTCGCGCAGGCCAATCTCGCAGCGCAGGTACATGGCGGTGTCAGCGCGGAGGCACGCAGATACATCCTGCCCACCTAGGGGCCTATGAAGGCCAGGAAAGAGGTAATGCGTGAAGCGTTGCACGACTGCTTCGTCGTAGAACACCTTTGCGAAAGCGATCTGGACGGGGCGTACGAAGGCGAGATAGAAGAGGAGTCGTTGAGCAACTTCGGGAGCTGGCACGCGAACGATGATCTTGTCGCGGCCAGTCTGTGGACGAGCTGAAATGAGCAAGGCAGACGGTCAAAGATCATATAAACGACTAACCTGATCTGCGCACTTCCAATACCCTGTGAGGATGACGAGGAAGCCATGCATGACGTAGAGGTTGCGAGCAGAACCACCCCGAATGTTGCGGACGGTGACGGTTGCCAGCTCCTCGCCACGGGCGGGCTGGCCATACGAGAGGTGTATCATCGTGCAGAGGCGCTGCTCGGCCTCATACGCGTCGCGCAAGAACTGCTGGCAGCGAAGGGACTTCCACACAACTTGGTCGCCGTGGACATAGTGGAAGGATCCCGCCAAGTCAGAGTTGTTTAAGATGAGGCGAAGAAGAGCATGCTGAACGTCGCCCATCTTATTACGAGGATCATCGAAGAAATTGAAGTCTGCATCGAAGTTTCGCGGTTGATCGTATATCGAGGAGATGAGCTCGGGTAGAGTGAAAGCAGGGTCGTCTTGCGGAATGCCACACAAAAGCTTGGACGACAAGATTGCGTCAAACTCGGCCATGGCGCCTCTGACGACGGACGCAATGGAGCTATGGGTGAACTCGATATCCTCGTGCAGGATGGTGGTACACTCGACATCCTTAAACTGGACGCGGGCCATGCTGTCGTCCTGATTCTCCATTGCGTGTAGGATACCAGCGAGCGCAGCAGAATACGCATACGGTGTCTCGGCGTCGGAGATGAGGTACGTACGAAGTTGAGTATAGACTCTGTGAACGAAACTGAGTAGAGAGGGGAGGGAGGCGTGAGAGATACGTACGGATAGAAGTTGCTGTCTTGCGATTGAATGCGAGACAGGATCTCGGTGAACATAGTTGCGCGCATGATGTAGATTAACTGCGCGTTGAGTCTGCGAATGTCATTCGTTTTGATGAAGTCGCCGTCGGTCGCGACCGCGCTGAGGACCTGGAAGCGAGTGATTGGAGAGAAATATCTGTCGATTGTTGAACTGGGTGACGAATGGGCGACGAGGGAATATAAGACGTCATGTACGAGAGTCTGTAAACTAGTATCTGAGAGCAGACCGGCTAGCGCGTCAGCCAGACTTCGGCACGCAACCCGCTGGTATTCAGTCAAGGGTACGTGGTAGGGCTCGTCTGGCAATTCGAGAACGCGCAGAGCGAACAGAAGGAGCTGCGCGAGGTATCTTGAATACTGCAATAACGACGGCCGGCTGAGGGGAATAAATGCACCGGAGGAAGGGTCGCTACAAGACATGAATGCGCATACAAAGTGAAACAACGCGAAGACTTACTCGCTGAACTGGGCCATGCGACGCTTGATCTGCGGGGGGGTTGTCTCCAAGGCTGACACCACCTTCTCCAAGTAGGAAAGGGCACAGGCGCGAACGGCGGCGGCGTCAGAATCGCCGTCCTGAATGTCCACCAAGGAATGAATGAAAGAAGGTTGGAGGCCAAGGACATGGGACAACCACTTCTCCTTCGCTATGAATCGGCTAAGCGAACGCTCGTTGGCAGGCGCAGCGATGGGCTCGGCAGACGGGTCAGGGGGAATGACGGCTCGGAGGTAGAGATCAAAAGGCGTGGCTGAGTCGGGTTGGGACGGCAAGGACGGAAGAGTAACAGGAAAGACACGTCGACGATTGTTGGTGAAGAATGTCTGGCCTGGGCAACGATAGTACGAGCGGGCAGGATTACAACTAGTCTTCGAGAAGTGGTTCTTGGTCAGCGAATACTCGGAGCCGTATCCGCGGTGGCAGCGCGAGCAGAAGTAGGAATCGACGATGTTGAGGCCAAAAACGGCAGACGGAAAAGCATTAGCTGATAAGGCGGGGACAAAAGACTCGCGAGTCTGCACCAAGTCATACGGAGACAGGGCAGTTGTCACGGCGGCATCCTTCACGGTGACATGACCATGACTTCGCAGATGGGTGGTAAGGTGAACGGGCGCGACACAGCACTTGCAACCAACGCATATAACAACGCGGTGAGTGGTATTGACCACTATGCCCCAGCGTTGAAAGTCAGCGGTGACAACTGTCTCCGGTCCAGGAGCGATGCTGGATTGCATAGAAGGGTGGGGGTCCTCCTGAGGTTCCAAGGCGGCGTCAGCATCTTCGTGGTTCGGCGGATCAGACAGGTCGATGGGAGCAGAAAACGGCGAGGACGCGCGAGAGGAAGCCACGGGAACTTCCTGAGACAGGCGAGCATCTTGGGGCTCAGGGAAGGAAGGAGAAGACGAACGGAGCATGTCATTGAAATGCGAAGGAGAAGGCGGAGACGAGGCCGGAAGGTGAGACTCAGGCTGTTGCGGGTTCGAGCGAGGGAGCGGGTCGTGGGACGGACGGGTGGCGAAGGCGGATCGGAGAAACGATGGAACCTCGCCCGCTGGTGCACGTTCTGCAAAACTAGGACCTGGGCTGCTATGGGAGCGACGATTGTTCTCGCTGTGGGGGGTGGAGCTGACGGGAGGGGGGAGTGTGGACGGCAGGGTAGGCAGGCAACGTTTCGAACGCGTCGGGAAGGGCGGCGGCTGGCTCAGAAGTGGTCCAAAGCCATCCTCTTGAGGATCGAAGTCGGACGGACGCCCCGCATCGTCTTCATCGAGTTCTGGTGCAGTGGCAAGGGCGTGACAACCTGATGTATGGGTCTGAGAGGAGAATCAGTATAACAAGCGCATGGACATTCAGGAAAAACGTACGGAGATGTCCCGGGACTTCACGGTAAAGAAATTGCACCTTTCACAGTGCCACTTCTGGGTCTCGGCGTTACGAGGAATGAGCGCGCGGGCGCCATCGGGGTACACGCAGTTTGCAGCGGACTGATGAACCGCACGGCGGTGCGCGTCCACGCTTGTAGCCCAGACGAGGCCCTGGCAAGACTTGCAGTAGAGATGCCTGAAGGACAGTTAGTGGGCGCATGAAACATTGAAAGACGCGTGCGTACCGTTTAGCCATGGCTGAGGGGGCGAGGGGAAAGGATACACGGAGGATGAAACGCGCTACGCGGGCGTGGCATTAAAGGGCGGTGGCCAGTCGAAAAAACGTGAAGGGAGGTCGAGAAGGAGCGTCCGAGACATCACATTTGGCACGGCGGGAACGAGAGCGACTGGGGTGTGTGTAAGGACGGTGCGATGGAATGTTTTGACGTGGAGTTGGCGCAACGACGGGAGTGAGATTTGAAGCTCGCTGAATTATCGATGAGGGACGTAGGATTGGGCCTGGAGGGTAGTCGGGCCGATGGCCAGAATTGGCTGCCGACGGTGACGCAAACGGGGAAGAAATTCAAAGACGACGTGGAGTGACGGGGGCAGGACGAGTGTGGCATGGCGCATCCCCAAAAGGAGGCTTATTGCGATGCATGGGCGGCGGCAACAGCGTGTCTGAGGCCCTTCCTTGACAGGGAAGGAGTACGCCTGTCCCGCAAGGCGGGGATCTGATATGACGTTGAATCCGCATGGAGACGACGGGGAAGGACGTCCCATTTTTTTTTCTGTGGCATACTGAGGGACGGCGTGATTCGCGCGGCGGACACAGGCGTAGTTGGAAATGAATACGGCTTCGGCGAGCAGAGGGTCTCAACGCATGAAGCGGTGGTAGGACGACAGCTGGTAATGGACTCGACGTCGTGCCCGCGCGCAATGTAAAGCGTGGACAGGTATTCTACAGCGGTCACGGCAAGATTAATTGAAACGAACGGTACAGGTGCTACGGTAACGAAGTGAACTCCGTGGTAGAGGAAACGAGTGCGTGTGGTGATGGATCGATAGAAAGCGTGCGTTGACAACGCCCTGCGAGAGTTCAATGAGAATGCTGGAATGCAACGACGATAGGTCAAAACTTACTTGGGGTATGGGGGAGTTGACGACTGGAGAAGAAAAGGCCGTGCGGTGCGCCAGTACGGGATGCCAATGCGTACGTCGAATTGCACCGGCGGCGGCGGGATTGCGTGAGTGAGGGAGACAGCGTCGAAGACAGCAGGCGGCGGTGGGTAACTGCGTCGATGGGGTGATAGAACGCGAGGCGAGGTTAGCATCCCGCCGAGGCCATGACGAATGTACAATGCTGCATGAGCGGGCAAACACGAGCAAGGCGTGAAGGCCTAGAAGAGCAACTACGGAGCGAGAGAGTGGCGGGGATCATGGAAACGGGAAGAGGAAAGGGGGAGGGGCAGATGTGGTTTACAGCGATGAGATAGGGTGCGATTTGCAGTTCCTGGGTCCGGGTCCAGGACGACAGTTGGGGGCAAGAGTCGTCCACGTCGGGGGCAAGAGTCGTCCACGTCGGGGGCAGGGTCGTCCGAAGGGAGAACATGTGGAACGTAGTAATCAACGCAATGCCACAGAGGTCGTGCAACGACGCGCCCGAAGGCTAACGCAGAGGAAGGGGCACCGTATCCGTTCGAGAACAGGACGGCACCCCTTACCGACCAGGGCGGACGAGTCCAGCCCTCATCGGCCACGACATGAGGGAACAGATAACAAAAGAGAAGACTTACCTTACAATGTCAACCCAGCACGAATCCCCTGATCCTATCCTTCAAGGCGATCGACCGGGTCGAGGACGCGACAGAACGACGGGACCTGGAAGATGGGCGCTGAGTACATACGATGGGAGGGCACATGGACGGTACTTACCATGAGCGCGAGGCAGGGGCCAACCCGGAGAACGACAAGCCAAAGCGACGAGAGGAACCGGCGGCAACGACGACGACGACGAAGGACTGGACGGCAGCGAGGAAAGAGGAGAGGTTGGCGAGCACGGACGTGAGCGAGGTGGGAAGACGAACAAGGCGCCGCGAGACGAACACTGTGGCGCTGTTTGGCACGCCTGCCCGAAATGGAAAGCGCACACGTGCGGTCAGCCACAGATCACATGCAGCGGCTGCAAGGCGCTCTACAGAAGGGAAATTAACCGTTTCGACGGTAGGGGAGACGAGCACAGTCGTTTCGAAAGGCAGACAAGACGGAATAATAGGGTGGCAAGGAGGAAATGACTGGATAGGAGGGCATGAACAGTACAAGCAGTGAATGTACAGATGGAATGGATGGGGTTACCGTAAGTAATGAAATAAATGCTCAAAAACACACCTGAGCGGGGTGATAAGGGATGTGCAATGGGTTTATCAACAAAGGGAAGATGGATAAAGATGAATGAAGATGCCAGGAAAGCCATTACGAATATATTTTGATTTAATATGGGCTGGGCTGAGCACATCTATTGAACTGTAGGAAGAGCTTACTTGTCCAGTGCTCTGAGGATATTAGGCATGTATCATAGACAATAGACCATCATTTTGGACACTGTGAGACCATCGACTCATGGCCTTGCTCAGCCATAACAGGCAGTTTGAATATATTTCCATTTAATCTGGGCTGGGCTGAGCACATCTATTGAACTGGAGGAAGAACTTACTTGTCCAGTGCTCTGAGGATATTGGGCATGTATCATAGACAATAGACCATCATTTTGGACACTGTGAGACCATAGACTCATGGCCTTGCTCAGCCATAACAGGCAGTTTGAATATATTTCCATTTAATCTGGGCTGGGCTGAGCACATCTATTGAACTGTAGGAAGAACTTACTTGTCCACTGCTCTGGGGATATTAGGCATGTATCATAGGCACTAGACCATCATTTTGGACACTGTGCGACCATCGACTCATGGCCTTGCTCAGCCATAACAGGCAGTTTGAATATATTTCCATTTAATCTGGGCTGGGCTGAGCACATCTATTGAACTGTAGGAAGAACTTACTTGTCCACTGCTCTGGGGATATTAGGCATGTATCATAGGCACTAGACCATCATTTTGGACACTGTGCGACCATCGACTCATGGCCTTGCTCAGCCATAACAGGCAGTTTGAATATATTTCCATTTAATCTGGGCTGGGCTGAGCACATCTATTGAACTGGAGGAAGAACTTACTTGTCCACTGCTCTGGGGATATTAGGCATGTATCATAGGCACTAGACCATCATTTTGGACACTGTGCGACCATCGACTCATGGCCTTGCCCAGCCATAACAGGCAGTTTGAATATATTTCCATTTAATCTGGGCTGGGCTGAGCACATCTATTGAACTGTAGGAAGAACTTACTTGTGCAGTGCTCTGAGGATATTAGGCATGTATCATAGACAATAGACCATCATTTTGGACACTGTGAGACCATCGACTCATGGCCTTGCCCAGCCATAACAGGCAGTTTGAATATATTTCCATTTAATCTGGCCTGGGCTGAGCACATCTATTGAACTGTAGGAAGAACTTACTTGTCCACTGCTCTGGGATATTAGGCATGTATTATAGACAATAGACCATCATTTTGGACACTGTGAGACCATCGACTCATGGCCTTGCCCAGCCATAACAGGCAGTTTGAATATATTTCCATTTAATCTGGCCTGGGCTGAGCACATCTATTGAACTGTAGGAAGAACTTACTTGTCCACTGCTCTGGGGATATCAGGCATGTATCATAGGCACTAGACCATCATTTTGGACACTGTGCGACCATCGACTCATGGCCTTGCTCAGCCATAACAGGCAGTTTGAATATATTTCCATTTAATCTGGGCTGGGCTGAGCACATCTATTGAACTGGAGGAAGAACTTACTTGTCCACTGCTCTGGGGATATTAGGCATGTATCATAGGCACTAGACCATCATTTTGGACACTGTGCGACCATCGACTCATGGCCTTGCCCAGCCATAACAGGCAGTTTGAATATATTTCCATTTAATCTGGCCTGGGCTGAGCACATCTATTGAACTGTAGGAAGAACTTACTTGTGCAGTGCTCTGAGGATATTAGGCATGTATCATAGACAATAGGCCATCATTTTGGACACTGTGAGACCATCAACTCATGAGCCCGCTCAGACATAGCCCCGACCACTTTATAGTCCTGTGCAGCCATGTTGCATAATTGTTGAGTTACTTGTCACTCACAGCTCAATGTCGATTTCCCCATGTGCATGAAGAGGACCTGCCATTCCCGTGCCCTCCCCTCCCTCGCGCGCTCGGGGGGTCCCCCTAACCGGGCCCGCTCAGGCAGGCACACTAAAGCCTCGTTCATGCGAGGGTCACGTTCCGGGCGCGCTCGCCAACAGGGTGTTCCTGCAACACACTTGTGGGGATTATTGACATGAATGGCAGTTTGTATCACTCAGCATTTCATGTACACTTCAGCCCTTGCACCAAACAAGGCTGCATGATCCGTATAGCTGCACATATATTGGCCAGCCTGCTGGCTCACACACTTTCTGATCCAACAATGTAACTGTATTGATGTTCTATACTCACTGATATAATGACATTGGTCACTGTAATTTATCTCTACCAAACCACAATTTTATGCTCCTGCATGACAAGCTGAAATACACAGCAACATTGTACACCAACATGGATACTCTTCAATTAAAACTGGCCCACACATACTACTTCTACTCAAACACAGTCTTAAATACCACTAGCAGTGTCCCCATACTTTGTACCATACATATGACATATTAGACGGAATTTCTGAGCTATGTGAGAGTATGGGGATGTGGGGTTCTTCAAGCTGTAGAGCCAAATATGAATATTCTTTGATTAAAACTGGCCCACACATACTACTTCTACTCAAACACAGTCCTAAATACCACTAGCAGTGCCCCCATACTTTGTACCATACATATGACATATTAGACGGAATTTCTGAGCTATGTGAGAGTATGGGGATGTGGGGTTCTTCAAGCTGTAGAGCCAAATATGAATATTCTTTGATTAAAACTGGCCCACACATACTACTTCTACTCAAACACAGTCCTAAATACCACTAGCAGTGCCCCCATACTTTGTACCATACATATGACATATTAGACGGAATTTCTGAGATATCTAAGCATATCGGGATGGGCACTATTCCTGGCTGTGCAGAATATCCTTTGATTCTTTATGCATTTTGTGGTCAATCTATTCATTGTGGCTTAACTTACTGGTTAAATAATCTGGAAATATTTATACTGGGGTTTCCAATTATGGAGAATTTGATGAGATTGTTCGCGACATGGGGATCAGGATTGGAATCATAGTGCCATAGGGTTTGGGAACGGAGGGGGGTCGGTACTGCTGACTATTTTTTTTTTCTTTTTGAAATAAGGTTTGATGGGTTCCCACGCTCGTTCTGAGCACGCCGGTGGTCATTTCATGCCCATCCACCAAGTCTTTGTCTCTCTGTGGCTGTGTCTCTGCTGCTGGGGTGCGCACCACAGTGGGTGTGCAGCAAGACCTGTGTCCTGGCAGTGCGGTGGGTGTCATATAAGGTTTGATGGATTCCCATGATGTTTCTGAGCGCACTGGCAGTCTTATTTCACCTGTCTGCCCAGTTCCTTGCCTCCCTACACCTCACTGTGTGCGCTGTGTTGGAACATGTTAGGCATGAGCTCGTAAGCTCAGCCAAGATTAGTTCCTGGATGAAGATAAGGGGGATCAGAGTATATATAGGAAGTCTTCCAATGTAACATACCTCACGTGATTTCCCTTTGGGCATTGTCTGCACCCGGGACACTCGCACCTGTTTGCTGTTATTCTGCTTCAAGTTGTTCTCACACACTGGTTGGCAGTGTGTACCAAGTGTTGCTGTGGCTTGTAACCTGGAATTGGGTTACTGGGGCATGACTCATTAGAACACACTGGCAAGTCACAGGGCACTGGGCATCCATTCAGCTGCTCACTGCACAATGTCACAGGACATTGCAGGGTAACTAGTACCGGTAACACTCACCTAAAAATGTATTTCAAGCCTTGTAGTGCCTTTTGATTGAGTCATATGAGACCTTTCCATGTGTTTTTCTGGATGTCCCAAGGTCCTCCAATTTATTGGGGATTTTGAGTGTATTTTCTTGAGTCCCAACGAATATTCTGCACATTTTGGACTGCTTTTTCAGAGTCACATGACCACAGGCCAAGGGGTCTCACATGATGACCAGCCACATGACTGGCAAATGTGGGTGGTCTTGTGTGGCATGGGTCATGTGACTGGCTAAACACAGTGCTTTTTTTGGTGCATGTGTGCAAAGTGACTGACATGCTGATATCCAAGGGGGGATTGCCCCATATAGTCCAAATCCAGCAATTTGTGGTGCTTCATAAATTGTAGATATGGAAGGTAGGCCATGTCCAAGCATGACACTGGCTGCCTTATTGCACCCAAGAGTTGGGGATGGAGCTGTCAGGGATAAGGCTTTGTTAAGCCTTGTTACTAGAAACTGGTCAGAAGCAATCTTTGAATGGGATAAGCAGCAGTAAGTAGGAATTGTTACTGATCATTCATTGCCTTTGAACAGACTTTATTGTAGTCCTTACAATGCATCCTTACCGAGGCTAAGTAATCTTCTTTGCCGATTTTTGTGTGCTTTGTAGCACCTAGTTATGTATCTACTGATTGGACTATTACCGAGTTTCTAGTACTTTTCTTAGGCTAAACTCGGAATACATTGACACACTGCACTTACCGCAGTGGTACAGTGCTTCGCACTGTACATTAGCCTGTTACTATTGACTGAGTCATAGCTATGCGCTGAGCTTCAATTAAGTAATGGACCCTTTATAGTATTGCTTTGTGCTACTAGTAAGAGTCCAATAATTGATAATGGTTCATTGAGCTGTACAAAGGATCTGAGTAGGCTTGACAGTCTCCTGTTGTATCTCTTGTGTGACACTTTGATTACGGAAAGGCCTTCTTTCGGAATTGCTTACTGGTATACTATTCTCTGTATGCGGGTATCATCCTCCACTCTTAATCTGCTTTGACTCGGAAAAGTGCAGTAAACAATCCAATAGAAACACTCTATTGAAGGACATCTTTACCGAGATCAGAGGTTCTCTCTGATCAAGGGCTGGTTCTGTGTACTTGTACATAAGCACTGGGTGGAAAGTCCCAATTTGATTGTTGCCATTGTGATCTGTAATCACCACTAGTGCTCCCCCTTTCCTTGAGTTCTAGTTGAGCTGGAGGCAAACCATTTTCCTAATATTTCCCAGTTATTCACTCTTTGTTACTATCAATAAAAACTGCTACTATCACTCATTAGTATCTCGGTAATGTTGGTATTAACTCGGAAATCAACCAAATAAGAAACAGATCCATACCAGGAGCTTGCACTGCCACAATTACATCACTGTGACATCAATTGATTGATGTCATTGAAGCCCTGGTGCTGCTGGCTAGGTCACATGACATGTTCACCACTTTCCAAATCAGGCTTCAAGCCTAGACAGCCCAAGCAGGGAGTTGGCCACATCAGCCACAGTGTTTTGTTTGCATGTGTGTGTATGTATCTGTGTGTGTGTGTGTGTGTGTGTGTGTGTTGGTGCAAGTCACATTGTCTGCAGAGTCTAGAAATTGGAGCTCAACTAATGATTAGCTAGTCATAAGAATGGATTCCCTTCTTGGTCCATGCACATGGTGACTACCTAAACACTTAATATTCTATTCTCATACTAATTGAGAGATTTTCTGGTTCTGGGCTGTGTTTATATTGAAGCCAGGCTCTTTAGTGGCACTGAGCCTCCAAAAATGGTAAAATCACCCCAAGTACTCTCTATCATATGATGTCATAGAGCTTACAATGGTCTTGTCTGCAGCTGGACTGTGACTCCTGTCATGGATATAACTGAAGTATTGTTGCTTTATATATGCCTTGATACTGACCAGTCTATTCTGAAGACAATATTGAGCTCAGAAATGCTATTGTTTGGCATCATGTGAATGTGGCTCAATGACCATTTCTGGGAAAATAGGCTGTGGAAATACCAAACCAAGGCTGAGGTTACATAAGCTAAGTCCTAGAAGTGGCAATGACTGAAGCTACTCTGAGTGAGGCAGAGCTGTAACCTCGGGCAGACCCTTGGGCATGAGGTTTGAAGGAGGAATGCTATGCAATGTGTATAGCCTTGTAGTATGTGTATATTACAAGTCAAGTAGTTTACCAAGGATCCCTCTGTATATAAAGACACTGTCTCTGCTCCAGAAATCTATTTCTCTCTCACTGCTAAACTTGACTTGTACACCACTCAAACTTGTGCTCAGCACAGTAGGTACTTGTACTTATTGTTGCTATAGTACATTCATTGCCTTGGGGCTGAACATTCTAGTAACTGTTTCCTTACTTAGTATAGCTTCACACTACTAGTAAGGTAGTGACTTAGTTCAATCTTGAGTAAGTGGTAGAGTTGAACTTAGACTAGAGAGTAACTTTCTTACCTTCGTATACTAAACCTCTGTATAAGGACTTCATTCTCAACTCCGAAATTCTTAACCAAAAGTATTGGAATAGTACAATAGTATTCTGAAATAAGTGCCATTAAGTAACCTGACACCAGTCTCTAACAACTCTGGACAAGTCATCCTTCACCCTCCTCATGCAATGTGTCACCACTCAGTGATTTCCTCTAAGTCCTAGCCCCACTAATTCAAATGATCCATCATTCTTAGCACTGCCTGCTTGAGTTAATTCTGAGTGTTAGGTAATCCTCAGCCCCTGCACCACCTCAGGCTGCCACTGCTATACTACCACCAGGCTACAGACAAGCCTTCTCCTCCCAGTACACTTACTGAGGTCCATGCCAAGACCACAAACACAACCACAAAGGCCAATTGTTGTGCCCCTTTTTCTGCCTCAAAACTTGCTGGGGAGTGGGCTATGTATGGCAATACAATCTCAGTTGTACTGTCTGTGTATTTTGTCTTCTGGCTCATGAAATCATTGCTCAAATCTCACTTATCAAATGCATTGATATATACCAGTCTATAACACTAAATTCTGTGCTTTATCAGACCAAACTGTTGTCAAGCTGTGACAATAACATTGACCTTGCACAAGGAGTATCATAGTAGGAACAGAGAAGCTTATATTTGTGTGGCTCAGTCCATCATACTTACAGTGATATTGCAAGGGCACTGGATTCTGAATCTTAAGTATCTTAGAGAATCCACAGTGTGCATACTTCTTTGCCAGAAAATCTTGTTGATCCTTGCCAGGCAGCCTTTACCCAATGACATGTGTGGTTGCACAATTGTTCTTGCCCAGCTGTAGCTAAGCTGTCCTGTTTCATAATGTCTGGAATATTATGTACTGTCTCAAAACACTGAATAATATTACTACTTCCAAACTGGCAGGCTTTTGTATCAAATTTTATAGGGAGTGATAATTAACTCAATAATGGCAATGCTCAAAATTTATTGTATCCTTTGAACTGAGTAGGTCATATACCTCCCTACAGATCTGAGCCTGGTACACTCATGATACCTCTTTGTGAATTGTGGCTCAGGTTGTGGAAAAACAGTAAGTCACATGCACCATGTGTAGCTGCAACCTTCTAGATACACTATACTGAAATGCTTATCCACATCATTCTCCTCATCCCTTAGCCTGGCATGATTACATAGCATGTTATGGTCTTTTCCTCAGCCTACAAGGAGGTTATGTGGCCTCAGAATGAATATCCTGCACATGTTCAGGCATTGTTCCATACCTACGGAACTATGAAGACTAGGGAAATTATGAGAGGGTCTGTGAAGCAGGAGCTATCACACATTACTACAATATGGCAGGCAATCTCACACTGGGCAACTCTTTGTGGGCCTAATAAATACTGGATAAATGATGTAATGTTCAGAGGGCATGGTTGCATCAGTTCAAGCAACTGGCATATGGTGAATCATTAACCAGCATACATGCACTATATATGTACTGTTTCCCATTCTTGTAGTGCTATTGTGAGACATCAAGAGTTGCTGATGCTTCTGCTCATGAATACATGGGTTATATCAGTGTTTATGTGACCCAATCTGCATCTTCTCAAAGCTAATAGGCATTTGTGATTTTCTCCATCATTGACTTTGTCTGCTCTGTGCTTGTATCAAAGGACAATTAGAACAGTATACACTCCTACACTCATTCTACCAACACAGATCTAAAAATCCAGTGAGTATTTTGAAGGTCCTATCACTGCTGGTAATAAGTAGCAGTGGCTATGTGTCCAACACCATAGGCATCCTACTGTACTGCATATTAGGCAAGAAAATGAGCAAGAATTAGGCAAAATACATAGCCTACATGTTCATATCACGACACTAGCAATGCATTAGCCACTATGCCAGATGACCCAACACATTCATGTGAGCACAAGATGCTCTTTATTTGCATTGCACCCCAGATTTGATTTGGTCTGCTGTACCTGACCACAAAAATGACAGATAATTGAATGGCATACACTTAGGCAAATGCTGTCTCTTTTAAGTGCTGGTGCTTGGGAGCACAATCACCGACTCCGACCAGAGGGAGAGAGGAGGGCTTTGTCCACCATAAGTTGTTCGCAGCCGGCGATGCCGCTCCCTCCGTGGGAAACACGTGACTTATAATTCCCATAAACGCCAATGCTCGAGTGTCCTTACCAGGCAGCTCGAGAGAGCTCGAGGCCTCTCAAGGCAGTTGGATCCTTCCGTGTGTGTGGCTGTGTCTGGACACCTGGAACTTCAACCATTGAGTGACTCCTCCCAATTATGTATCGCAGTAAGTAAGTCAGTGGTGTGAATCACACTCATGGAAGCCCGAGACGCCCAGGCGGCGAAGCCGCCGCGGGCGTGAGGGCTTCCACTTGAGTCTCAATACCATTCCGATGGTACTATATCATGATACATAATATATCCTATGGTTCCGCTGTGACATGCTGAGCAGCTGTGTGCCATGCAGGAGTTGGGGATCGGTGCTTGCGCTGCTACGATATAATTGTGGGAGGCTTACAGGTGGGCCAAGTCATCAAGTGAACATATGCAGTCACATGAGCAGCTATGTAGTAATATCACATGTTGCCACTGAACACAAGTTTTGACCAAATGCACAAATGGCAGTTGAGACTTGGTTGAGACTGGCAGAAAATATCATTCCCAAATCTACCATACATCAACTGACATATCTTTCCCACCCAGTCACCTCAAGCTTCTGCACCTTCTCTTGTACTTCACATGCTTGCTCTGTTAGATAGTCATCCATCTTATGGACAAGATCTGGCATGCCACTGGCTAGTATCCTGACAGCCAGCAAGCCAGCATTCATGCTGTTGTTGATGGCTACTGTTGCCACAGGCACACCTCTCTGGAGTCAGTGTGCCAATCAGATGCCATACCCACTGAAACAACAATGCACGAACATACCGGCATCTGCACAATGCTATGCAAGGAGTCAACACCATCCAGGGTGCTGCCCTTCACAGGAACACCGACAACCGGGAGACTCGTCATCGCAGCAACCATACCTGGCAAGTGCGCAGCTCCTCCCGCCCCAGCTATGATCACTCGGAGACCCCTTGATACAGCGGATCGTGCATACATAGTCATCCGATCCGGCGTGCGGTGAGCAGACACAATCGTGAGCTCGTAAGGGATCCCGAAGCGATCGAGAATACGCGCAGACGGAACCATCACGGGCAGGTCCGAATCCGAGCCCATGATGATGCCTACGAGCGGCTGGCGGTGCGAAAACCCAGAGCCAGGTTCAGGTGCGAGGGGAGCGTGCAGCGCGAGCTCTGCAGCGCTGCTCGGAGAAGGGAGCCGTTCCAACAAGGGACGCAGTCGACGGCTCCGTTCAGCGTCGGAGGGTGCGACAACGGTGATGTGGCCCATCTTGCGGCCCTTCCGGCACTCAGACTTGCCATACAGATGCGCCGCGGCGCCAGGCACCTTGAGCGCATGCTCGACGACGGCACTGATCTCGGTCACGTCGCCGGAAGCCCCGAGCAGGTTCAGCATGGCCGCAGACGGCACCTTCAGAGCGGTAGATCCTAGAGGAAGCGAGAGGATCGCGCGGAGATGGTTTCGTATTGGGACGTCTCACACGCTTCGATGGTGTAGTGTCCCGAGTTGTGCGGCCGCGGAGCAATTTCGTTGACGACGACCGAGCCTGCACACCAATCAACATCCGTCCGACACACTGCACGATCGACGCACCATCCTCCACCAGGAACATCTCCACGCCGAACACACCAGCTCCCTCCAACGTCTTCACCGATGCTTCTGCGACGTCGCGAGCACGACCGGAAAGCGTACCGTCACTACTCCGCAGAGGTGCGAACACCAAATGGCAGATGTTGTCCCTGTGGACGGTCTCCACGACCGGATACGAAGCGATTTCGCCAGTGGCGGATCTGACCACCATGACCGCGATCTCTTTCACGAAGGGCACCCACTTCTCGGCGTAGAGCGGTCTCCCCCCCAACGCGGCGATGGCCTCGGGATCTGGGTCAATCGCGCACCACGTAGTTGCCCCTACCGTCGTAGGCAAGCGTTCGGCTCTTCAGCATCAAGGGCAAGCCCAACGTCTCGGAGGCCGAGGTGACGGATGCCACGGTGGATTCGACCTGCAGGAACTGCGAGACTGGGCAACCGGAGGCCACGAGGTGTTCCTTCTGGACGAGTTTGTCTTGGATGACTCGGATGGTAGAGGGGCTGGGGTGCACTCCGAGGGGCACGGCTCCCTGTACGGACTGCAGCACGTCGACGTCGACGTGCTCGATCTCGACGGTGAGTACATCGACCTTGGCGGCCAGCTCGCGTATTTTGGCAGGGTCGGTGAACGAGCCGTCAATGTGGGCGAGGTCGCAGACCGAGGGAGACAACCTGCTTTGCCGGGGCGTGGTCACCGACGTCGAGGATACGACGTCGATGTTGAGCAGCGAGGCGGCCTGGGCAAGCATGCGCCCGAGCTGGCCGCCGCCTGGTGGGTGAGGACGGGCGGATGAGCACCACCGTCCGACAGAGGCGATGGAGAGACTGGCGGGTGTGTGAGTGCGGCTGCAGAGGGCGGGACGTGGAGGACACGCGACGCACCGCACCTAGGATTCCGACGACCTTGTTCATCGCTGTCTGCAGGGAACGCTCGCACGACGAACTTGAAGACGACGGCGACGGAGGCGAGGACGTCCCAAAGATCGACTAGGCGCCCGTGCAACTTGTTTTCGTCTCTCACGTGCAGCGTCCACAGCGAGCACGACGCACCGCACGACGGCGACGGCACACTGCACGACGAGCACGACCATGGCCGCGCCAGCGAGACCACCGCCCACGAGGAGGCGCACCCGGAAGCGCAAGCGACGCGCCGCCTCCAGCTCGTCTTCGGACGCGGACTCGTCGTCCTCGGACAGCGACGCCCCCGCTGCTGCTCGTCCTCCGAGCCCGGTCGCAGCAGCCTCACCCGACGCGGCGCAGTCCTCCGAGTCCTCAGACACGGAGTCCCAGTCGTCCTCGGAGGACGAGTCTCCCCGTCGCGCCCAGCAGAACACCCCGTGCGCCCTCTCCACCGCCCGCTCGCCGCTCGCCACGCCTGAACCCCGTCCCACTCCCGTACCGTCGTTTCTTGGAGACACCGAAGATCAAGACCACCTCAGGCAACGCTTCAGGAAGTTTTGGATGGCTTCCGTTGTCGATGCCTTCAGCGACGATCTGGGGAGATTCGTAAGGTGCGCCCGCTCTCCGTCTCTCGACATGTCTTGGTCGGTGACCGCCCTCTAGGAGGCCAATCTGTCGATACCTCGCCTTGCGCTCCTTATTGACTCTTTGGCTGCTGGAGCGGACGTCTTCTCATCCTCGCATGGTGCCGATAACGGGGGCATCGACGAGACGGATGTCGCGATGCGCGACCCATGAACATTAGCCTCACGGTGAGCATACTGTCGTACCGCATGATATCGAACCTATCTGAAGGTTGTCGCGGTCATACAGTTTGGACGACTTCCTCCGCGCGAGCCGTTAACAACTCCCAGCCTCGAGGATGAGCACTTCAGTTGAGGATGGCCACCTGATGGGGCTCTTTCCTCAAGGCGTTGCCACGCTAGCATCGCCGTAAAGGCGCTGTCTCGCCGCTGCACGAATTTCATCCCTCTTCGTCGACGAATCCGGCGTGTAGAAGCAGGTGCGCTTGAGCAGGTAGTCAAGAGATGTATCTTTTGAGTGGGACTCTCGTCCTGGCGCATTCTTTTTGCCTTGCCGTAGTCTCTTCATGCTCATGTATGTTATACGGTAGAGTCGAGCCAAGGGGGATTGGATGTATCTCGTGTGTTATACTTACAGCGAGAGTGATTCGTGACGCCATCCTCATGGCTTCATTAGTCAAATGGTAAAGTTGCGCATGTACGAACACGACATTTATTGACTTCTTTGTGGAGTACTGGACCATACGAAGGACGTTCGTCGGACTACGCTTCTCAGTCTGTGGTCGATCAGCCATGCTTGTAGACGAAAAAATGTGCCTAGCGGACTCGTTGACTTCACATATGTAAGGCGGCGAGTGAGGGCCTGGTTCAATATCTGTAATCAGGCTTGCTGTGCCATAAGGGCGGCGATACTTAGAGGTAAAGGACGCACGGAGCACTGCGACTAGTTCTTCCATGTCGAACTGTCCATATAACAGCGAGGGCCGACAACGCGTGCATGCTGCATGCATGCCTGGTCGGATTCATTCAATTCCGCACGTTTAACGTGGAATTCCGCAGACGACGCAACAGTGGCAATGGGAAGTTCACGTTAGGCATGTACGTCTTCGAGATTGTCGCAATAACATTTGCACACCGAGCGAATGTCAAACTGAACGTTGTCGTCTGGGTAGATGCGCATTCAGTGGATTTTCACGGATCAATTTTTTAACATCCTGTTTGAGGTGGAAGACTATCGGACGTTCAACGGCGGTGTCAAAGTTGTCATCCAATGCGGCCAAGTACTTGTACTTGATGCATGATGGTTGAGGCTCGATCAATGCGACGCAGAAAGGTTATACTGTATGATGCAGTTGCAGCCATGGGGACGTGCTGAGGGAAGGCCGCGTCACAGCCACGTTCAGTGAGAGAGAATACAGGGGAAACGTCTGGCGCGGTGGTCTCCGTTGCAGACCATATTAGCCGGCAAGGGTCGCACTAAGTGACCGAAGGACGTTCGAGTATCGCTGTCTCATCAAACAGGGATGCAACGAATATGATATGCGAGTGTACAACCTAACGTGAGGACGAAACAATGTCAAAACAAGCGACGACTGGGCAGAATATTAACAAAGAGAGTGGTAGAGGAGCGAACATGACGTGTTTAGCAGCTATCTGTGAGTAGGTATGGCGAGATGGAGTAGTTGCTCGAGAGTCTATGAAGTGAAGTCAACATACTACCGTTTCCGTAGAGATATGCCGTCGCTTACCTGATCCATCTCTTCGAGTTGCTTGAAGGTACTGGAGTAGATATCGCGAATATCTTTATGTAGCACGTTCGCATCGTGAGGCTTGCCGAACAAAAGTTCATCAACCCGATCCTGCGGTATTGACTCTGGCACTTTCTTCTGCTGAGATGCTCTGAGCTCAATGATCGCCATCATCTGTGCGAGCCCGAAGTCGTCCTTGGGCAGCACGAGGCGGGGAGTGGGTATAGGTGTCTGATATCGCCCGGCAGAGGTCACAGAAGGGGAGGTAGTGGCTGCCGTGCGATAGGCAGATTCCGAGAAAGCAGAACCTTGTCGTTCGTGGGGCAGAGCGCGTCGCTGATTTGCGTTGGGAGTGACACTCCTCTTGCCATGGCTGTCCGAAGATTCGCCAGGACTGGCCGTTCGGTAGCTCGAGATGCGAGACAAGGATGACGGTACGCGCTGAGCCACAGCACTTGAAGAAGCTCTGCCACTCGTAGTTGGTGTGGCCGTGGCCGACCGCGAAGACGACCTCTCGTCTGCTGTGGAGTACAGAGACGGCGAATGAGAAGCTGCGGCACCGAGAGAATCCACAAGCGCGTCCGAGCCCGATCGCGACATGGCCACACGGGCGGCGTCCTTCTCGTGCTTGATCTTGCTTAAGACACGATCTATTTTGCCCCGAGCCCATCTTTCCCTCTGGCGAGAACGCCATGCAACAGGTCATCTGCAGTAGTATCAGTTCTCGTTGAGGGGCCCACCTCGCCTCTCCATTCCTCCTCAACGATGTTGCTGATGTCGTACGTCTCGCCGTCAGGCTCGACGTAGGAGTAGCGCATCCTGTTATCAACCTCGCCTCGCAAACTGCGAACGATAGCACCGCCTGGAAGTGCGACGTCCAATCCCTGCGCCTCGTTAGCTTGGGTTGACAGTACTGCGCGTTGACTAGCACGAGTTGCGGCGCGCTGCGCTGCAATGATCGCCTGCTTCGACGTTTGCGAGGTCTGTGACTTGGCGTCATCAGTCGGGCCAACCGTAGAATCAGAACCTGCGCTCGAGCTAGCTGCAGAGTTTCGCTGCATATGCTGGAGAGCGATCTCGTCCAGAGGTGCCGACATTCTATGGCGAGACGTTACACGATATGCTATCGCACGGCGCAAGATGAAGACAGGATCATCCGGCGAGACGTCCTCGGGGCTTCCCAGGAGCTGAGCAGAATCCACGGAGCGACGCTTGCTGTTAGCGAATTGCATGGCACGATAAGTCGGAGGACGTGGGAAGGCGTCTATGACCTTGCTCGACGGGGGCAACTCGCGTTCTGCAGTGTCTACTAAGCGATGTCGCTCTACACCAGGACATGAATACTTGCCTTTGCCACCCACGTCGACCGCCAGCCCATAACGGACGCGTGACGAACTCCTGCGTCTCGTGAGCTTGTCCTCTATCTCGTCACCACCGTCGACGACGCCTTCCAATATACCAAATCGCTCCAGCCCAAGTTCGATGACTTCGGCCACAGTGACATTCCTTGGGAATACGAACACTTTTTTGCGCATGTTCTGGGGCACTCCGGGTGACGGCGTTACCTGAGGACGATCGCGTAGCGTATTCTTGAAAACGATGGCTTCGGTTTGCGGGTCGAACACCATGTCTTCAGGGAGATCGTCCGGAAATATGACGAGCTGTAAGGGGAACCTGTAAGACGGTGAGCTGAACCGTTCCGCGGTGACCGTATTCGTCGGACTGGTTGGGGTGACCGTGAGGTACTGTGGCTTGGATCTGGGCGATTCGATGTCTTCTCCCTGAAGGCTCTCCGCAAGCAACGTCTCGTCGCCCTCCCCATCCATGCTCTGGTCGTGGTCGCCTCCACGGCGGTTGAGATAGAACTTGACGCCGAATCGTCCGTGAAGTCATTCATGGACAACTTCTTGATCGCGGGGTGCATCGACAGATTGCTGGCAACCGAACTGATACTGCCGACACTGCTCCGCTTTACCTTGGGGAGCTCCAGGGCCGCCTCAACGAGCGACTCAAAGACGCCGAGAGGCTTCTCATGCGGGCGCAAGTCGGCTGAAGAGCCTTCGACTTGCTTGATGGTGAGGTAGTAGTCCTTCTCGTCTTCGCCCGCCGGCAACCGGAAACGCTGGATGGCCTGGCGCACGAGGTCCTGTGCGGTCGTCGAAGCGTTGAGTAGGACCGTCTTGAAGGTAGCCTCCGTCTGCAGGTGACTGCCGGCAAATACGCGGACGACACTGAGATCAGGGAGCAGATTGTCCATGCCGCCCATACCGCTGGGAGAGAGAACCAAAGATCCGGGGCGTGGGCGGGATGCACTCACGGTGAGGCCGGAGGCAGAGCTAGTAGAGGAGGACACGAAGGACGCCGAGCCCTGAAGCACCGCAGACGCGGACTGTAAGCCGTACGAAGGTTGGGCCTCGGGAGGCGTGGACGGTGAGCGGTTGAGATACTGCTGGTATAGTGCTTGTTGCTGTTGATCGCGCTGCCGTAGCTGAGAAGCGTGCTGGGAGATGCTCGCCATGACCTGGGGCGGAGTCTGCGGGCCCTGTGGGCCCTGCTGCGGGGGAAGCTGGGCTGGTTGGCCGACAGGGGAGGCCCTGTAGCCACCCTGCTGTTGTTGCTGCCTTGCCATCGCCGTGACGGGCGAAGATGGCTCGGGGTCGCAGTGGTATCCTTGAGTGACTTGCCCGATTCCTCTGACTCGCGACTGAGGTCTCTGTCGCTGCCTCCGCTTGTGACGCTGCTGCTGTCCACTCCTCTGTCCCTCCCTTTGTCCTTGTCCTTGTCCTTCTTGCGGTTGAAATCCCTCCGAACATACCTCCGCTCTTCTTTTCTTGTCCTTCTCCCTCCGCTCTCGTCGTCGGTCGAGTCGCGTTCCTTGCGCAACTTCCCTCCGCCGTTGCCAGGGCGCGCGGTTGCCGTGGACCCAAGCCCTGCTTTGGCACGCTCGGCAGCCAGGGTGTTCGCCTTCTTGCGCGCAGCTTCTTCTTCTTCCTCGCGTCACGCTTGCGTTCGTCCTGGCTGCTGCGGCGCCAGGTCTGGCATCGTCGACCGCGCCACAGGCGGGGTCATGCTAATTTTACGCGTCTCCGTGACGTGCGCAGGGTCCATTGTGGCTTTCGTGGGCGAGTTCGGTATGACCTCCACGCCGCCGACTTGCACCTGCATTTGCTCGCGAGACGGCTGCTTGCGCAGCGACTGAGTCTGCTGCTCGCGCTGTTGTTGTTCGCGGAGCTCTTGCTCCTGTTGCTTCTGCTGGCGCAGGCGTTCGGTTTCCGCTGCGGCGGCGGCGACGGTGGTGGCGGCCTCCCGCTCCTTGGCTTGCATCTGCTCGACGGCGCCGTCCTCCCAGCTCATGCCGTCGTCTGGCTCCATGGGCGGCATACTTCCTGCGGCACCGCCTCCCGCCATGGACGCGCGCTCGCGTTCCTCCTGCTCCTCGGCCAACTCGGGGTCCTCGTCCTCGTACCCTTCGTCATCCCATTCGACGTCTTCGTCGTCTTCGTCTTCGTCGCCCCAGACGGCCGGGGGATAACGGTGGACGGAGAAGGCGGCTGTGAAGGCAACGCCTCTGGCATGGCGCGAGCTGCGGGCACCGGCAGGGGTGGGTGATGGCGAGGCAGCTCCCCGAGAGACGTTCTCGAGAAGGCGGTCGCGAGTCTCTTCGAGTTCGGCATGGGTTGCGGATGCCAGCTGTAGGGGTATAGAGATGAGAAGAGAAAGGATAACGAGTGATTGTACAGACGCACATCCACATTGCGGTGCTTGTTGAGGCGCGCGAGCCTCTCGAAGGGCGTTTCGATGTTTTCTGCAGGTATGTAGCCGACCTCCTGGGTCTTGAGGACCCGGACGAGCCACCAGTAGCTGTTGCTGTCGTCCATGAGGAAGAGGCTGTCGCCCTTGACGACGTTGGCCTGGCCCTCGACGGTGGCGGCGAAGGAGTGCAGGGCATAGACGAGGTCGAAGTCAATGGACTCGTTGGGGATGGAGAGGGACGAGGAGCCGTCATCGTCGTCGTCGACCATGAAGTCGCCGTCGGTGTCGGAGTCGTCCTCGAGGACAGAGTGCTCCTCGTCGGAGGGGTAGGCGTGGTCTACCATTTGGCTATTGTGGTCGTCGGCTAGGATCTGATCGCGGAGGTCAAAGGTGTCTTGGCGGGCAGGTCTCTGCATGGTGATGAAACTGGGGCGCACAAGGAGGGTCTGGTGTGCGACGTGCTGCTAGCAGGCGTCGAGAAACGAAGTGATGGCACCGCCAAGGATGCGAACAGAGGGAAGCGAGCGGGCGACTAGAGCGAGGTAACGAGCGTCGGCGAGCGAGCAGACCACATCCAGCAGCGGCAAGAGGTCGTGGACGCTGTCGAGAGCAGGGAGCAGGCTGTCCGAGCGCGTCTCAGTCGACTACAGACTCTCGCACGTGACTCTTGTCCAAGTGCTGCTCTATACGCGCTCTACACCGTCTATGTACTTACACCGTCTACAGTACACGTACACTACATCGCAGACGACGTCGGCTCGTCCGCGCCCTCCTGGACGACCTTCTTCACCGGCACCAGCCACGCCGTCCCCTCCCCGTCCTGCTCCTCGTCCACCGCGAACGTGTACTCCTGCACCTCGCAGTTCGCCCACGGCTTCAGCGAGTTCTCCCCGTCCGTGATGTACCGCAGGCAGTCTCCGTGGGCTACCACCACTATGTCCCGCTCTGGCCGCGAGCGCAGCCATCGGCGGTTCCACTGCGCGCGCGCCTTCAGCGTCTCTGTGTCGCCCGCGTAGAACCCCTTCTTCGAGTTCCAGTCCGGCGTCAGGTTGCTCAGATCCAGGCCAGCGAACTCGGGTACTGCTTCCAGCTCTTCCCTTGACTGCGTTCGTTGTCAATATGTCGTGCAGAGGCTTCATGTTCTGAGCACTCACCGAGCCAGTATCGCACGGCAGGTTGTTGCACTGACGCCCTGTCAGGTCTAACAACGCAAACAAGGGGCCGTACATACCTCCTGCAGCTGCGGGAGCACGACGACTGCCTTCCCCGCCGCCTCGCTCCGCTTCCTTAGAGCGGCGTAGCCTATGATCGCAGTGGACATTGTACGCCGCAATCCGCTCGTCACCAGCAGCTCGGCCGTCGTTTGGATCGTGTCCTTCGTGTCTTCATACAGGTTCCGCGCTTGTTCACGTCCGAGTGCCGTCAGCGGCGCGTCGGGAACTGCGAACACAAACTCATGAGCCTCTCGTCACCGTACTCGTGGGCTTGAACATCACGGACTGCTGTAGTCATCCGCTACGCTGCTCAGGCTGTATGAGTGCCGCGGAGGTGTCGACGGAGGGACGACTTACTTGTGTTCAGCCTGCGCGTGGCGGGTGAGGTAGATGCGCTTCTCTGTGGCTCTGACCATGGCGACGTGGATGTGGTGGGGAGAGACAAGCAGCGGACTGGAGTGCGCAGAGGAGAGAGCCCGCACGATCGATCTCCCAGCGCTCCTGTGCCACCCGTGCGTCCACTCAGCCTATGCAGCTCATACAAATCTTGCAGATGACTGGTATAAAACCGATGACCGTCACTGTAAGAACGTGCGTTATGTTCGATATGGACCTCCATTCAGAAACCCTGTCTATAACCTAACCCTGGCGGACGTTTACCCCGTTTGCGCCTTTCTGCGCGTCGGCATGCAAGAACTGCTCAAGAGCCCCCTCCGCAACGTCCCACTGTTCATCAAACGACTCCCGCCACTGCCACGACCACTGATCTGCCAGCTTCCGACCCAACGCCTCCAACCGTTCGCGTTCATCAGCGCACTCGCTGCCGTCGTACTCGCCCGGAAAGTTGAATTCGCAGTGTCGGCCCGTATCTTGAGCTCGCCGGACGATCGTGTGCCCGTACGGCAAACGAATGCTCTGGTAGATGCGTAGAATCTCCGGAATTCGCTCCATGGAGAACAGTCGGTGTGTGAGCAGCCGTCCGAGTATGTACGCCGACTGTGTTTGTGTCAACTCATGGCAAGGTGGTCACATCAGCAGACTTACCTCGATGCTCTGGCCTGCGCCCGAGCCAAGGTGCGATTCCATGGCATGCATCTATTTGCTGTCAGCGTTTGCATTCACAGAAAGAAAGTGGGGCCTAATTTACCGAGTCGCCCAGGAGTGCAACCCGCTCCGTCACGCAGAACGGCGACCACGTTGAGTACCCAACGTGTCGGGGCTCCATGCATGGATAGAAGTCACACCCTATGGTACGACTTCCGGAGACATGACCACCTCGAACAACGGTGAAGTTCGCGTTCCCATCCTTCGTACACCTTTGCCATCTCTTCGCTGGGCACGGACTGAGCCCAGCATCCTTCATATTGAGTGCCTTCGCGTCCAGAATACGTATCGTATCCACGAGGTTGATGAAGCTCCCGTGGGATACGGGGTAGGAGACAACATGCAAGTGCCATGAGTGAGTCTCCTTTGTTTGCCACATCGGTTGCTCACCTTCAACTTCCCTGCGAACTAGAAAGGTTGCCCATGAGCACCTAATTGCAATCACGAACTCGCATGCAAAGCACGTACGCAGAGGGTGGATCGGAACGCATCATGCTCGGGGTTGATCTTTTTGAGCTTCTCCGTGGACACCAGAGTTCGATACGCGACGACCCCGTCCCATGTCGGCGTCGCCGGTGAGCAGCGCAGGCAGTGGGCCCGATCAACAGTGTCGGGACAGTCGCGTCGATGTGCGATATCGTACATGGAGGTGCGCACGGTAGACCTAATCCCGTCTGCGCCAATCAGAATGTCTGCCTCCGCCGTTGAATCATCCTCGAAGTGGAGTTCGAGATGGGAAACTTCCCCCTTATCGTTGAGGATCTCATCGTACCGGAGAACTTTCTTACGCCAGTGCGTCGTATATCTCGAGGGGACGTTCCGTGACAAAACTTGTATCAGGTCGGCTCGGTGCATGCTGGATGACCCGTCTAACACTTTATTCAGCATGCTGTGATTGCGAAGATAGAGCGACTCACATGGCATCATGATCCTATAGAACGTATAGTTGTCCTCCGTCCTATCAGACCGCCTGTAGACGAACCCAGGTCCTGAGCAATCGTCAACAGCTGTCCGCAAGTCAAGCATCGCATGTCTACGCTTACCCATGGTCTTGTTGGGCGGCCTTTCCGCCGCATCTGACAACTCCTTGTCCAAACCGAGCAGCTCCATAACTCGCCATGTCCGTTGCCAGACCGATATGCCAGCACCAAGCATGGCGATCTCGGGGTACCTCTCGTAGAGATTGACTTCAATTGGTGCTTCGGGTCGCTCAAATTTACCGAGCACGACTGCGAGAGCGAGTCCTCCTATGCCGGCACCGCTGTAACGTGAATCAGCATTGCTACTGGATTGCAATTGAGGAACTGACCAGATCGCGATGCGCAGTCTCTGAGTGGCTGTTGCAGGTGGGGCTCCCATTGCGTTGCGATATGACTTCAGTAGCCTCGACTCCGGCTGGTCTTATAGATCCTGACACTATCGGTCGCAGTCAGTGCACCCGGCTTCGAATCCATTCTCTGGAAGTGTTTGGGCAATAATAGCTTGACTGTTCTGCGAAGAGGGGTTTATGTCGCGGGAGTCTGCGGCGCTAACGTCCAGCTGCAGTAGTACTGCACTCTTCCTTGCTTCTTCGACACAAATCTGCTGGAGCGCTCACCCTTTTGTGAAGACGACGAAAGAGCCTCCGCCGCGACTCACAACCCAGTATGACACCGAAGACTGTCACTGGCAACGATCCACCGAGCATGACCCGACTCCGAGGACCCCCCAATTTGGTTCGGATATGCACGCCAGGAGTTTATATGTGGTCTCACTGAATTCGATACGTTCTGACGTGATGTCCATTCGCAACGCGTCGGTATCTCACACGTTGGACGCAGCCCCATTGGCTGGCTGTTAATTCCCGCCCCTCGGCGCGCTCGCGCGGCGCACAGAATGATGAGTAGGGGCTTCGGACAGCAGCGTCCGTTTCTGGACACTACCCTTGTGCCCCAGGCACTTGGCGTGTCAGTCGCTAGCTAACTGACCCGCGTCTCGCCAGCTCGCCCTGCCTGACGGCGCAAAAAGGGACTGACTGCGTTATGGGCTGTTCGCGGGTCGAGATACGGTGAGTAGCACGGACATTACCGAGAATCGTGACTCACCCATGGAGACTGCGGCACCTCCAGAACACCATGTTCGTTTGAGAGCAACTCGTACGGGCTTGCTGGTTGTTTCGGACGCGAGCGGCTCGATGAGAAGATCACTCTGGACGGCGTGTGGTCGAACAACGGAGCACAGTCAGTATTTGTCCGACCCGCATGATGAGTGAATTGCTCACGCTGTCACGGTGCAATCACCCAGCGTGATGTATGGCGTTCCACGACTATCGCTTGTCGGGTCGAATCAGTCAAGCTACGCCCCGGAACATCTCCGAGGGGCGGCGCAACGCGCTGACCTAGCCTTCGCGCGACACCGATCCATTGTCCGTCCGAATCAAAAGAGGCCCGTCCGGGATGACCAGCCACACCGGCGGCGCTTAGGGACTCGCCGAACACAGGTTGCGAAGACCCAGGCAGCACGCCGAGACGTCTCCCAAACCAAAGGTGAGCGGAACAGTCTCCTGATATATCAAATACTCACCGGTAAAACGCCAACGTTTGACGTGCTCCGCTCGAGCATGCAGACCGGCGGGACATCCTCGACCAGCAGCATGGCCAGGTAACCAATCCGCTGTCCGGCAACTTTCGGTACGTCCAGGCTGATCCTACGGCGACGCTTGCACAAGACGACTTACCGATCTATTCTCGTAGACTCAACCAGCCATCGGCATCCCGGACAAGATCTGCCCAGGCAAGGAGTTCGCCTCCAGAAGCGTGTGGCTCGCAGCCGCCAACATCCTCGCCGTGTTCGACATCCGCAAGGCGCGCGAAGAGGCGGGGAGGGAGGTCACGTACCCCGACCTCGACCGCCGACACCACTCACTCAGCGACCTCGACCACACGCGCACGCTCCTCGATCCTGTCGAAGATACTCTCCTCTTCCCGCATCTGATACACGGTCTCCTTGACGCCGCCGCCGAGAGTAGTGACGGGGAGGGGCACGTCGAGGGGCGTGCGTGGCACGCCGTCGGACGACGCGCTCGACGCGAGGGTGTTGTTCCGCGTCACGCGGCTCCTCGGGTACCCAGCGGCGTCGGCGAAGCAACCACAGGCGCGGCGCGGTCATCGGTCAAAGGGTCTCCGCCACGTCGCCCGAGCTGGGGTGGCGGATGAGGCCGTCGAGCACGGGCTCGTGGACGTCGACGGGGGCGTACTCGCGGTAGACGACGTCGGGGTGGACGAGGGATGCGTTGTGTTCGATGTAGTTGTGGCGGCTGATGTCGCGGAGGCAGATGCGCTTGCGGCGCTGGCCGAGGAGGTAGAAGCCGCCGTGCGCCGTGAGGAACCAGACGAGAGGGAGGGAGAGGTGGTAGCCGGCGCGGAGGGTGTGGACGAGGACGGCGGGGGTGATGCACTTACCGTCGCGTGGGAGGTGGCCGTGGTTGGCGAGGGTGTTGAGGCGGGGCAGGGCGAGCGTCGATTACGCAGTTTAATTTCATGGTCATGGCATATGGCATAGGTGAGCCACTGTGTGGCGTCGCTACAAATTCGAACGAGAGAATGTAGCCTGCTGGTATCCGACTCGATATTGTTGAAACGCATGATCACTGATCTACTTACATGTAGGATGGGTCATACAGGTTCCGTTACATTCCCGATACCTGCCGAATCTTCGATACAAATGTCCGAACAAGGCTCTGCAAGACCATTTTGGCACCTTCTCTTCCTCTTTCTGCAGGCTACATCGTCGTCTTCATTCCGTCTTCCTCCTCGCTCCTTCGTCCTTCATCCAAGGGGCAGTGCGACCGGAAGCTCAAATCGAACGCTCGAACAGTAGAGACAGGAGATCCGAAGGGCCGGTGAAGCGCGACCAGCTTGAAGAGCGGGTAACAAAGCGGCCTACTCTCGTCCTCCCGCCCCACGTTTCGCGTGGTCCGCGTTCAGAACGTCTCTCGCTTCTCGAATAGTTCGTGCTGCGTACACTTCCAATCTCCGCCGTGAGAGTCGGTCTGCCACTCTACGTCTATATCACCGCCCACATTGACCGGCACGCCCACTGCAGCCGCGAGGGGGACGCTCGCGCCCAGCCAACAGTAACTTCGTTCGACGCGTGTGAGGTGAGGAAGCGGGCGTACGAGTGACAGGTGTAGACTTCGGACACGAGGACAAAGTCCTTCCAGTCACGCTGGGCAGCCAGAAGGCGAGAAAGTCGCCCGGGGTAGGTGATGGTGGTAAGGTGTGGTCGGAGCATGGCGAGAAGCGCGCCACGACCTTGGAGAAGGCAATCTTGTGTTTGATGTGGCCTTCAGTATGCTTTCCAACGATCTGCGGGGGTCGTCGTAAATGAAAGACAGGTTGCGAGAGGTGAAACCACGGCGTACACGTTTACATCCGGAGCTATGGAGATCTCATTGCCGTTGTCAGACACAATGTAACGAAGTTCATCTTCTCCCTGTGCGTGCTTTTCGATTTTGTACTGAGCTGCGAGGCCTTCGTCGAAATGTTTCCATGCGGCGCGAAGGAACCGTCGTCTTGTAGTCTGCCGTAATCACCTATCTGGAGAAGATATGAGCATAGTAGTGGAGGCCACAGTCCGAGCAAACTTACGTTGACAGGCCTCAATGGATCCCAGCTAGCATAGCAAGCGGTTGCCTTGAACATGAGCGAGACATACTTTCGCTCGGCTGAGCGAGACGAGAATGGCCACATGATGATATAGGACTGAGCTAGGTGGATGGGTAAAAGCTGTGTGCTTGGATGGGCGCAAGAGGAGACAGCGGTGGCCTTACACCCGGTAGCCACAGGGACAATGGAGCTCGGTAAGTATTAGGTGGCGCTCACTACGCATCGGGCGGGTTGATATCCAATAGCTACTCAATGCAGGTCACTCACCACGAGACCGCGTCGGCTTTCTTCCGATGAATGAAAAGGGGACGCGCACCGTGATATGGATGGGAAGGCCTCGCGTACTAGGCACGAGAGACCATGCCGACAGGTGGAGGGTCGCGTCAAAGAGTAACGGATACACGTCGCTGATGAGACTTGCGACCGGGAAGGAAATGGGACCGCACTGCCACACATTGTTGCGCCACTCGTTGCTAGGACAGCTTGAGCGGATGATGAGCAGTGATAGAGTATTTCTGTAACGGTTGCCAGACTGGGGGCGTACATCTCCTTGAGCTGAGAGCTGCTGTGAGCTTCGGTGACGCTTGCAGCGAGAGCATGGGGCATGATGTCCACGATGCGCCTACTTATGCTGTGATATTGCGTCCCCGCGGACGCCACGATGCATGATGAGCCGAATGTCTAATCATCGATTCTTAGTAGCAGTAAACGTGGGATCTGAAACAAACTCCACGAAGGAGAAGTGAAGGAGTGGGCCCGGCCAGAGACCTTGATTACCCGGCATCGGACGATACTTGCCCCCGATTCCGTTAGCGAATCCAAATACCAGCATCTGTAAGTAGAAACATCGAGTTACAACGAGGTAAAAGAAGAACGATGTGTTGGGGCGCACATTTATTGGATTGTCCCCTGGACGCATAGGTTGCTTACGATTCAAGAAATAGCCCAAGATGCTACATACACGACCGCTGCAGCTGGGCTTCAGCAGTGTAAGCCTCCACCGACAGACAGTACTTGGATAGAGATTGCTTTGTATAGATCGAGCGAGAGCCGCAGTGCAGAAGCAAAGATGGCAGGCGAACGACGGCGATGTTGCGAGGTGAGCGCAGCCTGCGCGTGAAGCGCGAAGTCGTGCGGAGATGGAGGCGGCGAGGTGCTGAACAGGGCACTCGCAGGATTAAGATACGATGAACCCTGCATCCTTGTGCGACATGTGAGGGCGAGGCGGGTGATGAGGGACGATAGAGATGAAGGGTATGGTGGTGAGAGACAGGGAGAGAGTTGGGTCGGATGGGAGACGGCGGTGAGTAGCATGTCCGCTTCAGGCAAGTCCAAGGCAGGTCCCTTCGAGCGATCCTCTTCTCCCGCCGCCTCCGCCTCTCTCCCGGGCCAGTCTGCAGTCCTCCCCGCAGCCCTCTCTCGGCGACACCCTCAGCAGGCTCATCTACTCGCCCAGAGAGTTCCCCCGCACAGCGCCTCACACGCTCGCTTCGCGAACGCATCCGAAAGCGGCGACAGAGCCACCCTCCGCCTGCGCAGGGGTCATGGGACGCTGCACTCTCTCGCTGCTTTCAAATCGTTCCTCATCCTCCAGCACTCTGCGGCCCCTTTCCGACCGTCGTATTGTCCATTCCGGACCGACGCGAGCGTCCACGGGCTACCGTCGGAATGATGTCTCTGCGCCCTCGACCTACATATGCGCCACGGCACTTCAACGCCCGTAGACATCTGCCCTTGGCCTATCTATCGCTCTCGGCATCCACACAGGAACCACTGCGTACGCGCTAGTCCTGCTTTGAGCTTATCGTCGTAATGTCGCCCCCGCTTTCTTTCACCGCCACGCGCGCCCTCGCCGTGCCGCAAGACGAGTTCGACGCCGCGCCCCAAAAGCCCGTCGTCGTCGTCACTGGCGGCTCCGGAAAGCTCGGTCGTGCCACCGTCGTCGACCTGCAGCAGCATGGCTGGCAAGTCATCAACATCGACCGCGCGCCTCCGCCCAAAGACGCGCCCAAGAACGTCATCTACATGTACACGGACCTCGAGAACATGGGTCAGGTCATGGAGAACCTCATCGAGGTTGACACGGTGAGCTGCATCGTTATCGTCACCGCTCACGACCCACTGATAGCGTGGCGTAGAAATACAAGGCTCCAGTCGCCGTCGTGCATCTTGCGGCCTTGCCGGCTCCTGGTATGGCAGCCTCCTCTACCCAGTTCCAGCTGAACGTCATGGCGTACGTCTCAATACGCAACATCTACATTCGTTTCCCTGACGCCTGAGCTCTCCACAGAACGTACAACATCCTTGAGGCATCGCGCAAGCTCGGCATCAAGAACCTCGTACTCGCTTCCTCCGAGACGCTCCTTGGTCTCCCGTTTGCACCCTGGATCCCAGATTATATTCCCGTCGACGAGAACTCGCCGCGTCGCCCAGAGAGCGCGTACTCGCTCAGCAAGCTCGTCGGAGAGGTACCAGGTAGCTCGTCCCTAAGCCGACGCCAACTGACAAAGTCCGCAGGTAATGGCGGAGGAGTACTGCCGATGGGACCCGACCACCAAAGTCATTTCCCTGCGCTTCTCAAACGTACAGGCGCTGGAAGACTACAAAGACTTTGACGGCTGGCAGCACGACCCGAAGCTCCGGAAATGGAAGTGCGTGTCTGCGGGTCTGTCGTCGCGTTTACCGCAGAACTGACGGACAGGTGGCACTTCGGCTGGGACTTTGCTTGTGCTGGTAGCCTGTTCGGGTACATCGACGCTCGCGATGGTGCACAGGCGATCCGTAAGGGCCTCGAGTCGAAGGCAACCGGACACCACCAGTATCTCATTGCGAATTCGGTGCGCTCCGCCTGGAAGATCACGTACATATGATCCCATTCTGACATCGCATTCCGCAGAACACGACGATGCGAAAGCCGAACTCGGAGATCGTGCCGCTGTGCTTCCCAGGCGTCCCTTACACGCCGACGAAAGGTTCGAACGACACGCTCCTCAGCATCGAGAAGGCGCGCAAGGAGCTCGGGTACGAACCTCAGCACAACTGGTACTAGGCGCGCCCTCGGCTGGCGTTGTATATGTACGGGACATGTACATTATCTGGGTACTATGCGCGCGATGAGGTCGCCACAGACGTGTATTATTACATCACATGACCGTTCCAAGATCAATTTTTTTCGCATGTCTGCCCTGCCCTGAATTCACCGCCTATAAAACGCTCGCCTCGACAACCGGAAGCCTCAGAACATACTCAGCTAGGATCTATTTTATAGGTACTAACTCGAGTCTCGCACGTTTATTCGTGCCACATCCTTCTTGTCCAGTCGATGACAACAGCGCCCGCTCGTTATGCAGAGCACAGGTCGACTTCGGTCGACGCGAGGACGTTTGGTTCGTCCCTCGTCCGCGCCCCTTGGGGCCGGATGGGGACTTGCCAGCGAGTAGGGCGTATGTCTGATGGATACCCTGTTTGTTCTACTTGTTCATGTATGTCATGTTGCAATTTAATTGGTATCGTCTGGTTCATACCTCGGGCGTTCTTTTGCTGGTTAGCCGGAGCTTGGTACTGCGTTGTGTGCGACACTGCGATTGTGTATGCTATCCGAGGGTCACTAGCACTCTGTGAATTCGTCCAATCTGTGCATGTGAATGAAAGGTATGCGACGGACGGAATGTGTGCAAGGTGAGCAGGCACGCATACAGACTCAATGTGACCGTACAATGGCTCAATGGTATCCTTTCTAGTGTCATATGGCACGGCCTCGCCCTGCTTGCGCTCACCGTCGTTTGTGAATGCGAGGTTGAAGCCCAGTACGACGTTCAGCTGTCAGGACGGTCGCAGGCCGTATGCAGCCCATCTCTGCCATGACGGCCCGCGTGTACACGGTGAGGTTTTCAATCAGAAGCATGTTGTCCCGACGATGGACCGTTTTCCCTGCCTCGTTCGTCGCACTGATCCTAAGCGTCGACGTTCGGGACCCGTGGTACCGCAGAATAGGCGTCCCGCCTCTTCCGATTGTCATGATAGAAGGCACTACTTGGTCAGCGAGCGCACAGCCCGGCCCCGGCGTACGGCGTGTCCCAGCGCTGGTGGAATAGATCCCATCCACATGCTAAGGCACGCCGACGTGGTGCCGTACCCTCCCACCCTTGCGTCAATGGATCCCCGGATAGACAACGCAAGCTGACAAAAACTGAACTCACGGAACATGCTCGGGCGATTCGTGCGAGCATAGCTCGCCACCGAGCCGCCATGTGAAGCGGCGCTATTCTCTGCCGTCGTGTGAAGCCATTGATTGTCGATCGCAGGTCTGTCCACCGTCGTTCAACCCAGCAACGAGCGCTGCACACTGACTTGCCCGTCCGTAGCCTTTAGTTCCAGAGGCACTGGGGCGCAGGCAGGTGTTGTGACAGGGACCCGGGTCTTAGTACTCGAGAGCATCTTCACGAAGAATCGGTGTGTATGACTTCGAGGGAAAGCAGGCCGCCAAAACGGCAGAAACGGTCACCCGCGAGCCAGCTCCGCAGAGCTCTTTGCAAGAAACGAGAAGAATGAGAGAGTTGCCAGCCTATCTTATCCCTTAAATGTCCGATGAGCCATAGCTGAGTGCTGTGTTGTACGACCATGGGAGTTCCAGCGACGAGTCCGAAACCGCGATTCCGTGTTGCAATATGGTCAGTCTCATTGCGATATTGGTGTCTACTGCTGAATCTGCGCATAGCGGCGCGGGTATAGCAGGACTGGCACTCGCTACAGTGCTCGGGAAGTACGAACAAAAGGACTCACCCCTTGAAGTCACCATCTACGAAAGACAACCTGAGATGGCGGTGTTCGGTGCAGGGATCAGCGTTTGGCAGCGGACTTGGAGAGTCATGCAGCTGCTGGGAATCGACGACCAGTTGGCTCGTGCGTCCGAGAGACCTCCTGTCAAAGCGATCGGTGAGTGGTATGTAGAAAATGTACCGTGTAGTACTTACAGCCTTGACTTGAGGTCCTGGTTTTGTGTACAGGCGTGCCGATAGAACAAACGACACTTACAATTATTACACGGTTATGCTGCCTTGTAGGCTTCCGATCTTACTGAATTTCCGCTCGCTGACAACTGAGACTGAAGACGGATCATCCACGATGCACCGCGCCGATTTGGTGCAAGTGCTCCTCCAGAACGTACCACAGTCATATTCTATCCGTATGGGAAAGAGACTGGTCAGCTACACCGAGGTCGTAGACGGCTACGGAGACACCAAGTACTACGAGCTGCAATTCACCGACGGGACGACCGCAGAGGCCGACGTCGTTATCGGAGCTGATGGTATCAAGTCAGCTGTGCGCATGTCGATGTACGACGCCGCTCACCGACAAGACTGCGCCGCGGAGGTCGATCGAGGGCACTGTCCGAGATGCTCTGCGGCGACGCCAAAGTGGACAGGCATCATCACCTACAGAGCCCTCATACCGACCGAGAAGCTCAGGGCGATTGACCCCGAGCATCAAGGGTTCCGGTATACTTTATGTGTAAGTGTAGAAAGCCTCCCATTTGTGACGTACCCGACTCATTATCGTAACCGACCTCATCGCTAGTATTCTGGCAAGTCAAAGGTAAGAACCACCGTGACGACGCGATATACAGGCTGACGAAGAGGCGACAGCATGTCGTTTCCTACCCGGTCTCGCACGGAGGCTTCATCAATTGGATCGGATTCAAAACGAGGCCGGAGATGGAGGGGACCATATATGAAGGAAAGTCGGCCGAAGAAGCCCCCAAAGAAGAGATTTGGAGCTCTTCGACGGCTGGGAGAAAGAGGTCCAGGACATGACCCAGGTACGTAGAGTCCGCGACGAATCACTGGGCGCACGTTGAGGGTCCACTCGCAGTGCGTCGAGAAACCCACTCGTTGGGTCATCAACATGATATCAGGACTACCCTTCTCCGTTCGTGGTCGGGCAGCCTTGCTGGGCGATGCCGTACGTTTCGCGGCTTCGATGTGCTGGAACGACCGTTGAACGGTGCTCTACTAGGTGCATGCGATGGAGACTCACCTCGGTGCCGGCGCTGGACAAAGCATCGAAGTGCGTCAAAATTTTCGCGTCGCAGCACTCGAAACTAACGACGCGCCTGCAGGACGCGTACATTCTCGGAAGACTGCTCGCTCACCCCCTCACGACCCTCGACCGCGTCCACGACGTCCTCCGCATCTACCAAAGCGTCCGGCTCTCGTTCGCGAACACGATATTCGAGCGCGCCCGCGAGACGGGCCGGATGTGCGAGTTCAACTGGCCCGGCCAGTACGACGGGAACGAGTGCCTGGACGAGCGCGAGCAGCTCGAGCAGCTCGGGAAGTCGATCTATCGGAACTGGCAGTGGCAGTGGCGCGAATCGTTCGACGAGCAGTGGGATGTGGCGGAGTGGGCCATCGAGCAATTCCTGCATGTCGACGCGCAGAAGGTCCAGGCGGAGTGACGACCACTAGAGCACATTTAGAGAGATTTCGACGCTGGAGAATAGAGCAGGCCATTTACCGCAGTCGTTCGCATCAGCACACGAGGTATCTTGAAGCTTGAGGATGGCGAGTGCTTGAGCGAAAACCGCCGGGACAGCGAATGAATGAGCTGCAAACGAAAGCACAATGACATCAAAACAATCTAGCTACTTCATACAGCACGACATATGGATTGAATATTATTACAGAGCATCGACGGCACAGTTCGTGAGATGATACCAGGAGAGACCCAAAAACATGTATTTACATTTCCTCCTTCTTCAGCCACTCGTCGTCGTTGGAGTTGTTCGCCTCGGCCGCGTCGACCGCCTCGAGCAGGTCGGCATCCGCGTCCGCGTCCGCATCGACCTCCGCGTCGGCGTCAGCGTCGGCATCGGCATCGGCATCAGCGTCGGCGTCCATGTCGGCGTCGGACCGCGAGTTGCCACCGCTCGCCCGCGAGCCGTCAGAGCCTCTCGGCGATCCTCGCGCAGACAGCGGAACGCCGTTTGGGACGCCGTTCAGCGGCGGCGAGTTGCTGAGCGAGCTGCTGCGGTCAGTCGATCGATGGTTGTGTGGCGCCCGTCCGGCGGGGCTCTGCCCGCGGGAGCCCCTGGGCCGCGGGATGCGGTCTCGCTCCATCTCGTACGCGTCGTCGTCGTCGCCGACAGACGCGCCAGGCAGCGTGGCGATGTACGGCGGTGTCGGGGGAGACCGTTGCGAGCCCAAGTGGCCGGGCGGCGGGGACGCTGGCTGCGTTCTCACGTCCTCACGGACGCGCTCGTGACGGGAATACGGCGACGTCATGGATGAACTCCCGCCGAGTGTCGTGAGGATTGGGAATGGGAGTAGGGGTGGGAAGCGGGAAGGGTGTCCGTGCGGTGCAGGGAGCGATCGGGGCCGGGACCATGTCCGTTGAGGGTGCTGTGGTGGTGGGAGGACGGATGGATTGCCGCGGGGGCTGGTGGTGGTGGGAAAGGCCCATGGCGAGCTGGCCGTCTATGGTGCCGCGCCGCTCGACGCGCTTCATCTTTTTTCGGCAGCTGTGCATCGCGTCAGCCAGGCGTGCGGTGGGAAGACATGAGGCGGGCTCACCGGTCGCACACTGTGCCCGGGCCTTCGGGCCCTGGACCCCACTTCTCGACGCATTTCCCTTCCTTGTACCGCCCTGGCAGGCCGCACTGGCGGCAGATGCGCTGCCCCTGGGCGTTTGTGGGCGGGAAACCGCCGCCGCCCATGACCGATGGGCCCGAAATGACAGATCCGTTGGGACCTGGGCTGATGAGCACGGAGTGGCGGGACGCGAGATGAGCTGCACGTACCGAGGGTAAGGACGCTTCCGTTGGGGCCGAGGCTGCCAGAGCTGGCCGCGCCGGACAACTTGCTCTTCTTGACGGGCGCCCCAGTGACCGGCGGCGCGAAGATGTGTGTCTGGTAGGTCTGCATCTGGCCGGGAGCGCCCAGCGGGCCGCCTGCGCCTGGATGCCCCGGGATCGGCGAGACACCGCCACTGCCGGGGGAGCCGCCGCCAGGACCTGCGAAGGACGCGGATGGGTGAAGGGGGCCGTGGGCAGACGAATGGGACGCACCTCGAGAGCGGGAATGCGGGACGGCGAGGTAGTCGCGGCCGATGGGAGACTGGGAGCGGTGGCGCACGCGGGGCATGGGCATCTGCTGCGAGGGGTGAGTGAGCGACTGCGAGTGCGGGCGGCCCATGAGGACGCCCTGGCGGTCGTGGTCGTCGCCCGTCGTCGCCTCGAGGAGCATTTCGTCGACGCTCATGGAGCTCTCGCGGCTCCTCGAATGGGAGTGGGGGGACCGTGAGCGTCCGCGGCGGCGGGAGTGGTGGGTCGGGCGGCCAGAGGCGTCGACGTATCGGATCTGGACGGAGTCGTCGCGTTCACGGTGCGAGTGCGTGCGGTACGACGGCTGGCTGGAGGCGCTGTAGTAGGGGTGGAGGGCGGGCACGCTCGCGCTGCCCGAGTGCTGGAGCGGGACGAGGCCGGGGTCGTGGCGGCCGTTCATGTAGCTGTAGCGCGGGGAGGCGGACGGCTGGGCGCAGGCATGAGACAGAGCGGGCGAGAGGCGCGGAAGACTACTCACGGACACGCTGTACTGGCGCGGGCGGTCGACGGGGTCGCGTTCGCCGCGCATGCGCTTGGGCGGTGGGGGCCTCCGGGGCCTGTGAGGCCTCCGGGTAGCCGTCGAGGCTGCCTGAACGGGGCCGGACGCGGCTGGTGGCGTTGGGGACGGGGGCGGGGGAGGGTCGGAAAGGGGGGCGGTGGCTGGAGGTGGTGCGGGGAGGCAGGGACTTCATGGGGGGAGGGCGTGGTGGTGCTGCTGGGAGTGGGGGTGGCTGGACGAGGGGCCCGCGGCGTGGACGGGGACGAGGACGAGCTGGCCGCCGCCGTCTGCGACGATGCGGGAGAAGGACATGCGGGCGTCGGCTGCGCGGACCTCGATGGTGTTGAGGTAGTGGTTGAGCTCGGTCCAGGCGTCCTGGATGACGCGGAGACGCGCCTCGGCGTCGTCGCGGGCGACCTCTGCGCGCTCGACGCGTGCCTCCGCGTCGAGGATGGCCTTGACGGCAGACTCGGGCAGCGGCTGGGGCTGGCCGTTCGCGGGCGTGGCGGACGGCGAGGCCGTGTCTGCGGGCGGGCGGGGCTGGGTGGGCGACGCGGCGGGCTGGGTGAGGTGCGCGAGGAGCCGCTCCGCCTTGTCTGCGCGCCGGCGGGCCCGGGAGAGCTCGTGGCGGAGGCCGTCGGCGTCGCGGAGGGCGTCGGAGAGGAGGGCGGCGAGCTGGGCGGGCGACTGGGTGCCGAGTGGCGTGGACCCGTTCGACGCCGGCTTTGCGGCGACGGACGCGGGGGCGGCGCGGGCGGGGAGCGGGCCGGGGGGCGGCGACGGGGACGGGGACGGGGACGGGGGCGGGGGCGGGCGGGGGCGGGCGGGGCGACGAGGACATCGCGGGGCGCGACGAGGAGGGGAGAGGGGAGAGGGGCGGGGGCGGCGTCGGAATGGGAGGCCGTTGCGGCGGGAGGATATTTGAGCGGTCGTGATATGCGTGCGGCACGCTCGCGGGTGGCTGCGCTGCCCCGATCGGGCGGGGCCGCGCGCTGATTGGCTGGCTGCGGGGCGAGCGCGCCCGCGACCACCAGGCGTCCCCTGGCTCCCCGCCTGCCTCTTTCGGCCGCGTCCCCTGTTTTCCCGCCCTCTCCCCTCGGCTCCGCGCCCTGCCCCCGGCCACCCTGTCGCGCCCCGCCACGCCCGCCCGGCGTCTGCGCGGTCGCCTGATGCACGCGGTCGTCGCCGTCGCCAGCGCTGCACACGACGTCAGCGTCCGCCGGGCCCAGGCCGCGGTGCCGGCGCCAGCCACCGCAGTGCGTACGGCATCGTGCTCTCTTCCTGCCCGCCTCATGGCGGCGGCCCGCGCGGGGTCACACCACCCGCATCGACCGCCCGGACCTCGGTCGCGACCCGCCTTCTCGGACGGACGCACGCTCGCCCACCGCCTCCCCCTGCGCGGCACCCGCATTGCCCGCGGCGGCGTGTGCCTGGCCACTCGCCCCCGCTGCGCCTGCGTCGCGCGCGCCGGATCCATCTCGGGCATTCACACCGTACGTAACGTCCTCTCGCTCGATCTGTCGACCCCACAACCGTCCCGACACACAGGCACGCGCGCGCGCACAGCTGCGCCCACCCGCTGCGCCCCCCTGCCGTGATAGACGACGGCGCCGAGCCTCGCGGCAAGATGGCATCCACCCATCATCTGCCGCGACGGAGCTGCCACCGCGCCGCACGGGCTGGACCGCCGATCGCGCGCAGGCGATCGCGCAGGCGGGCGGTGCCCGAACAGTGGCCGGGGGCCGGATGCGATGGTCGGGCGATGGGGAGGCAGGCGAGCATCCTTCTATTTCTGGCGGTGCGCGCTCGCTGTCTGGGCGGCAGGCGACCAGGCGACCGTGCTCATCCGATCTTCCCGAGATGCCGTCCCACGTCTCCCGCCCACGTGTCTTCGAATGGAAGGCCGGCGCCGCCCACGCCGCTGCGGCGCTGATCACCGCTCGCACGTCCCCGGGCACGTCGCGTGCCTGGCCGCCCTCTCTCCCGGCCGCCGGCGTGCTTCCCTCGATCGGCCCTGTCCCGCACCGGCTCCCGGCCCGCCCGCCGCCGGGCCTGTGGCGCACGGCCTGTGGTGGCAACGGCGGCGGCGACGGCGACGGTGATGGCGACGCGGCGACGGCAACGCGGCGAGCAACGCTGGCGGCGAGCGGACGCGTCGCGATGGCCGCGCCGCGGGTTGTTTGGGTGCGTGGGCGGGCGAGAGGCCGATCGGTGCCATGCGATCGCTGGTGGCCATATGGCGCGTCCCCGCCCATCACAACGCCTCCGCCGCGAGGCTCCCAGACGCCCACACCCACCGCCTTATCCCTCCGCCATCTCCACCGCCGCCGCACGTGCACGGTGCATTACACGGTGGCCACACCACCCAATGCGTATATTTCTGGGCCCTCCGTCCTCCACTGCCGCCGCATCCCGCGCGCCTTGTACAGACCCCGCCACCACGCCCACCGCGGCCCCTGGCGCCACCCCAGGCCCCCGAGGCCACCACGCGCCTGGCGTGCCCCCGTAGTGGCTCCGAATTTGTAGGCTCTTTGTGCGCCCTGCTGCGTCGGGACATGCTCAGCGTGTTCCCATCCTTCCCTCCCACCGCCCGCGTCTCTTCATCTCCGCCCCGCCGCCACATGTGCCTGCAGCACGTCGCTAGCGGGGCGAGAATCCCGTCCGCCGTGGGCTGCTCTTGTATTCCGTTGACCACAGCCGCGTCCGCGCGCCGCCGGGCCTGCCATCGACGTTCCACACCCGCTGGCGCCCGGCTAGCCCGTTTCGGCCGCGTCGTCGTCTCTGTGCCACAGAGCCCGTGGTGGAAGCAGGGTGGAAGCAAGCTGAGCGTCCACCGCGCTGTCAGCTCGCTATAGCCTCCCCACCGCCTCGTTGCCGCCATGCGCGATACCAGATCCCGAGGGCTTCCAACTGTGCCCTTCCTGATCACCCATCCCTTCCCTCCGCTCATGCCTCCCCACCACCAGCCTGTACCGCTTTTCCGGTCTCCCTCGTCCCGAGCTCGTTCCCTCCCACTGCAGTCGCGTCCCCCCCTCCGGGGTTCGTCTTTGTAAGTAGCCTCGTGTGCGCAGACGGCTCTGCTTCCGCGCACTTCTCTCCCCGATCGACAATGCAGCCACTGACGCGCCGGCCGATCGCCACGATCAGCGTAGCGGCTTGCCCGCTCGGAATCCGGCTACTCAACCCGCAGGACACGACACATTCAACAAGCGTTGGCCGACTTCGGGCCAGCTGAATCTAAAACACTACTCACCGCCTTGGCAGGACCGGCCAACGGGTTGCGACAATCTTTGCCCAACCCCGCGGACCGGGCCTCAGCAGACGGTCAGATTGTGCGTGGTTCTAGCCTCCCGAACGCTGACTCACCGACGCGCCATTGGCCGCAGCCAGCTACCAGCCCTACCGGCGGCCAACTCCGCTGCGACCACTCGCCGCCAGCCTCGCGGACGACGATGACGTCGGGCGTGCACCGGCCCTCGACACGCGCACAAACCTTCGTCCCCAGCCGCCCACCCGCCCACGCGTCCCCTTCTCCCGCTCCAGGGTGCCCCTGGCGTCCGACGCGCTCTCTAGCCGCCTGCGCAACTGCCTCCTCCCTTCCCTCGCCGCTCGCGCCGCCTTCGCGAGTTCTGCGGCCGGAGATCATCGGCCCCAGCATGCCGTGAACACGGGCCTCTCGCGTCTACGCAGGGCGTCCTGCGGCGCGGCAGTGGCACTCTGTGCGTCTGGGGCCGGACCAACTCAGGAACTTTGTCGAGACGGCGTTGCGGCGCCCCTTCCCCTCGTCCGCGAGCTAGGATAGACCTTGGGGCTGCCGAAAGACTGTCAGTGCATCGCGCCGTCTCTAGCTCTGTCTACGCCCGCTCCATGAAGGCCGTATAATTAGCAAACCGTTATGACGAATCTCCTCCGTGAGGCCGCCGCAGGCGGCAAGTTTGCTTTAATACCAGGCACACTCACGGCGCATCAACTCATCGTCTTCGCGGCTCGCTCTACACAGGAAACCTCCATGTCACTGCCCGCCCAATCACTGGTAGCTCCCGGCTCCCGCAGGTAAATTCTGGCGTGGTTTCGTCTGAGGGACACGGCACCACTCGTATCGACCTTGGTTATCCATACTGTTTGTCAGGCTGGTACTCGGTCGGCCTTTACTGGGACGCATCGAGGTAGAGGGAGGTGCTCGAAAATGCAAGTATCTGCCGACACAACCGCCCACATCGCTTTTGACCTGCATCGACGTGTGCGCACGCAGAAACCGGTCGCTCTCGTTGCGCCCGTGGCTACCACTGCTGTTCTACGCTGGTGCGCTGTGTCTCATATGATACTTCGCTGATCATCTCAGCGACTCAGGAAAGTTCGACACGGCTGCTCCATCTTTCACCCAACTGCTTGAGCCACTCACCAGGTTGTGTTGTCAGGTCGTCCCCGGCGAAGGCTTCTGGCGCTACATCCGTCCGGCGATTGGCTAGTGGTCCGGGCAAGTATTCTTTTTCACGTCATAGTACGTCTACGCCGGCTACGGAATGCGAAGCTGATTTTAGCATGATCTCGCTCGTCGTGTCCCTTCTGCCGTGCTCAAGTCGTAAAATCCTGATGCGCAAGCCCGCCTTGCATATTACAGAAAGATACGGCGGACATCGTCTACTAGTGCGTCTACTCTCGGGAACCTCAGCGGTGTGATCCCTATGTAACCAACGGCCTGAGTTCCTCGACCGTGCAGCGGCGGTACTTATGCGCCGTGATTATGATGATATTCGGAGCTGGCGAGTCGCAGCAAAGTCCAACCATCTAATTGACACAGGGCGACGCAGATGTACCTGCGAGCAATACTACGGCTTCGGCGGGCTGTGAGTTGCGCCTTACATGGAATTCGAGATCTACGGGTGTACAATACGTCTGACGGACTTCAATGTCGCAGTGCTCATCCACAATAATATTTTCTGCTGCGTAGAATAGTGGCGGTCCGCGCTACATTACCTACCTGGCCTCAGGACATACGTCCGAGACATGCGTATCAACAAGACAACGAAAGCGGGGACCCCGTTTGTACCGTCTTGTGCTGAGAAAAGCGCTATTCAGCATTCGCAGAGTCGGGAGTAGAGAGACCGGGCGGGGGGCTCTGAGGAGAGCATTACGCGACAGTCGTGGAGACGAGCCAATGCACTGTTAGACACACGGCGCGAACCCACGATTACATACCTACACACCGTGACTAGCTTGACTCTACGTAGGGCTTCGCCCTCACATGACGATAAACGGGAACAGTAAACAAACAAACAGTCGTGGAGATAATAAGTAGATGTGAGTGTGTTCTATGAATGCAATCTGGGTCTCCGTGACACCACGCGAGTAAGAGCCCGTTCAGCAACCACGAGCGATCGATTCTCGGTCCGCTTCTCGAAAGTGTTTCTTCGGCATCTGGGTACATCCGAGCGCAGATTGATTCGCCGCTCGGACATCTCCCCTTGCTTATTCAGCACTGAGTCACGTGTTTCTTTTTGCGAGCCCGTTGAGTCGTCCCCGTTGTCAGCCATCGCGTCGCTGGCGAGGGCTTGCTCGCCGTCGCTCACGACGAGCATAGACTCTTATTTTCTCGTAGGGCCTGTATATAAAAAAAGCAATGGCATATTCACGCTTCTGAAGCAATTGGCAGTGCATCTATGTAGGTTATGGGTGGCACGCAGGCTAGATGAGGCCGTGAGAATGTCCCGCTCATTGTCATGCTCGACGAGCACGACATGGCGGGGAGCAGGCGGGACCGTGATGGGACCAGCGGGGTTGGCAGAGGCCTCGACCGGGCTGATGGCAGTGATCAACAAAAGTCACGCGTTGCTAACGGGTGCTTCCGAGGCGCGTCGGCACGTTCGGCAGCCCGGCAAGGGGGCAAAAAGCTGGCGAAACCGATTCTGAGCGATTCTGTTCATCTGGCGGGAGAAACGCCCGCGAGAATCGATCGCTCGTGGTTGCTGAACGGGCTCTAAACTGCAGACGGGATGAAGTTGGTACCAAGTTGGTAGTACTCCCTCAGTAATCGGTCAGGTGAAGGGCCTGACATGCATAGGGTGGATCGTGCCCGGCTGTGCTTCGAGTACCTCAAAGACAACATTACCATTGAATAGTCGCTGGGTGGGCTGCGTATGAGGGGAAGCCGAAAGGGGGTGGCACTGGGATTGTCGAGGGTGCCCAAATCGGGGAGTCGCGGGGTACGACTACGGGCGGCTAATGGGCAGCAGACGTGACTCGGGGGGAGCAGCAGACGGGCGGGTGTTGCTCCTTGTCGTCCTCCACCGGCTGCAACCACCACCTCGACCATACCTCCCAGCCTCCCGTATTATTCTGCGTCTGTCTTGCATATAACTTACCCGTATCTGTCTGTCGTCGCGCTCTCGTCTCCTTGCATCTGTACACCACTCTGCATCTACTAACGTACTCCGTCCTGCTTAATGCCCTCACGGCCCAAGCGCAATGCAATCCCCCGCTCACGCAACACCCACCAGTCCGACCTATATACACCGCTCCCGGGATCTAGCCCCCCTGCTGCCTCCAGTTACGACTCAGAGCCGCCCGCCCACTGGTCCTCGCCTCCGCCCGAGAACGACTTCTATCCGGAACCCGCGCCCGAGGGAATAGGAGGTACCGCGTCGCGACGGGACGCGGGCGCCATCGACGCGCTCTTCAGTCGCGTCAGTGGTGAGGACGATCCGCCTGATGATCCCGACGTCCGAGCACAGGTACCAGCTTTCCCGGGGCAGGCCTTGTCGCCGGATTCTCGCACGTCCGAGCTGCTGCCGCGGAACGATGCACTGTCCCAGAACGCTGGCTTCACGGACCATCAAGTCGGCCATACAAGGTCTCCAATGCTTGCTCGGTACGTACATCATCATCATCAGTGGGGCACAGTATCCGTGATCAGAGGCTGTACGCCGGGGGGAAAGGCGAGTGTTAATGTGATATTGTGACACGGTGCCGTGCTGCGTGAACCGCGTTCTATCGGTGCTCATACAACGCCTACTCATTGCTCGACTCTGTATGCTGTCCGCAGGCGCGCACGCAATGAGTGTCACTTGATTGGTGTTCGCGTCTCCAACGCAGTGCTACGCCTGAGCCATGGCCTGGTATCTCTATGAAGAGCCTCGCTCCTTCGGTGCCGTGCCCCAGAGTTGGTGCATGCATCGCAGCCGGTACGCACGTGTTCCGAGACCGCCAGCGATGACTCTCGTAGACTACTTCTTTCTCATCGACTGCCACTCCAGAGACTGTCCTACAGACGACTGACAAACCTCTGTAGTGAACCGACAACCCTGGAGTCCTTCTCGCGCACGATCCGCAATTACATCCCGACTTCGATACCTATTCCGTCTGCCTCGCCGACCCCACCCCGCATCTCTCGGCCTTTATCTTTTGGTAGCTTCCTCACTCCTTCCATGTCTCCGGTGCCCGCTCAGCGCGAACGCAGCGCGTCCAACACCTCCAGCACGTGGAAGCGGCAGGGAAGCGATGCCGCTGGCTCCCCTCGTCCGGACCTCTCCTCCTGGGCGGGCCAGCGTGTGTTGGGCGATGACGCTGCGGTGTTCGACCTGGACGAGGAATTGTCCCAAGCCACTCCGACGCGTTATCCAGCGGTCAACGAGAAGGAGGAGATCGTATGGGCCGGTTGGGATCAGCTCGTCGAGAGCGATTCAATAGCACCAAGGTGCGTCTGAGCCAAACTGTAGTGTGCGTCAGGCTGATGAATCCGCCCGCAGGCGTCTCCTGCTCATGGGTTACAAGGCCGGTCTGCAGATCTGGGACTGCACGAATTTAGGTTCAGTTGCCGAAGTCCTCAACTTGACCGACGCGCGGTGGGGCACGGTCGAGTTCGCCGGTGTGCTGCCGCTCCCGCGCAACGTACGGGATGACGCCTTCCGCGATCAACGTCCGCTCGTTGGCATCTTGTAGGTCTTTCGTAAAGTATGCTCAGCTTCGCGTCTGATTGTTCGTAGATCCCGGAACGGTGGCCAGTGCGCGTTTGTGGTCTACTCGCTTCGCACCCATACGGTAGTCAAACGGATTGATCTGCCCGGTTTAAGATCGTTCTCATCGTCCGCTGACTTTGTTGTGCTGGTGGGTTACTCTAATCCTGTGGCCTCGCTTGTTCTCGTCTGAATGGGGCGACTCACAGGGCACTGCGAAACCTCCATCTCTACACATTCTCTCGTCTTACACGCTCACCAATCTGTACACTATCCCGTCTACATCACTTGTCGCCTTTGCCGCGCCCTCAGTAACCCCCACCTCTCCACGATTAGACTTAGACAAACACTACGAACCTAGCCTCAACACCACCACAGCATTCTCAACTTCAACCTCGATACCCCAGCCCATCTACGCACTGCACGGGCGTCTTCTCGCGTTTGCGTCGCCAGTCCCACGGCTGCATTCCCCTCCACCGTCTAGTGGCCCCAAGGGCACCGTTCACCCATCTAGCTGGAGCGCGGACGGCACTTCTAGGCTCAACATCACGCAAGCGGATCTTGGAACCGCAGCGGTAAAGCTCGGAGGCAACGTCTTGAGTGGCATGCGATCTCTGGGCGGGATGGCGATTTCTGCCGCACGGGCAGGTATCGCTACTGCCGCGGCCGCGGCTGCTGCAGAGTCAAGCATCCCAAGACCTACGCCCGCGCCCGCGGGCCTCTCTACCATGTTCTCGCGCAGCGCACCTGCAGCTGCCGGAGCTGACGACGTCCGTCCGTCACAAGAATCCGCTCCCAATCGCGGAGGCCTGCCTGCGTTCTCCCCCCTACATCGTTTGTCTTCTTCGTCGGGATGCAACGTGACCGTCGTAGACCTGCAGCCGCTACTGGCCTCCGCAGAGAGTCCCAGCAGGATTGCGGACTTCCTTGCGTCCAAGCGACAGTGCGTCAGCAACCTGCGCTTCTCTGGAGATGGTACATCTTTGGCCGTCTGTGCTCAAGACGGCCATAGTGCGAAGATCTACCGACTCGGACCCCCTGCTCGCACATCGCGTTCCGCGCCTCGATCGTCGCACGACACGTACAAGACCACCAAGGGCACCGATGATTTTCAACCGTCGGACCGTTCGCGGACAACTTCTCATACGGACGGCGAAGAGTCTTTCGCACCTCCGTGGCACCTGTACAACCTTCGCCGAGGGCGTACGTCTGCTGTAGTTGATGGATTAGATTGGGCGAACGATGGGCGTTGGTTTGCGATGGGAACACGCAAGCGTACGGTACATGTGTTCGCTGTCAACCCGACAGGTGGCGTTCCTGACGAGGCCAGCCATCTTAGTGCGAGGGTGTTTGATCCTCATACGCCGGTGAGTCTCTTGATTCTTGTTCTCAGCCGAAATACTCACGAATCGTGTAGCTTGCTCTGTCTACGGAAGTCCATCCTGTCATTCGTTTGCGAGGGGACAAGGCACCTCTTCCTGAGATACAGGCACCGCCCTTGGCTTTCACGTTCATCCGTTCCTCGGAGAACTCGCTTCCATCCAATCTCCTCCCTCCTATGGCCCCGACGTTTTCTGCGTCATCCTCGCCGTCGTCAATCCACTCACTCGCGCCATCATCTCCCGCTCGACAACCACGGAGGCCGTCCAACTTCCAGGACATGCTCATATTCGACGCTTTGGATGCGACATTGAGCTTGCGACGAGTCTTCGTGGAACGCGCTAATGAAGAATCAGCGTCGGGCCTATTGCCTGGGGCTACCAGCATGTCGCTCCCGGGACCTAGCTCTCTTGCGCGACTCGGCATGTCGTCGTCTAGCAACGCAGCCAAGTCTGGGCTCTCGCAGATGATGGAAGAGCCTACGCATCTCGCTGCGCGAGAGAGCCGAGTGGGCAGCTGGAACCTCAGACGAGCCGCCGATTGGCGCGAAATCAGGCAAGTGGTGTTTCAGAAGCGTAGTGCATACCGGCGGGATCGTCCTCAGAGAGCTGAGTAAGTCTTGATACTTCGATATCGGGCGCGGTCACTGATGTTCGTCGTAGCTGGCTGTCCTGCGCGGAGCTGTCGACGCACTCGAGCTCGTCCCAGACTCTGCCGCGGTCGATCTACCTCTCACACCAGTTCGCATTCCATGCGCTTGGTGAGGATTACCATGCCCTTGTTCGTCGGCACAATTTCGAAGTGCCGTCGACGCGGATCGCAGTCCGTGCAGAGGTTGAAGTGAACGCGTTCCCGAGCGGCTTTGATGCTACATTCATGCTTGACTCGCGTGCTGGTCGCCGTGCGTCCTCGTCGTTCGACGAGCCACTGGCCTCTGCTCTCGCCGGAGATATCGTTCAGCTTAGTCCATCTCTACCTGTCCTGCCGATGTTCCCCAATGGCGCGCCGGGCGCGTCATCGCGCTCTCTGAAGAATGCGATACCTATCCGACACGTCGCCGCTGGACTGAGCGATAGCATGTCCGGCAGTCTCACGCGACTTCGCCGCGAGATGGGTCGTGTCCGCTCTCCGCAACTCGCCGCCCGACCGGATGCCGACCTCCCTGTGCCTCTGGAATTTGACGAAGAAGACGACGACTTCATCGGTGCCAATGGTCCCATCCCTTCGTCCGTACCGGAGGACGAAGGCATGTCCTATACGCATTCACGCGGCGGAGGCGATTCGGGTGAGAGCATCTCGACACCGTCGAGTAATATGGACCCACTGCCGGTCGAGGACGACCACACAGTGGGCGGTCTGTGGCAAGGCTGGGAGGCGGAAGACCAGCTTGCAGTAGAGGAAGCGGAGAGGTTTGATGACCTGACAGCGGGTTTCGTGGACGAAGACCCGCCGCCTCCGCCTGCGGTGGAGGGCAAGAAGCGTAAGAAACAGGGTAAGATCGTTCGTAGGACATGAGCCCGGTCGACACGATGGCATGGGACTCTTTGTTCTCGGGACAGTCGTTTGCAGGTAGGATAGGAGAAGGATGTCAGGTTATAATAGCCCATGAGATGTACGATAGTTACGAATATCATGTATGAGTAGCATAGCCTATTGGGAATCTTCACCGGCAAAGGCGCGATGTTACGCGCGTGTAGCGTCGAGCCTCGCCAATCCGAGCGCACTCGAGGTCAATCACCCTCTCGACATTGGGCTTCCCTAAATGTGCTCCATGGATTATTTGCTCCGCCTACACCTTCTGCGCGTCGACATTGCACAACATGCAGGAACTGCTCGATGACCCACTCCGCCGCATCCAGCCACTCACGCGTGCCACTGCCACTGCCAGTTACGATAGATCGACTCTCAAACCGTGTCCGTCGGGGCAGTCATTCCCGTCGTAATCGCCGGGCCAGTTGAACTCACATCCGGCCCGTCCCTTGGTACACTCTGATAGATGCGAAGGACGTCCAATAGCATAAGCACTGAGCGAGCAGACTTCCGCGTCCTGCAGGTGCGTCGTTAATTGATTACGGTCTGCAGCGCGAAGGTTCCGACACACTCCAATGCTTTGTCCAGCGTCAGCACCGAGGGGAGTCTCCATCGCATGTACCTAGAGAGCATCGTTCAATGGTCGTTCCAGCACATCAAGGCTAAAACGTACGACATCGCCAAGCATGCCTGCTCGACCACAAACTGAGAAGGGTAGTCCGACGTGACAATGATACACGAATGACCTTCGCTTTCTCTAGTGCTCTACAAATAAGCCAATGAATGGCGCATTCGTTCACATGCAACTTTACCACCGACACATTGTCAAATGAATCCATGAGGATGGCGTCGCGGATTACTCTCACCGTATAGCACACGAAATACATGCCAATCCCCCTTAGCCCAATTCTACCTTCTTACATACATGAGCGTGACGAGAATATGGCAAGTTAAGAAGAACGTGCCAGGACGACAGTCCATACATTTCTTGACTACCTGCCCAAGCGCACCTGCTTCTACGCGCCGTATTGTCGACGGAGAGGTACGAACTTCGTGCGCGGCGAGACAGCGCTTTGACCCGATTGACGATACTGGCGTGGCAACGCCTTGAGGAAAGAGCCCCATCAGGTGGCCATCCTCAACTGAAGTGCTCATCCTCGAGGCTGGGAGTTGTTAACGGCTCGCGCGGAGGAAGTCGTCCAAACTGTATGACCGCGACAACCTTCAGATAGGTTCGATATCATGTGGTACGACAGTATGCTCACCGTGAGGCTAATGTTCATGGGTCGCGCATCGCGACATCCGTCTCGTCGATGCCCCCGTTATCGGCACCATGCGAGGATGAGAAGACGTCCGCTCCAGCAGCCAAAGAGTCGATAAGGAGCGCAAGGCGAGGTGTCGACAGATTGGCCTCCTAGAGGGCGGTCACCGACCAAGACATGTCGAGAGACGGAGAGCGGGCGCACCTTACGAATCTCCCCCAGATCGTCGCTGAAGGCATCGACAACGGAAGCCATCCAAAACTTCCTGAAGCGTTGCCTGAGGTGGTCTTGATCGTCGGTGTGTCCAAGAAACGACGGTACGGGAGTGGGACGGGGTTCAGGCGTAGGCGAGCGGCGAGCGGGCGGTGGAGAGGGCGCACTCGGACGGGTGTTCTGCTGGGCGCGACGGGGAGACTCGTCCTCCGAGGACGACTGGGACTCCGTGTCTGAGGACTCGGAGGACTGCGCCGCGTCGGGTGAGGCCACGCCTGCTGCGACCGGGCGTGGAGGACGAGCAGCAGCGGGGGCGTCGCTGTCCGAGGACGACGAGTCCGCGTCCGAAGACGAGCTGGAGGCGGCGCGTCGCTTGCGCTTCCGGGTGCGCCTCCTCGTGGGCGGTGGTCTCGCTGGCGCGGCCATGGTCGTGCTCGTCGTGCAGTGTGCCGTCGCCGTCGTGCGGTGCGTCGTGCTCGCTGTGGACGCTGCACGTGAGGACGAAAACAAGTTGCACGGGCGCCTAGTCGATCTTTGGGACGTCCGTCCGTCGCGGTCATCTCCACGTTCTCGTGCGCGCGTTCGCTGCAGACAGCGATGAACAAGGTCGTCGGATCCTAGGTGCGGTGCGTCGCGTGTCCTCCCGTCCGCCCTCTGCAGCCGCACTCACACACCCGCCAGTCTCTCCATCGCCTCTGTCGGACGGTGGTGCTCATCCGCCCGTCCTCACCCACCAGGCGGCGGCCAGCTCGGGCGCATGCTTGCCCAGGCCGCCTCGCTGCTCAACATCGATGTCGTGATCCTCGACGTCGGTGATCACGCCCCGGCAAAGCAGGTTGTCTCCCCTCGGTCTGTCGACCTCGCCCACATTGACGGCTCGTTCACCGACCCTGCCAAAATACGCCAGCTGGCCGCCAAGGTCGATGTACTCACCGTCGAGATCGAGCACGTCGACGTCGACGTGCTGCAGTCCGTACAGGGATCCGTGCCCCTCGGAGTGCACCCAGCCCCTCTACCATCCGAGTCATCCAAGACAAACTCGTCCAGAAGGAACACCTCGTGGCCTCCGGTTGCCCAGTCTCGCAGTTCCTGCAGGTCGAATCCACCGTGGCATCCGTCACCTCGGCCTCCGAGACGTTGGGCTTGCCCTTGATGCTGAAGAGCCGAACGCTTGCCTACGACGGTAGGGGCAACTACGTGGTGCGCCATTGCCCAGATCCCGAGGCCATCGCCGCGTTGGGGGGGAGACCGCTCTACGCCGAGAAGTGGGTGCCCTTCGTGAAAGAGATCGCGGTCATGGTGGTCAGATCCGCCACTGGCGAAATCGCTTCGTATCCGGTCGTGGAGACCGTCCACAGGGACAACATCTGCCATTTGGTGTTCGCACCTCTGCGGAGTAGTGACGGTACGCTTTCGGTCGTGCTCGCGACGTCGCAGAAGCATCGGTGAAGACGTTGGAGGGAGCTGGTGTGTTCGGCGTGGAGATGTTCCTGGTGGAGGATGGTGCGTCGATCGTGCAGTGTGTCGGACGGATGTTGATTGGTGTGCAGGCTCGGTCGTCGTCAACGAAATTGCTCCGCGGCCGCACAACTCGGGACACTACACCATCGAAGCGTGTGAGACGTCCCAATACGAAAACCATCTCCGCGCGATCCTCTCGCTTCCTCTAGGATCTACCGCTCTGAAGGTGCCGTCTGCGGCCATGCTGAACCTGCTCGGGGCTTCCGGCGACGTGACCGAGATCAGTGCCGTCGTCGAGCATGCGCTCAAGGTGCCTGGCGCCGCGGCGCATCTGTATGGCAAGTCTGAGTGCCGGAAGGGCCGCAAGATGGGCCACATCACCGTTGTCGCACCCTCCGACGCGAACGGAGCCGTCGACTGCGTCCCTTGTTGGAACAACTCCCTTCTCCGAGCAGCGCTGCGGAGCTCGCGCTGCACGCTCCCCTCGCGCCTGAACCTGGCTCTGGGTTTTCACATCGCCAGCCGCTCGTAGGCATCATCATGGGCTCGGACTCGGACCTGCCCGTGATGGTTCCGTCTGCGCGTATTCTCGATCGCTTCGGGATCCCTTACGAGCTCACGATTGTGTCTGCTCACCGCACGCCGGATCGGATGACTATGTATGCACGATCCGCCGTATCAAGGGGTCTCCGAGTGATTATAGCCGGGGCGGGAGGGGCTGCGCACTTGCCAGGTATGGTTGCTGCGATGACGAGTCTCCCGGTTGTCGGTGTTCCTGTGAAGGGCAGCACCCTGGATGGTGTTGACTCCTTGCATAGCATTGTGCAGATGCCGGTATGTTCGTACATTGTCATTTTGGTGGGCGCAGCATCTGATTGGCACACTGACTCCAGAGAGGTGTGCCTGTGGCAACAGTAGCCATCAACAACGGCATGAATGCTGGCTTGCTGGCTGTCAGGATACTAGCCAGTGGCATACCAGATCTTGTCCATAAGATGGATGACTATCTGAAAGAGCAAACATGTGAAGTACATGAGAAGGTGCAGAAGCTTGAGGTGACTGGGTGGGAAAAATATCTACTCAGTTGATGTATGGTAAATTGGGGAATTGTATATTCTGCCAATCTCAACCAAGTCTCAATGCATTTGGTCAAAACTTGGGTTCAGTGGCAGCATGTGATATTACTACATGGCCACTCATGTCACTGCACATGTTCACTTGATGACTTGGCCCACTTGTAAGCCTCCCACAATTATACATTATGCACCAGAGTACCAACACTTAATGAAACAGCATTTGCCCAAGTGTATGCCATTTGTATTATCTGTCATTTTTGTGGGTCAGGTACAGCTGTATCATATGATGCAGACCAAATCAAATCTGGTGTGCCATGCAAATGAAGAACATCTTGTGCTCACATGATTGGTGTTGGGTCATCTGGCATAGTGGCTAATGCATTGCTAGTGCATTGCATGGGTATGGATAACCCATGTGGGTCATGGGTATGGGTATGCATGGGTATGGGTATGGGTAGCCAAAATCTGACCCATGTACCCATGCAACCCATGGACTTCTGTGGTAATAATTCAGTGGTAAAATTTGGCAACTGTTGATTAGATAGTCTGTGCTATGTTTCTCTCACAGTTCAACAGCTATATGGTGATCCTGAAGCTTGCTTCAAAGTACTTTGCAATAGCAGTATGGGAAAGTTGACAAGTGTTCCCTTTCCGTAATGTCAGCCTTCAAGATACAGTTGGTACTTGCTAGAATGGCATTATATATTTGAATCCATTTTCAAACATTCAATAATGTTCAACTTATGATTATGAGGATGATTCAGCAAGGCCAACCTGCAGGAATATAAGGAGTGTCAACTTGCTCATGGACGACACACTTTTGCTCCACAAACCATCTATCTTGACCCACAACTAACAACTACAGTACTCTGTACATTGTAGTTAGACCAATGCACTGTTCTTTCTAACCTAACTCTCTCCTTGTCCATCTCATCTACCTATCTAGCTCTCCTGACCCAAGCAATGCCCTGAGTGACTGGAACCAAGTTTGTGCAAGACCTGCCTATGCCACATCCTGTCTTCTATAAGTAACCAGAAGACAGATTTTGTCATTTATTGTTATGCTCCAACCAATGATACACAGACTACTGAGGTTGTCCTATTGACAACAACAAGTGCATTACAGTGTATGTACCATTATGCTCAATTCAATGCAGTGCCATGTGCTTGGTAGCCCAGTGCAGCTGAGATACTATACTGGCACAAAATATTATCATACTGAATCTTACCATGCAATTGTCCATGCTGGACAGCCAGTAATACTGTATACTTAATTCCTTGCTAGGTACATGTGACAGGGCCACTCTAGAATTTTGAAAACTCAGTATGAATACTGTGTCATGGACCCCTTGAGGTGAGCCTAGACCTGCAGTTCCAGCACTACATTTAGCATAGATGCCTTGTTAGTTAATTTTCTAAATCCAGGATTTCAGCAGAGTGACCAGTGGCCACAGTTACATGCAGGTGGCAGGCCATTGAATACAGTAGGTCTATGATCATGCTTTTTATAAGACATCATGCTCCTTATTGTGTCACTTATCACCTGGCAATGTATTAACTAGGCTTGAATGAAAGTAATTGCATAATGGGCTGGTCACATTCATCCTCTGGCCCCACTTATCATATATTAGTGGAAGCCTGGGACATAAGACAGGATTCAGTGATGATGATCAAGAAATAAATCCAAATAATTTTAATATGATCCTCTTCTCAGGGGCTAGTCTGACAGACATTATCATATTCATGACACAATGCAACATCTTGTCTGTGTTTCAGTTCAATTTTTGTATACCCTGAGATACATTTGTTCTGCTTAATGTTGACCCATTGTAATCCCACTACATCTGGGTGATCCAATATGATGGGCTTTAGAGGGTTCTGCCCATGGTATCACTATACATTTTGTGTTGTGATGTGTAAGACTTATTTGTGTATCAGTGATGTCATTTAAACGGGATTAAGTTTGAATCAATATTGTATTTTAGATCAACTTAAAGGCCATACACATTTAACCCAATCCTGTGCTAAGCTATGGCTTAGCCAGTTGCTTGGCCAAGCAGGATCAGTACAGCTAATCCATACAGGTTTAACCATGGATTATCCATTGTTCATCCATTGCTTAGACTTTTTGCTTAGCCAAGGACAATCAGTACAGCTAATCCATACACACTTAACCATAGATTAGCCATAGTTTATCCATTGCTGAGACTTGCTGAGAAACTGCTTAGCCAATTGATTACCCATATAAGTTCAATGAAGCTAATCCTCAGAGGATTAATCATGGCTAAGTAACATCTGACCCATGTTTAATCATTTTCTAACCATAGATTAGCCATGCTTAGCCATGACTTAGGCAATAGATTCACAGGTAGTTGAGGCTAAGTAGGTTTGAGATGAACACCAATCTTCATTAAGTCATGCTCAATCCCTGTCTAATCCCCTGCTGATCAATGCTAAATCATGACTTGAGTATTTTTGATCCAGTTCCAATCCAATGTAACCCATGTGAATGTTCATAATCCTATGCTAATCTATGTACTAAGACAAAATATACCAGTCCTAATCCTCTCTCAAGACAGTGCTTGACAATGCTCATGTGTCTTAAACCAAATCCCAATCTATTGCTAATCCTGTTCATGACAGTATGGCTTAGTGCTAACTACTTCAAAGTCAATCCTAAGTCAAAACATTATCCATTGTTAATGCTGTCTATGACAGGATAGCCTAACACTAATCCACTTCAAAGTCAACTTCTAAGTGGAAGTGTTATTACGATCCCTGAGGTACGAAGGTATCGTTCTTATGATGGACGGGCCTGAAACGCTTCCAGTGGCGCCCAATGCGGCAGTTTTTTCCCACAGGTACACTCATTTGCCCCCAGCTTACCATGTATAGTTAACATTTGTTATGGTCAGTTAGCGGAGTTCAAAAATTTCAGACTCCCAGATGATGCAACTTGCACCAACACCACCAAACAAATGCTGTGGCTCAGTGCTTTGTCCTGGGGTGAGGGCCAAGAAACACTTCCAGTGGCACCCAATATGGCAACTGGTGAGCATGTCATGTGACTGGCAGCCAGGCAGCTCACTGCTAGCGCTCACACTTACAGGCTGCCCAATAGCCCTAGTTAGTAACAATTGTGAATGGACTTAGTATACTGATCTGATAGCCCTTCATTCAGAGAGTATACACTATCATTATTGAGTAGCTAGAGTAGCTGCCTGGTCCAGAAAATGCAAAATAAAAAAATCCACATGTGCCTCTGCAGATGTCAAAGTGCCTATTTGTGCCTCAGATGTGTTCCATATGTCTGCAATGACATACATATGTGATTCAGACACTGTACAACTCAGTGGGTGCTGCACTACAGCCAGAATCAGCCACAATGAGCCATTTGACCCTCTTTTCACATGTTGTAGTCCATGTACATGGTGTAGTGATGTCTATCATAATCCCAAGCACTCACATTCTCCTATTGGGTGCTTCTGTATATTTGACAGATTTTCTGCATTTTTATGACCTCCATGGGCACCACATCTTGTCCTACTTCCTCTTTGGGCAGGACACCTACTCTATATGGTAGTTGTGGCATGTAGCTGGCATACAGACACATAGACACAATCTGGGGATATATAATGGCCATCCATACATATGTATCCATGCTACTATGATGTCAGGCTTTGTATGCTGCAGAGACACTGTCTGAAGTGTGATCATAGGCTTATATGAGCTCCCTGAATGTGAATCTCACTGTGTTATTGAGTATACTGCCCTAGTTGATGCAACAATTGTATCATGGAAGGCTATAAGGATTTGACTTCATTCATTCTGAATCTCTTCTGAATATTCCGCTTTTTTCAAGTCTATACAAACCCTCTTGACACAGTAACAGTCTGCACTTACACCGCTTACTAAGCGCCCATTAAGCGCCCATTGCCGAAGCGGACTTGTATACAACTGCAGCCCTGCATTTGTGTGCAACTCAGCTCACCCAAAAGGGATTTTGGAGCAATGTCATTGGTTGAACCACTGGCAAACCTTGCCTTCTAAGGGAATCATTCAATCTCAGCTCCCCATGCCAAGTTTTTTCTTGCCCAATGTGGTCAGCAGCACTGTCTAGACTCTTACTAGAGCACATTAAATGTGGAGAAATCTCGAAATATTGACTCTCATGCAATGCTCCTTGCACACAGGTATGGAGGTCCAAATTAGGTATCCCAATGCTTGTTCACAGTGTACTGACCAAGGCAAGTGATGCAGAGGCATATGTACAAATGTTGTTTTGCATTTACTGCCCTTACTGGAGAGTCCTACAGGCTGACAATCTTATGCAGGGGCCTATGGCTACCAGATATGAAAAATCACCATATATGGTAGATCCCTTGCCTGTTTGGGAAGTTGATGATAGATCACCTTTACAGTGTTGCATAAATGGCAGGAAAATGAGCAAAGTATTAGATAACACTATTGTCCCATTGTGGGTTGACAGGACTTAAGTGTGTACTTGTGGATGAGATGCAAAGGGATAGCAGAAACACAGAGTCTGGTGCAATAGGCTCAGCCACATGCCATGTGAGGTTCACTTGTCCACAGGTCAAAGTTTTGACCTGTGGACGAGTCATCTTGCAGTGTGGTCTCCCAGACTCCACTGAAATATGCTGTTTAAGGGAATTAGCCTCTGACTGGCCTTACTGTATTTGGCCAAAGGCTCTCAAGTCTATGTATCTGCTGTACTGTAGCCTTCAAAAATACAACAAATATCCAAAATATTCTCTCTGATAGGTATGATGTCATGGAGTCTGTAGCTGCTGTGACTTGCCCATCAACTTCAGTGGTTATGGCACAATTCACAAAACTCAAAAACCCACATATGCCTCTGTACACATGAGTGCACTGCTTTCAACCTTCAAAGTGACTCTATCAAAGCCTGTAGACTGTCCATTGATTCTCTGACATCTGGGATCTGCTATATAGGGAAGCTGGCCTTCCAAAAATGGCAGTTTCCATTCAGCTGCTCAGTCTGTGCTCAGAAAATGCTGATAAAATCTGGGAATATTATGTACAATTGAATTAATTCATGATGCCTGCTGTATGTAAGAAATTGATCCCGTATAGAGCCCTCAGAGTCTATAACTAGCATGCCTTGCCTATATATTCATAATCCAGAAAAGAGAACCTCTGTGGACAATTGCAAAGTGATTCCAAATATGAATAGGTTGTTGCCTCTGAAACACATTTGATATGACCTGTATAGACCATGCACATAGTCCACACAGCATGGAATGTGCACAGCACTGCTATGAATGGGGAAATATTGTCATAACATGCCTGTGTTGATTTCCCACTACTGAATGACCATGTATTGAGGTTCTCTCTGTTTTTATATGCTTAGGGATATTCCACAGATCTTCTAGAACATTATCCGATTTTCCGGGACTTTTTTGAGCCCCAAACAAGTCAGTTTTGCTGCAGAAACAGTGTACACTTACATCGCTTACTAAGTGCTGAAACAAGTGCCCGTTGCCGAAGTGGAGTCGTCGACATACCGGCCTGTCGACGACTCCGGTCATCACAGCTGATTCCATTACACTAGGCCCCGGGTCCATAAAACACGCATAGGCGGACATTCAACTGGCCATGAATCTCACACTTACCTACAAAAAGAGAGGAAATTTCCCAAACCAAACCAAAATATAATATATTTGGCGAGTGACTCAGAAGCGCAAGTGACGATAGCAAGTGACGATATCATGAGAGTACGAGCAACGGTCAAATCCACGACACTATACAATGAAAAGATTCTGATTTGTGCGTAGCAATAGCAACTACAGGCTCTATACAAGGAGGTACCATAACGGCACATTTTAGACTGCCGTGGACAGTGGAACCCTGAGCATCTACCCTATTGACTCAATCCGAGTCCGAGATTCAAGTCCCCTTGCAGATTTTGAGTGAGTTCAGGTGCTCCAAATGGAGAGATATCAGTGTAGAAAGACTGGAAATAGCACGAACCGGTTGTTCACCACCGCAGAACAGTCCACCGACCCCTGTCACCTCCGAGTCCGACGTACATGCCTGCCGTGATAGGGTGTGAAGGCCAGCAATTGTTGTGGGGACAGAGAATCACCGTAGTTTTTGAAGATTGTCTTGCTATGTACGACATTGTAGTCGAGCGAGAAACAAAGGTCAGTGGGAGCTATCGTAGCAGCGGTCATAGTGACAGTCATAGTTGTCGAAGATGGGCGTTGTTTGTACGTTGACGTTGCACTCGTGGTTGGTTTGGTCTTGTTTGTGTCGCTAAACTAAGCGCTCATGGTGGGTGGCTGAACTGGCGGGTCGAGGGCCTCAACCGTCGGTCACGAATACACGAGGCATGGACGAAACAGACAAGTGTGTCGTCCAACTGCGAAAGTCAAACGAGATTTATTCGGCTGACAAAAAAAAAGAGACCATGGCGCGGAGCTGAGCACATATAAGACCTGCAAGTGAGCATCCGGCCAAACCAACCACAGTATTTGGACGGACTTAGATCACATCTTCTCCCAATGTATGCCCATCCTCGTGCACAAGACGCGCCCCACGATGCTGCCCCGGACGTTCCCCATCCTCTGCCTATGCATCCTGAACACCCTGCTTACCTGCCACCCAGGCGCCCTGGTACTCCCCATCACGCTGGTCCCCACTATCCTGGCTTGCCTCCGCCGAACGCGCCGGCTCCGCCGCCCCATGGTGGTCACTATTACCATCGTGTCGCTTCTGCACCTGGTGCTATAGGGTATCAGCCGCACCCTGGCATTGCCGCTCACCATGCTCCTATGTACTATCCGCACGGCCCTTTCCAGCCACAGCCCATGGACTATCGCGGCCCATACATGCCCGCTCCAATGGGACTTGGTTATGCTCCAGCCCCCTTCCCCGGGCCTGCCCCGCCATTCGGGCCTGCTCCCCCGCTTGCACCTGCGGTGGCGCCCGCTCTGCCGCTTGCACCTGCTGCGGCGCCCGCTCCCGCGCCTGCTCCCGTGCCCGCACCTGCACCTGTACCCGCTGCGGTGGTGCCAGGTCCTGGTGCACCTGTTCCTGCAGGAACGCCAGCAGGTGGCAATGACATCGCTGGAGTCGCTCATGCCAGGCCTAGTAAGAAGCGACCGAATGAGGAAGTGCAACAAGGAGGTTCGTCGCACACTCACCTGTCATCACTGAAAAAGCCATTACTGACACTAGACTGCCTTCATGCAGTTTACGCTTTCGAGGTCGACATCCTGATTGGCGAAGGAAAGCATGTCTACAATGCCAACACCGGGATGACGTGGACAGAATTCTGTGAGCAGTGCGCGGTGTTCTACAAGAGCGATCCCAACAGTACACGTCTTGCGGCGAAGATTTCCGGTGATTCCGGCTGTTTCATGTTCTTGGATGGCAAAGCCGAGTACGAGAGCACCATACAGCACGTTGTTCAAAAGGTGCTGCATGCTCGTTCTCGTGCTGTGAAGTTGGAGATCAAGAATATGGTCAGTAGAGTCGAGACTAATTCATATTTTGAACCATTACTTACTTGTATTTGATGTTCAATAGCTCCCCACCACCGCCACCTCGAGCAGTGGCCAGAAGCGCAGACGTGGACGCGATGATGATGTCCCTCCCGAGCTGAACGACGACCGTCGCTCACAGCTTGCTGCCTACAAGCAACTCGAACAGCATCTCCGCTGTGAGAAGCACAACGGTCACTGCCATGTTACTCGGCCCAATGGGACAGACAATCATCGCCGTATGGATCACCAGGCGATGACACTATTGGCAAAGAAGATTGTGAGTATTCCCGATCAGTCTCGTGGTAGCTATAGCTTATCCTGTTGTCCAGGCTCTCAACCATGCAACGATCTTTAATCCTCCTAACAGTGTTGAGTTCGACCGAGCTGCACGATGGGGTGTCAACTCAAATGCCGCCGGCCCTGCCCCTGTGCACGTCACGATACACAACATCACGCAACCAGGCCCCAGCCAGCCCATGCCCACTCCCGTCACGTCCACCCCAACCCCAAGTCCGCACCCGCAGGCACCCACCGCTTCAACATTGCATCGAGACGGCTCACCTGTCCCAGCTCATGCCAACCTCCCGGATACCCTTGCGCCTCCGTACCCGGACCTCACGGTCGTTTTGGAGATGCTCCAGAAGACATACTACCCACGCTACAACTTCCTGGAACTCGAGGCGAGCCTGCTTGCGACCGACATTGACCTAGGCGACATTGTTCAAGTTCCCGATGTTCGTGATGTCCTACCTTTCATTGGAGACATGGGCAACGAGCGCGCCTACATTCTTCGTAGCTTCGCAAAGGCTATCGTTCTTCCCCGCATTGGGATGCCGACAGAGATGTATGCCAAGCATCTTCCATGGGAGGTTGTCGCATTCGAGCAGTTGGCTACAGGTGCTAGTACCTCTTCCAGAGCGAGCGCGAGAGCGTCGACGGGCACTGGCTCGGAGGAGGAACCTGTCGAGGTTGACAACAAAGGTGATGAGGTGGAGGACGAGGCAGATGATGATGATTCTGACGAGGACTCCGATGAGGAGTGGTTGGATGAGGGTGATACTCACCTCGAGCCTGACGAGCAGGGCCTCTGAAAAACAAGTCAAATGCTGAATAATTCGAAAGGTACATATGAATTGTACTGACCTATGCACCATTATGCATTCTCCTACTTTTGTCGTCTGCTATATTCATCCTAATCTGGTCAGTAGCTACCCGCATACAGGGTTTTGATGCACCCAACTTCCGTCGTCGATACAGTATGTAGTCATACTGTATGCTCAGCTACGATCCGCACCATCTCAAGCATTCAACTGCTATCAGCTAGTACATTTTGTTACGGAATATATTCACTATGACGGTACCAACCATGAACACTCTCGGGGCTGACTGCTGCATAGACAGCCTCCCAGATCAAGGCATAAGGATCTTTGCCAATACCTTCCGTCTCACCCAGTACATAATCCCTGTTGTTGCGCAACCAGCTCTTGATCGCAGAGAATGCTTCCTCGATAGGGTTGAGGTCTGGTGAATACGATGGCAAGTACACTAAGCGCATGTCACTATCGCACACAAAGTGAGAATATGCACAAATGACAAGGTGATTAGATATTGTACCGTGCTTCTATCATTTCACGGATTCCCGGAATGTGGTGGATTGACGCTTTGTCCATGATGAGCACCGAGTTTGGCAGTGGGAAAGGTTGCATCTGCTCAAGAAGCCCTTCAACAAATTCGGTGAAGGTGGCGCCACTGAACGAGTGATCAAGGACCTTGAGATGGAGGATGCCGTCGAGTGAGAGGGCAGGTAGGATGGAGTATCTGTGATCTGTCAATTGCATACAGGCGACAGCAGCTACCAGCAACTTACCTCGTCCCGCGAATGAAGAAGTCACGCCGACGTGCTCTTGTGCCAATCGGTGCCCAGGCGAAGCGGCGGCGTAGGGTCAGTCGATTGAAATGACTCTCATCTGCAAAAACAAGCTGCCAAGGCTCGAAATGCTCACCAATGAGCATCTTGTATGCCACGCGATCATCCTCGTTGTGCTCGATAGCCGGTCGAGTCACCTACGGCGGTAACATGAACGAGTCAAAGCTAGGTCACGAAAGAGCAGAACATACCTGTTTGCGCGTGAAACCCCGTCTGCGCAATGTCCTGGATATGGTTTGGTATGAGACGTGCACGTTCAGCATCTCAACTAAGGCCACTTGAAGCTCGATAAGGCTAATGTCTGGCTGCCGCTCTACCAATCCTTCAACAAACTCTCCTCGTCTGAGTAAGAAGAGACAGCAGATTGATCTGGATAATACTCACACTTGCATCTAGCCCATCGAGGATCCGTGGGCGACCAGTCGCGAAAGGCTTGCGAATGACCTCTCCAGTGTCTCTGTACAGCTTGCGCAGCCTCTTGAGTGTCCGTCGACTTATGCCGGTACAGTCGCGGATCCACTTGTCCGACAGGTGCCGTTCGAGGCTCATCTTCAATGCCAGCTGCTTCACTTCCTTCGTGATATAGTGGCCCATGAGTGAATAGATGGAGTATGCAAGCAGACCGCTCAAGCGTGGGTCAACGACGAGGTACGTATGCTTTATAAAGTAATTGTCAAACTGTGACAATCACAATAACCTTATGCAAGCCAAATTGAAATCATTAAAGAGTATTATAGTAGTAACAGAGGTGCTTACATTATTGTTGCTCAGCTCATTCCTCATTTGCAGTACCACAAGACACAGAGCATTGAATCCCAAATGTGCTTATTTCTTCATCAGAAAGTTTGACTGATCATTGATAGCTATGCTGGTATTGCTATACAGCCATTATCCAACGATATGTGTGGTTGCAGACTTGTTCTTGCCCAACTTCACCTGTGCTGTGCACTGTCTCAAAACACTGAACAATAGTACTACTTTACTAGTGGGAGATTGTTGTATCATTGAATCTGTCTAGGGACTGCTAGTAACTATAATGACAATGATCACAAACAATTGTATCATTTGAACTGAGTGAGTCATACTTCCCTACATATTGATACTACATTGGCCTAGACCTCCCAATGTCAGAGTCTGTTCATGTCAACCATGCTGATTTTGGTACACTCATGATACCTCTTCATGAATTGTGGCTCATGCTATGGAAAGATAGTAAGTCACATGTTCTCAATGCAGTATACTGGAATGATCATTTGCATTCCTCTCCTCATCCCTTATCCTGAAATCACTCCATGTTATTGTCAATTCAGATATATGTAACAAGTCACTAACAGAAATCTGCTAAATGCATTAGGTGGCCACCTACTGTTCAAAAGGTGCCTCACAATTTACACTAAGGAGTCCAGGGAATCCACAGATTATCAAAGCTATGTTACTGCCAAAATTCTCTAATTCATGACCTGAGGAATCTGTCACAGAAGCTATGAATATTCAATGGAGAGCAAGAACCTGTAAACAAGAATTTTATCATCAATGTCACTGTTTTTTCTTGCATAGCAGTAGGCAGTCTGCATATATCTTGCACCCCTTCACATGAGTTAGCTGTAGTCCCATATCAAAGTATGGTAAGTGCTGCCAGAGCTTTGGGTGAGCACAATGACCACTTATATGTGATTCATCAATACTTCACTGATTTTCCGGGGTGTTTGGAGTTTTTCTGAGCCTATACAAGGAGGTTATGTGGCGTAGAATGAATATCCTGTACATTTTTATGATTTGTTCCATGCATAGCATAAGGAACTATGCAGGCTAGGGATATTATGGGTGGGTCTGTGAAGCAGGAGCTATCACATAATCATTATTACTACATATGGCAGGTGCCCTCCCAATTGGCAATCACACACTGGGCAATGCCTTGTGGGCCCAGTAGATACTGTAGAAATGACAGAATATTCAGAATGGATGAATGCATCAGTTCAACCAACTGGCATATGGAGAATCATTAATCAGCATACATGCATTATATATGTACTGTGTCCCACTCTTGAAATGTTATTGTGACATTAACAGTTGCTGATGCTTCTTTCCATGAATCCCAACACTATATGGGTCACATCAGTGTTCATGTGTCCCAATTTTCATCTTTCCATACCTATAGGCATTTGTAATTTTTTCAACCATTGTGTTTGTCTGCTCTCTGTCTGTATTAAGGACAACAAGAACAGTATACATTCCTACACTCATTGGGTCGGGGTAGTGCATTGCATGGGTATGGATAACCCATGTGGGTCATGGGTATGGGTATGCATGGGTATGGGTATGGGTAGCCAAAATCTGACCCATGTACCCATGAAACCCATGGACTTCTGCAGTGCTTATCCACTGGCAGTAATCAATGTTAATTCCTAGCCAGGTATTCAGTGTTGTGTCACTCTCATAGTATGCTAGCATTTAGGGTATCACCTTTCTGAAGCTTGCTTGAAAGTATTTTGCAATAGTGGCAGTATGGTAAAGTCAGCAATCATTTCCCTCAAGACTCATTGACCATGCATGACATGGCTTTTGCCAATATTGATATGCTATAATAAAATACACAGATTGCTGAGGCCATCAAATAAGTAAATGAAATATCTAATGTGCATTGCAGTGTATGTGCTGTTGTGGCTCAAATGAAGAATTAGGAGAAAGCTCAACTAACCTTTTCAATGCACAATGATGGCTACTGCAGTGCCATGTGTTTGTCAGTATGGTGTAGCTGGAATGCTCTACCAAACAATGTGACCATACTGAATCCTACTTACTTTAAAGCTGTCCTTATTAGACAGCTGGTAATACTGTGTAATGCTTAGTTAGTCACCTGTGACAAGGGATCCTGATGGAAAAGAAATCAGCATGATTGCTGCTACATCTTTCCTGTGATTCAGTTTTGTAGTTGTTGAGTCTGAGGTATATTCATCTGCTGACTGTTGACCTGTGATACTGCTATATGTAAACAGCACATGTTATAAGGCTCTGCCCATTGCCTCACTGTTCATATCTGGTAAAATATGTAAGATCTATTGATGTATACAACCTTGCTAGTTTCAATCCTCAGTTCTTGTGGACCTGCATAGCTATTTGTACTGTTATGGCACACTTGTATAACCACCAGAGTTATGAGTTGTAATACATACCTTGCTTCCGTGATCCTTGTGCCTTGTTTACATTGTTTTCCCCTTCATCTTTGCATATCCTGTATTACCTACCATTCAGTTATTACTTCAGGCAACACACTTGCCCATTCTATTGCAGTTTGAAAAGTGAGCATGACATGCCAACAACACTACAAGTCTACAACTTGGAAAAGGGTACACCCCTGTGTGTTGCTATGTTTGACTTTGATACACTTGGAACCTTGCTTTGACCCCTCCCATACCCACTCCTCTTTCTATTGTTCTTGCATGTATGTGGGACAAAAACTGGAAGCTCCCACTGTTGTGATTGACCACACAGTCAGTGAACTGGTCTGAGGGGTGCTCATCCTTGGTCTTGCACATAGCATCAATTTATGATGAGAATTCACCAACTGTACAGTGCCTGACTGATAGTCTGGCCTCTGCACAATAAGTGTCATCATATCTTGCAAGCCATTAAGCATGAACTGCACATAGGACTACCCATAACATTACCCATACCCATGGGTACCCATAATACCCGTGCAAAACCCATACCCATGGCATGGGTATGCAACCCATGTGGGTATGGGTATGGGTATGCTCTGAGACACCCATGGGTACACCCACACTATGCACTAGGTCGGGGTGTTACATAAGGCAGTTGCTGGGGAAAATAGAAGAACCACTGTGTTGTGATTGTGAATATATATCAGAGCACACATGGCTGTGTCTAGTGATCGTTGTCAACTGCATATTCCAACTCACCAAGCCACATATATACTGGATACCCCAGCATCACACTGTCTGAATCCTCAAATATAAAAAATTGTGCTCTCACTTCAGGCAAATCAGTCCAATATATCATAGAGTGGCTACAGGTAACACCCAATGTGGCAATGCTACTACTGTATCTTGAAAGCTGACCGGCAGCCTTGTGGCACCTGTTATAAGGATGATATTGACTTAATATGCCCTCAAATTACTTCAGGATGGCTACATTGAGGCCGTCTAATTTATTGGGAATTTACACAACCTTTCTGGGCCCAAAACAGTAGGTTTTGTCCTCAGAATGAATATTCTGCGCATTTTTGACCGCTTTTTCGTAGTCACATGATCAATGATGTGCGGTCACAGCACTGCAGCGATAAAACACCGCTGCAAGTGCTGTGACAGGCCCTGGGTAACTCCCCTAAGGATACAGCCAACCGTAGCATTTTTTTGACCAAAAAATCGGCCCAACTCTTGTCCCGGTTAGCATTAATTTGGGTGGCAAAACAGCCTAAGTGCCCATACCCTTGTCCCCCGGAGCATTTTTTGTGGCAAAAGTGTGATGGGCACATGACACCTTTGACTGCCCAATTTGGGTTTGGCTAGCAATGTTTGTATCAAGCACAAAAATTGTGGACAGCTGGAGTCGGTCTTACTATACTTACTATTTCTGGGGTATTATGTCGGGGCCCAGGGCCCGGGGGTGGTATGGGTAGACAGGGTAAGGACAGCAGCAACCACTGTCTGTTAGTCTTGTGGGTCTGGGCCCTCCCCCTCTGACTTGTTGTTTGCTTCTTAAAGATCTTTGTCCTCTTGTGTCTGGTTTGTCTACTGCACCCCACTCGACCTCACACAGTTGTTGTGGAGCTCCCATCATAGTCATCACTCTGCTCGCCATGAGGAATGCTGCAAGTGTTGCTGTCCCAAGTTCTGTCATTCCAAGGATTGATGGGAGGTCCCGGTCAATGGTGGGGCTAATGCTCCCAGATATGTGTCAATGTGGGTCATATTGCGGGCAGTCTTACAGTAAATGACATGATGTCTCTCCCAGTAAGCTTTGCCGCACGGTGTAATGCCCACCACATGCTTACATCAGCATGGAGATACTACATCACCTTGTAGTTTCCAAGGTTCTTTGCCTTTCCAATGCCATTATACGAGCACATTTTGTGCCCGTTCTTGCTTGCTCTGTCCGTTCTGTGTGACTGCAGCCACTACAACCACCTGAGCTGCCCATCACACGTGGGCAGTCAACTGATTCTGTAGTAGTGTCCCTGAGTCCATGCAATTTCAACAGAGCATGACAGGTCGACATCCAGGAACACAATAATTGTGTCCCAAAAAAGTTGAGTGGGCTTGGCTTGGGCCCGCCTTCGCTTCAAAGAGTGCGAGTCAATATAAATGGGTGGACACCAGGCGATGACAATGCTACATACAGTAATAGAGTGCTCAGTGTACGTGAAAGAAAATGCGCAGCAAATGAGATATATCATAAGCACCCGCATCACATGACCCAAGCCTTGTCCCAGTTAGCATTTCTTTGAGCAAAAATGTAGCATTCTTTTGGCCGATTTCGAGGGTCCGACAGGCCGTACCCTTAGGGGCCTGCTGCAACTCCACATCATTGATCATGTGACTGGCTAGACCCAAGTGGCCATTGTCCCTTTTCTGGTACAACAGAGACATGTACACAAAGACAGTGATGTGTAGCTAATGTGAACCATAGAAGTGTACATTTCAGGCAAGTTGTGGGAGGGCTTATTGCACAAGAAGTATCACAAACACTCACATTGCCCTAAATGGTGAGAAACCTTGCAAATCCAGTAATTCTTCATAAAGTGGATGTCCAGTGCTTCATAAATTGCAGATAAATCAGAGGATATTCATAGAGTACTATGGCATGTTGATGAGGGCTGTGATGTTTACAACATGTTACCATATATGGAAGGTAAGCTATAACACCATGTACAAGCATGAAGTCAGCCAACCTTGCCCATTCTCAGCTCTGTTATGGCACCATAAAGCATTTTCATGATGTCTGACACACATGGCTATACTATATGGGTCATGTGCTCCATATCTAGGGTGAAAATGAGCAGTTCAAATTCTGCAAAGTCACTTGTGTTTTTATTTTTGTATTTTGCATTTTCTGGCCTAACTAGCTGCTACTGGGGCCCAACAAAATTACTGTAGACTCTATGAAACAAGGGCTACATGTTGACTATAATTGCCATATCTATATGTGGATGCTTACTGTTGCGAAAAGTAATTGAATATATTGGAGCCCAGTGCCACTGGCAAGGTCACATGCCATGTTCACCACTTTCCATATTGGGCTCCAAGCTAGATGTTACAGGAGCCCCAAGTCCATGGGGAATTGTCAGCCACAGCATTTGTTTGGGTGTGTTGGTGCAAGTCGCATCGTCTGGGAGTCTGAAATTTGAAACTCAGCTAATGTGAGCATAGTAAGTGTTACTTATCCTTGGTTATCTGGCGCTCAAACAGTCACATGCACTGTGGGAAAAACCTGCCACATTGGGCTCCATGCTAAGTGTTACACTCTTCAGTCATAATGATTCCTTTGTACCTCAGGGATCATAATAAGCCTATACCACAAAGCATGGAATGAGAAAACATGCACAAGCATTAGGGCACTAGCAATTGGGTCAACAGGAAATTCCCCCACTGGAAGTGGAGTGTCTAGTTGTGGTTGAGCTTCACCCCATAGCATTATGCCTGCTACTTCCTTGAGGGTGCTGTCTCCCAGACCCAACTGAGAGATATGTGAGTGGTGCAGCACTGCCCAAGAGTGCAATGCTACTCACCAGGTCTTCGGAATGAAGATACTGGTGGCTGGCCTTAACCACTGAAACCTTCTGCTTGACATTGTCTGTGCTGCTGCCTAGCAAAAAAAGGTAGTCAGTAGCAACGAGAATGTGTGCCTGGTCCAACCCCATCCACAGCCTCTGGCTCTGATGCACCAGAGATGTGCAGCCGTGCAGGTTCTGCCACTCTGTGGGCAGCTCCTCCACACCCAGAAAGTCTTGCCAGGCACACAAGATTGTAAAGAAGTGCTGAACAAGGACTGGGGGAGGTTGTATGCAGCATGGACCACATCAGCATTTATGCCGCTCTGTTGATGTTGCTGCACTCCCACGGTGAGCAAAGTAACGAGGGGCATGATAGTCTGGTGGTAATGAAGATGTGAGTGCTGAGAACATGAACGGAGCCAAGATAGGTGACCAGCACATTGGATATGGCATGGGGCAAGGCCCAAAGGGATGGCTGTGTGGCACCTGCATGTCCCTTTTCTCTAGGAGCACAGAGAACTGCACAATTATTCATCAGATACAGATTTCTGTGGCAGCTGTTGTGCTTCCGATAGTGCATCTCGGAGAGCTGGAACCCACACAGAGGGTTTCCACACATCAGTAGGATGCTGGCAGCAAGGCATTGCTGGAATTCCAGATCATCAGCAAGGACTAGAGCCAGAGCAGTGTCATCAAAGGAATCACAGTCCAGGCCTTGGCCAAGCTTGGACCAAATAGTGTCCATTGTGCTGAGGCAAAGAGGGTTGAGATGCTGGGCAATGCTGGGTGACTGCAAGAAGCTGTCGTTGAAGGTTGTGTTGTCACCTAGTAGTTCGGGGGGATGCAGAGCTCATGATAGGATGTACTGCAGGGTTCTAGTAGCTTAGTTAGCAAAGCAACAAGCTTGGCCACAGTGAATTGTGCAGCACCTTGCAGGCTCTGCATGGGGACTGCCTGGGAGCCAGGTGAGCAAGACTGCAGGGTTACATTTGGTCGTGCTTGACTGAGACACTGGCTAACTGATGACATGCAGAATGCTCGTTTGCAGCCAAACTCGGTGGCACATCTTGCAAAGATCAAGAACAAGTCCAAAGAGCACATGCCAAGGCAGAAGAAGGATAATCACAAGAAGGGTAAGCTGAAGAAGGAGCATGCTGAACAACTCACCGGTGAGGATGTTCAAGTGGCAGGATAGGCATTTGGTACACACGTGCTTCAACAAGCAGTGCAAGTTTAAGATCCCTGAGGTACAAAGGTATTGTTCTTATGATGGACCACCATGAAACACTTACCCTGACCCTTTGTTCATGCGCTGGCACACCACCGTCCTCAAAGCCATCTTCCAGTCCCTTCACATGAGCACTCAGGCCATGGAAAACCCACCAGCTCATCTCACATACCACATCTCAACTCAAGAGGATCCTGTCAAGATCGAAGCAGATGCTGCAACACTGTCAGTCTTGATTGAGCTGCTCCCGTATTGCTTGAGCGACGTCCAGTGGCTCTTCAAGGCCTTGGAGAGCATTGAAGTCACCATGAGGGCTATCTTGTCGTCCTTGGCAGCTCCTTCAACCCCCGTCAATGCCACTTTCATTGACAGCAAGGTGAGCGTGTTGGCCACTTCACTGGTGAAGTTCTGACATGTTTGCAGAGCACGTGGATAACCTCCATTCCCCCTTGTTCAAAATCATACATTATAATGAACCAAAAGGATCAAACTTGGACTGAAATGGGCTATCTGCATCCCAACAATAGTGTCAAGGGGTGCCTTGTAGCACTTCTACCTGTGTTTATGGCAAGAACACCACAGATGCCATCAAAACTCGTTCTGTCTATGCCCCTCGCCCAGGGAACAGCCATGCTCTCCCTATTGTCTGCACGGGGCTCAGCTCCTTACAGTGATGAGTGGGTGGCCAAGCACCCCCCCCCCCATCTGGCTACTCTGGGAGCACTTAGTCACACTGGCCGAGGGGTGCGTGGAGCTGGCACAGGCAACCAGCCTCCGGGTATAGGTAAGCCCACCTGTTGCTAACTTCCCTTTACTGAGACATTGTCTTCACAGTTCCAGGGGTCTGGAATTGGCAGCACCGACACTGCCAACCACAGAGCTTGTGAGGGTCACTTTGCTTACGACCCTGCCCTGCTCACAAGAGGATGAAGATTTCCTTCAGCTCCTTTACAGCCTTTACCATGGGCAAAGAATGGTGTTACCGTCTGACAGTATGGACAAGATACGAGCAGCTGCAGAAGCTGTCTTGTGCGGCAGAGTTCAAGAAGGTGTCCGTCGGCACAGTTTGTGGTGAATACTCGGATGTCGTAATCTGTGGCAGTAGTCACTGACATGTACATGCAGCCCACAGATGGGTAGCGGAAGTAGCGAACTTCTTGTGTAGTGGCATCAGCTGGAACAACCTCATGTTCTATCTACATGCTGGTAAGGAGGTGGTCGGGAGCCTCTGCGACTGGGACAGACTCTCCCTGCTCATTTTGCAGACACCTTACACCTTGGCCTCACCCACACCCTCAACCTTGACTTCTTGTTGGAACCCAGCCTCTTTGCCTCCACATCTAACATGTCCTTTCGTCCATGTCTGCCTCTGCATCCTTTGCCACTGCCCCGCCCACAAGCCTCACCCTGATTTTGTCCATCTACTGCAAGCTCCCGTATATTGATACCTCCACTTGCACTCACATCCTCATTTGCGCATGCACTAGCAAATACTCTCCATCTATTTGCACCCCGTCCCTGCATTAGCATCAATACCATTTCTTGGTCATTGAGTTTGACTTATCACATTGTTGTGTAGCTCACTAGCCTTTAGTATCTGTCTTTGATCTGTCTGACAAGGTTGGTGGGTGGAAGCAGCCATGCGAGCAAAGTCAGTCTTTGCAACATCAACTACCTTCAGAAGTGCCCTTGCATTTCTTCCGCCGAGAGCTTGTCTGGCAAGCCATGGGTGCACACCTTGGCTGGCCAGTCTATGGTCAAGATCACCAAATGGGGGCTATGCTGGCCAGCTCAAAAGGCACAGGCCAGGTGGACGCAGTTGTCCACCAGCCTACGATAATGGCTCAGTGCACATGGACCTTGAATGTCACCAGGCCGCAGGCTGCCAGCACGGCAGCCATGAATGCGGTCATGAATGTCATGAATGAGTTTCTTGGAAGCGGCACTACATACACCATTTCCCTTGGCCCGCCTAACCCCGCTCCTCCTGCTGCTCTCAATGCTCCTGCTCCTGTCCCTCCCTCTCCTGTCACTCTGGCACTCATCATCACTCCTGCTCCCGCCGCTCCGGCACTCCTGGCTCCCGTGGTCATTGGTCCTCGGCGCTGCTCTGCAGCTCAAATCACTGCCAAGGTCGAGGAGGTTTTGGTATCTGGTGGAACCCTGGGGAAGCTGCACAATGTCTTCCACGAGGAGCTGGAGAACCACTCAGGCAGAAACCTGCGGTTGACTCTTCGGTATTTGGAGAATGTCTGCAGATCACGAGGTTACGATCCCTGAGGTACGAAGGTATCATTCTTATGATGGACCACCATGAAACGCCTTAGCGATTCCTCCAGAATGGCAGTTTGTTCCCACAGTGCACGTGACATGCAGCCACCCCGATAAGCAGAGATAAGTAACTGTTAGTATGGGTTGCTTATCTGAGCCTGAAATTTCAGACTCCCAGACGATGTGACTTGCACCAACAGATACAAACAAATGCAGTGGTTAAGCGCTCAGTTATGGATATGAGGCCCATGAAACGCCTTAGCAGTTCCCCCAATAAGGAAACTGGTAAACATATCATGTGACTGGCAGCTTGGTGGGCCATTGCTCCAAGCGCTCACACACTGTAGGGCCTATATAGCCTCAGCCAGTAACAAATCATAGTATACATAGTATGCTCATCTGATAGCCCTTCATTCAGAGAGTATACAGAAATTCTATTGAGTGTATACAGTGGCTGGCTAACCCAGGAAATGCAAAGCAAAAAAATGCACATGTGCCTCTGCAGATTCAATCTGCTTGTTTATGACTCAAATATGGTCTAGATGTACACTGCAATGTATATGTGTAGTTCAGACACTGTGGACTACTCAGTAGCTTCAATAATACAGGTAACAAGGACTATAATGGGTAATCTGAGCATCTTTTGCCATCTTATGGCCCTTGCATACAATGTAATGGTAACCATTGCAGCTCAAGGCAATCATACACTTGTCTTTGATGTATCTGTATATTTCATAGATTTTCTGCATTTCTCTGAGGCCTACATGCCCCTGTTTGTGTATGATTCCTCTTTGGGAAGGTCACATACTCCATATGGTAATTATGCATCCACTGCTGGCTTTGTCTTGCTCACAGACACAATCTAGGGATACATACCTGAATGTGTACTTACACTACCATCTTATAGGGTTGTCCAGTACATGAGCAGTTCCAAGAGTGAAGTAGCAGGCTTATATAAGCTCACTGGGGCCACAGCAACCCTCTTACCAGGTTATTGAGAATGCTATCTGATCTGATGTCAAACCCATGCCATATACAGCTTCATTCACATTGCCTGGATCATTTTTAATATTGTCTCAATTTTCCGCTTTTTTCTGAGTCTAAACAAGCTCTCTTAAGCACAGTAACAGTCTACATCACTTACTAAGCGCCCATCAAGCGCCCAGATGCCATTCGGAGGTGCAACCGTGCGGAAATTTGGCATGGTTGCACCTCCAAACGGCACGAGAGGGATGCCGAGCTGCTCTGATTGGTGCAATAGCCCCTTTTCTGCCCTAATCAGGCAGGCTGCCGAGGTTTTGGGCTGAGTTTGAATCTCAGCCACAGGCTCCTTAGTGGCACTGTACCTGCTGTACTGTGGCCTCACTAAAATGCGGAAAATCCCCAAACTAATCTCTGTGATAGGTATGATGTCATAGAGTCTATAGCTGCTGTGACTTGCCCATTACCTTCACTGGTCATGGCACAATTCACAAAACAAAAAAACATGCAAATGCCTCTGTGCACATGAGTGCATCCCTTTTCACCTCAAAAGTCTCTCTTTTGAAGCCTATATGCTGCCCACAGATTCTCTGACATCTCAAACCTGCTAAATAGGGTAGCTGACCTTCCTAAAATGGTAATTTTGCTTAACCTGCTCAGTCTGGGCTCACAAAATGCAGATAAAATCAGGGAATATTATGTGTAATCAGACTCATCTGTATTGCCTTGTATATGAAGGCAATTCATCTTGTATGGAGGCCCCCACAATATATCACTAGTACGACTTGCCCAGTTGTTTGAAATTCAGGAAACAGAGAAACACATGCATGAATGTGTGGCATTTGACTGGGATACACTGATTGAAACCTCATCAACTCTTATAGAGTTTATAGAGATGATAAACTCATTTGATAGCCCATCATTCAAAGGGTTAATCATACATTGGAGGAATGAAGAACAAAGGACAACATTTAGAGGATCACAAGTGACTGTGCAGATATGAATGGCTTGTTGTCTCTGAAACACATTGCCTATGACCTGTATAGATATGTGCATAGTTTACAATGCATGGATGTGTCTGGAAGTTGCACAGCACAGCTATTGGTGGGGAAAAATGGTAATAACATGCATGTTTTGATGTCTCAGCACTGAATGACCATATAGGGAATCTTCTCCACTTGTAAATATGCTCAGGGATGCTCCACATATATCCTGGAATATTGTCTGATTAATCCGCATTTTCTTGACCCCAAAACAAGTGAATTGTGCTGCAGTAACAGTGTGCACTTACATCGCTTACTAAGCGCTCGACTAAGCGCCCGTTACCAAAGCGGAGTCGTCGACAGGCCGGAATTCCGGCCTGTCGACGACTCCGGTCACTCAAAGGGGATTTTGGAGCACTCCCATTGGCTAAAATGCTGACAAATGTTCCCTTTCAAAGTAATCTTTCAGTCTCAGCTTGTCATGCCGAGTTTTTTGATGGCTTCAAGCCACACTAACTGAGCTCTTACTAGAACCCCATTAAATGCAGAGAAATCCCAAAATATTGCTTCTCCATGGAATGCCCCTTGAGTACTGACACAGTGACAAGGGTGCCCAGATTAGGTGTTCTTGTTGTTTTTCACAGAGTACTGACCTTGGCAAGTGATACTGAGGATATAAGCAAATGTTGGTGTGTGTATGATGCTTGTACAAGACAGTTCCACATGTATGGGCTCTGTGAGGTGGAGGATATCAAACATACAAAACTGCCATATATGGTTAGTCCCCTGCCCATTTGGGAAGTTGGCCATGCATGGCCTGGACTGGATAAATAGCAGGAAAATAAGAGAAAAATTAGATAGTACTATGGATTTGTATTGGGTTGACTGTTGAGGCCATATGGCAGAAAACATATAATAATGCAGAGTTTCTCATGCATAGCCTGATACAAGCCACTCTTTCAATGAGTCTTGGTCCATCTTGTAAGCACCATTATCACCTGGAATTCTCAGGGACTGGCAGCTCCAGACAGGATCCCAGGCTATTCTGTTCAGTTCAACTCTTCAATAGGCCCTGCAAAGGCAGGCTATTGGGCTGAGTTTGAATGCAAGCCACAAGCTCATTAGTGACAATGTATTTGCTGTGCTATGGTCTCCCAAAAAATCAAAAACAATTGGGAATATTCCCAGTCATGTATATGATGTCAGAGAGGCTGTACATAGTATGCCTTCCCATGGATTCATATAAACATGGCACCCACCATTCACAAAAACAAAGTGAAAGAACCAGTGTGTATTTGTGTTTCCTGTGATGCTTGCCAACTGCCTATGGATTGTGTGGCTATATGAGACCTGAATGAAACCTGCCATATGTGGTACCTGACCTTCTCAAAATGGAAAGTCCGAGTTATCTGCTGTGTCTGGGCTCAGAAAATGCGGATAAAACAAGGGAATATTGTGTATGATTCCACTCACCTTGTACTGCTTGCTATAAGTAGTGATTGGCTCATGTCTAAACCCTTGGGCAGGCAATGGCATATGCAGAAAATGGTGAACACCTGTGGCACAAAGGCCACAGTTAATGCTGAGTATGTTCATAATATTGACTCTGTCTCACATGTGAATGGCATAGCTATCAATATTATGGGTTCACAAAGCTTTATGACACTGTACTGATCCTAGAAAGTGATAGAAAGACATTGTACAAGTTGTGTTGTGCATCTACTACTGTTGCTAGAAAGTCTATAGGCTAGCAATGTCATAAAGTAGGGACACCACACATAGGTGATCAAATGCTTTGATGGTCTCTGCAATGCTAGATAAATGGTAGGAAATGAGATAAAATCAGCTGACTGTTGTAGGCCAATGCATGACAGTACATCTCAGATGTGCTAATGCAGAGTTCACAGCCTGATGTCTGCAGCTCTATTGTCCCAGTCCAGTATAAGCATGTCTTTGACTGATTGTGTCAATATGAAGCAGTGCCAATTATACAGTATGATGGTGCTATGCTTGGTTGTTAATTGCTCATATAGTTTTTGCCTGGAGCATATCTAATGTCTGTATGCACTACCATCATCCTATTCTCATGCAATGGCCCTTGGTATGTGAAGATAGAATAGGCAGCTCTTGGCTTGTTCATATGGGCAAAAATGTATTGACAGTGGTGTCTGTTTGTGCAATGTCTACTATCACTCATATTGCAGTCTATGCTGTGATTTCTTCCTGATTGGGCTCAGAAGAAGTCATGGTTGCCATGGAAATAATGCAGACTTGCATTGCTTACTAAGCAACAGTGAAGAGGCCATATTACAATGGACTTCTGAGCCAATATATGGCTGTCCTTTTATGGATCTCTAGTCAATAATATGACTTTGGGAGTACTCTCATTTGCTGCAACTGTTTCCTTTTACATGTGATGATAAAATATCAGCTACTCATGTTGGGTCCTTTCATGTTATATGGAAAGTGGAAAAATAACACTTTAGACCCAGGTGTGAACATGTGTGATATTTGAACAGCATTGGAAATATGTGGCAGTGTGCCTACCAGTACACCATTTGGCAGTTGATCCTGGGCGGTATCTGTGCTGGAGTAATGTCAACATGAAAAATATATTGTCTAATCCAAATATAGTACCATACATTGTATGTGCACACAAAATAATGAACAGTCAGCCAGAAAATGACACTGGTGATTATCAGTATGTCTGAAGACATAGAAATTCTTGGACTTATGATCAGAGAGCATGACCATTGATAGTAGGCATTACTAGAATACCCAGGAAAGGCCCATGTGCAAGTCTTAGTATGCAGTCTGTTGTTAGGGACAAGGCATTGAAACCCCTTTTTCTACAAGAAATTCCATAGATATGGTCTTTGAATAGGGTAGGCAGCAGGAATTGTTATCACTCCTGGGCTTTGTTATCTTTATTCTAGATCCTTTGAATGGACTTCATTTGGGGTTCACAATGCTTTCTGACCAGATTTCAGTGATCTTTTTTTCCCACATTGTTATTCTTTGTGGCACCTATTGGTGTATGTTCTGACCGGACTATTACCAAGTTTCTAGTGCTCTCCTTAGACCCCTTGTGACCAGATGCTTTGAAAGATATTACTGGGGTTCTATTAGCTCAGACTATGTTATCTATTGATATATTATCCCAGCTGGCAGGCAATCTATGAGTGACTAGTGTTCATAAGGCTGTGCTAGTGTTTCAGGACAACATGCAAGTGGTGTGTCATGAATCACAGAGCACATCCTTGATGATCAGTGAGAATTATTGGCACATCTACCCTTGCCTTACAATGAGCCTGTGAGCTTATTGTGCATCTTGAATGGCCTTGGAAAGTGGTGTACTGAGTCTTTTACTATTTTGTAGGTTTCTATGAAGTATCTAAAAGGAGTGGGGCGGCGGTGTCGATGTGGCGCGCGTAACTCGCGTGGTTTTCGCGTATGCTCACATGGGTTTCGCGTACGCCCACGAGAAACGCACATGGCGTCCACGTTCGCTGCATGGCCCGCTGATCGTCCGCTCTCTCGGTCGTCCGTTAGGGCGCTAAAGCGATCTCAGATCTGGTGCCACAGCCTTGACGATCGCGCGATCTGGGCTATCCGATTACTGCAGCTGCATGACTTGCTTTCTCCCCTCATCCCCAACTCTGTCTGTACCTGCATAGGTGAGTATTTGCATTTTCCCTGAGCATTCCTGTAGTAATAACTGCATTTCACAGTGTCTGCCATGAATCAGGACCAAAATCAGTGAGTAAATAGCCAAATAATCGAAATATGGCTAAATCATGTATATTAGAACCTTCTCTCATGCTCCTGAGCCACAGAGACTCAATGAGAGAGAGAATCAGTGAGTGAGTATAGATGCTGAATTGACTATGGCTAAACAATGCAATTCAGCAATTCCCACATGCCTGAGCAGCAGAGAGAGAACCTGTGAGTTAAAGAAGAAATTATATATTGTAGATGGCTAACAATGCACAGAAATTCACATATTCCTGAGCAACAGAGAGATGATCAGTGAGTAAAGAATTGTTCTATACTATTGTTGGCTCAACTATGCATTGAAGAAACCCTCAGAGAGATAATCAGTGAGTAAAATATTGTTTTAATCTCAAGATGGCTAATGTCTATGTATAACAGATATTCTCCTCACACTCCTGAGCAACAGAGACTCCATGAGAGAGAGGAGGAGCGTAGGGGTCGTCAAATGACTTCCCCCAGTGAGCGCCGTGAGAGGCAGAGAGTAAATCTCTCAGTTGGAAAGCCTGAATTTGCTGTGGATCCTCAACCTGGACCACAAGGGCCTGAGCTTGCCCATGCACATGAGCCCCAACTGGGCCATGCTATCCAGCTCAGAGAGGATATGCCTTTAAGAGACAATCAAGGCTATCCATACCCTGCTGGGATATATAATGCTGGACAACCTGGGATGTACAATACTGGGTATAACCCTGGGATGTACAATGCAGGCTATATGCCTCAGAATCTACCACTTGGGTACCAAGCTCCTATGAATTATAATCCTGTACATGCAGGTCCTTCACACCATGAGTATATGCAAGCAAATATGGCTGGGCCCTCAAATTATGGCCATGCACAGGGCAATGTAGCAGGTCCCTCTAACTTGAACATGGGTGTGGCATATGGTCAGAGATTGCCTCCTAGGAGAAATTACCTGCAAGAGGCTGAGTCAAATACAAACAGAAGCCATGCCCAAAGAGTGGCTGATAGACAGAATACAAGGCAATCTGCCAGGGAAGCATCTGTACACAGAGAACCCCATGTGGGATTGGCCAGTCATAGACAGCTACAGGAAGCTGCAGCTCATGAAGAGCTACAGAGACAAAGACAGTCTGAGAGACAAGCCCAGTATGAACAACAGGTTTTTGCCCATCATGAGCTTGAGAGACAAAGAGAGCTTGAGAGACAAAATGCCTACCAACAGGAGGTTGCTGCTCATCATGAGCAAGAGAGGTTGAGACAGCTTGAGAGACAAGCTCAGTATGAACAACAGGCTGCTGCCTATGCTGAACAACAGAGACTGAGACAGGTTGAAATGCAGGCTCAGTCTCAACACAACTTCAGAGCTCATGATGAGCTTCAGTTGCAGAGACAAATTGAGCATGAGGAAGGTGAATTGGAATATGCTGAACAGCAGCAGCATGAAGCCCATGGCTATCAACAACAAGTAGATCATTACGATCCCTGAGGTACGAAGGTATCGTTCTTATGATGGACCACCATGAAACGCCTTAGTGATTCCTCCAGAATGGCAGTTTGTTCCCACAGTGCACGTGACATGCAGCCACCCCGATAAGCAGAGATAAGTAACTGTTAGTATAGGTTGCTTATCTGAGTCTGAAATTTCAGACTCCCAGACAACGCGACTTGGACCAACAGATACAAACAAATGCAGTGGCTAAGCACTCAGTTATGGATATGAGGCCCATGAAACGCCTTAGCAATTCCCCCAATAAGGAAACTGGTGAACATATCATGTGACTGGCAGCTTGGTGGCTCAATGCTGCAAGCGCTCACACACTGTAGTGCCTATATAGTCTCAGCCAGTAACAAGGCATAGTATACATAGTATACTCATCTGATAGTCCTTCATGCAGAGAGTATACAGGGATTTTACTGAGTGCATACAGTGGCTGGCTAGGCCAGGAAATGCAAAATATAAAAATGCACATGTGCCTCTGCAGATTCAAAGTACTTGTTTATGGCTGAAATATGTTCTGTATGCACACTGTGATATATATGGGTGGTTTAGGCACTGTGTACTGCTCAGTGATTTCTATAACAGAGCTAACAAGGTCAGCAATGGGTCATTTTACCATCCATTGCCATATTGTGGCCCATGGACACCATGTAATGACCAAAATTGGGACTAAAAGTAACCATGCACTTGTCTTTGATGTGTCTGTATATTTCATAGATTTTCTGGATTTTTCTGAGCCCCAGATTCACCAGTTTGTGTATGATTCCTCTTTGGGAAGGCAATATACTTCATATGGCAATTATGCAGCCACTGGCTTTGTCTTGCACACAGACGCAAGCACAGAATACATATATGCATCTATACTTACACTACCATCCTATGGGGTGTCCTCAACTACATGAGTAGTTCCTACAGTCAAGTAGCAGGCTTGTATGAATAAGCTCACTGAGGTAACATCAGTGATGTTACACAGTTATTGGAAATGCTGCCTTTATTGATGTCAAGCATATCTCATAGACAGATGCAATCACATTCCCTGGTCCATCTCCAATATTCTCTGATTTTTGCGCTTTTTCCTGGGTCTAAATAAGCCCATATAAGCAGAGTAATAGTCCGCACTTACATCGCTTACTAAGCGCGCGCTAAGCGCCCAGATGCCGTTCGGAGGTGCACCCGTGCGGAAAGTTGGCACGGTTGCACCTCCGAACGGCATGAGAGAGATGCCGAGCTGCTCTGATTGGTGCAACAGCCCCTTTTCTGCCCTAATCAGGCAGGCTGCCGAGGTTTTGGGCTGAGTTTGAATCTCAGCCACAGGCTCCTTAGTGGCACTGTACCTGCTGTACTGTGGCCCCACTAAAATGCGGAAAATTCCCAAAATAATCTATGTGATAGGTATGATGTCATAGAGTCTATAGCTGCTGTGACTTGCCCATTACCTTCACTGGTCATGGCACAATTCACAAAACAAAAAAACATGCAAATGCCTCTGTGCACATGAGTGCATCCCTTTTCACCTCAAAAGTCTCTCTTTTGAAGCCTATATGCTGCCCACAGATTCTCTGACATCTCAAACCTGCTAAATAGGGTAGCTGACCTTCCCCAAATGGTAATACCAATGCAGCTGCTCAGTCTGGGCTCAGAAAATGCAGATAAAACCAGGGAAAATTCTGTGCAACTGGACCCACTTGTAGTACCTGCTGTATGTAAGAAATTGATCCACTATAGGACCCCCAGAGGCTATGACCAGTATGGCTTGCCCATGTATAAAATTCAAAATGCAGAGAAACACCCCTACCTCTGTAGACATGATTAGGTAGCATGTGACTGGGATACACTGACTGAGCTCCAACCAACTGTTATAGATATCATAAGCTCACCTCATAGCCCTTCATTCATAGTGTCTATCATAGTTTCTTGAGAGAAGTGGTTGAATGAGTAGCAAAATGCTAAGATAAAAAACAGAAGTGACTCTGTGAATATGCATTTGTTCTGTTGCATCTGAAACACATGACAGATGTCCTCTATGGCCAAGTGTATAGTGTCCAACACATTGATGTCTCTGAAACATGCACAGCAGTGCTACAAATGGAGAAATATTGTCATAGCAAGTATGTGTTGATGTCCCAGCACTGAATAACTATACAGGACAATCCTCTCTACTTGTGAATATGCTCATAAATGCTCCACAGATCTCCTGGAATATTATCCGATTTTCCTGGACTTTTCTGAGCCCAAAACAAGTCAGATTTGCTGCAGTAACAGGCTGAACTTACATCGCTTACTAAGCGCCCGTTTAAGCGCCCGTTGCCGAAGCGGAGTCGTCGACAGGCCGGAATTCCGGCCTGTCGACGACTCCGGTCACTCAAAAGGGATTTTGGAGCACTCCCATTGGCTGGACTGCTGACAAATGTTACCTTTTAAAGTAATCTTTCAATCTCAGCTCTTCATGCCGAGTTTTTTGATGGCTTGAAGCCACACTACCTGAGCTCTTACTAGAGCCCCATTGAATGTGGAAAAATCCCAAAATATTGCTTCTCCATGGGATGCCCCTTGGGTACTGACAAGGGTGCCCAGATTAGGTGTTCTTGTTGTTTTTCACAGAGTACTGACCTTGGCAAGTGATACTGGGGATATAAGCAAATGTTGGTGTGTGTATGATGCTTGTACAAGACAGTTCCACATGTATGGGCTATGTGAGGTGGAGGATATCAAACATACAAAACTCCATATATGGTTAGTCCCCTGCCCACTTGGGAAGTGGGCCATGCATGGCCTCTGCAGGACTGGATAATTAGCAGGAAAATCAGAGAAAAATCAGATAGTACTATGAATTCATATTGAGTTGACTGTTGAGGCTCCAATATGGCAGAAAACATATGATAGTGCAGAATGACCCATGCATAGCCAGATACAAGACACTCTGTCAGTGAGTCTTGGTCCATCTTGTAAGAACCAGTATCACCTCAGGGACTGGCAATTCCAGACAGGATCCTAGGCTATTCTGTTTGGTTCAGCTATTCAATAGGCCCTGCAAAGGCAGGCTATTGGGCTGAGTTTGAATGCAAGCCACAAGCTCATTAGTGACAATGTATTTGCTGTGCTATGGTCTCCCAAAAAATCAAAAACAATTGGGAATATTCCCAGTCATGTATATGATGTCAGAGAGGCTGTACATAGTATGCCTTCCCATGGATTCATATAAACATGGCACCCACCATTCACAAAGCAAAATAAAATACATATGCCTCTGTACACACTGGTTCTTTCACTTTGTTTGTGTTTCCTGTGATGCTTGCCAACTGCCTATGGATTGTGGACCTGAATGAAACCTGCCATATGTGGTACCTGACCTTCTCAAAATGGAAAGTCCGAGTTATCTGCTGTGTCTGGGCTCAGAAAATGCGGATAAAACAAGGGAATATTCTGTATGATTCCACTCACCTTATACTGCTTGCTGTAAGTATTGATTGGCTTCTGTGTAAACCCTTGGACAGGCAATGACATATGCAGAAAATGGTGAACACCCGTGGCAAAAAGGCCACAGTTAATGTCACATGTGAAAATATTGTGGGTTCACAGAGCTTTTTCACACTGTACTGCTCCTAGAAAGTGATACAAAGACATTGTACAAGTTGTGTTGTGCATTTACTACTGTTGCTAGAAAATCTATAGTCTAGCAATGTCATGAAGTGGGGCCACCACATTACCACACATAGTATATTAAAGTCTTTGATGGTCTCTGCAATGCTAGATAAATAGTAGGAAATAAGATGAAATCAGAAAATCCCATGACTTGATATTGTGCTGACTGTTGTAGGCTCATGCATGACAGACAGTACATCTCAGATTTGCTAATGCAGAGTTCATGCATATAGCCTGATGTCAGCAGCTCTATTGTACCAGTCCAGTATAAGCATGTCTTTGACTGGTCTTGTCAATATGAAGCAGTGCCAATTATACAGTATGATGGTGCTATGCTTAGTTGTTAATTCCTCATATGATTTTTCCATGGAGCATATCTAACCTCTGTATGCACTACCATCATCCTATTCTCATGCAATGGCCCTTGGTATGTGAAGATAGAATAGGCAGCTCTTGGCTTGTTCATATGGTCAAAAATGTATTGACAGTGGTGTCTGTTTGTGCAATGTCTACTAGCACTCATATTGCAGTGTATGCTGTGATTTCGTCCTGATGGGGCTCAGAAGAAGCCATGGTTGCTCTGGAAATAGCGTAGACTTGCATTGCTTACTACGCAACAGTGAAGAACTACAATGGACTTATGAGCCAATATAAGCTGTCCTTTTATAGATCTCCAGTCAATAATATGACTTGGGCAGTACTCTCATTTGCTGCAACTGTATCTTTTTACATGTGATTATAAAATGTTATTTACTCATGCTGGGCCCTTTCATTTTATATGGAAAGTGGAAAAATGACACTTTGGACCAGGGTGTGAACATGTGTGATATTTGAACAGCATTGGAAATATGTGGCAGTGTGCCTACTAGCACCCAATTTGGAAGTTGATCCTGGATGGTATCTGCCATGCCAGAGGAATGTCAATATCAACATATGGTGTCTAATGCAAATATAGTACCATTGTATGTGCACACACGGTCCCCCAGAAAATGACACTGGTTATTAAATACCTTGGGAGTGTGTCTGAAGATATAGAAATCCCTAGACTTATGACCAGAGAGCATGACCATTGTTACTAGGCATTACTAGAATACCCAGGAGAGGCAACAATGACCCCATGTGCAAGTCTTAGTATGCAGGCTGTTGTTAGGGACAAGGCATTTTTACAAGGAATTCCACACATGTGATCTTTGAATAGGATAAGCAGCAGTTGTTATCATTCCTGCACTTTGTTATCTTGATTTGATTTCCTTTTCATGGACTTCACTGTAGTATTCACAATGCCTTCTCACCACATTCAGGTGATCTTTTGTTCCTCACATTGTCATGCTCTGTAGCACTTCATTGTGTATGTACTGACTGGACTATTACCAGGCTCCTAGTACTTTCCTTAGGCCCCTTGTGACCAGATGATCTGAAAGCTGTTACTGGGTGACTATTAGCTCAGAATATTGATGATAATATTCCAGCTGGTAGGCAATCTATGAGTGGCTCATCAAGCTGTACACTATTTCTGAGTTTTCATAGGGCTACACTAGTGTTTCAGGTTAACATCCATGTGGTCCCTCATGTTTCACAGAGCACATGCTTGATGATCAGTGGCAATCATTAACACACATACCCTTGCCTTGCTTTTTCGCTACTTTTTGAGCCCTATTGTGCATCTTGAATGGCCTGGGAAAGTGGTGGACTGAGTCTTCTACTATTTCGATTCCATGAAGTATTTATGTAGCTAAGGGGGAGTGCACTTGGGAAATGCTCAAAAGGAGCATCCCTGAGAGAAGTCCAAACATTCATCTCATCTACCACTCGCTTCTGTACTCCTCTGTACCTTCAATAGTCCCAGACCTCAGTGATCAATCCTGCCCATGACTCTATCAGTCTTGATGGCACTCACCATGGTGGTACATTGAATCACATCATACATGAGCCCATTACTATTGGCTTGGAACTGTGGGCTGAGCTCCAATCCAGTAACATACCTTAGTATGGCTTTGTACTACTGGTCAGTGCCTGGTAACTGTTCACTTCAGTGTACAAATGGTGAGAGCAAACTGGACAGTCTTTGGTTGGATTCCTTGTATAACATGACAATTCTTGAAGGGCCTTTTTTCGGAATCCCTTACTGGTATACTTATCTGTCTATTGTTGATTGGTTTGTACTTGGGGAAGTACTGTCAACAATCTATTGAAAGACATCTGCCTGTATCAGAAGTTCTTTCTGATCAAGGGCTAATACTTGCACAACAGCAAGTCCCAGCTGAGTAGTTGTTACTGTAGTCAACCTCCCAGATTCCCCTTCCTTGAGTTCTAGTTGATCTACAGGCATACTTCTTTGCAACATTTCCAAGCTATTTTCTCTTTGTTGATATCAACACAAGCCAGTGATACTGTTCATTAGTATTCTGATAATATTGGTTGAAACTTGGCTATTCACCAAGTAAGAAACAGATCCATAATGTCTGTATTCTCAATGGAGAGTCTCATATGGAAATGCAAATACTTACTCAATTGGCATGTTGCTCATAATTGCAAACTATGATCCTCACATCAGAACAACATCATAAATTAGCAGGCTACTCTAAATGTTTATGCTATGAGATGGCAGCTGGATGGTGCAAAATGCGGAAGATATGTCAGTACTCTATGCAGGCAATATACTAGCAGTCTTGCTGAGCTTAACTTCTGATGTGGTGAAAATGATTTGTTCACAAACTGACATGTATCCAACAAAAGGGATCGTACTGCCAGCTATGGCCCTCTCCCCAGCAAGTACTTGGTGGATGCATGGGCTTCAATTGAGGCAT